GCAGGTTCATCAAGAATTACTCTCATATTGCACTGCCTCTCACGGCCCTACTGAAAGGCAGTAAAAATAGGCGAAAGCTAGGTTAGGTTAACCTGACTCTTAGCGAAAAGGTAGCGTTTCGCCGCCTAATCGCCGCCTTTCAGTCTGCGCCTCTTCTTCGACACTTTGATCCGTCGAAGCTTATTCGGTTAGAGACCGATGCGTCCGATGGCGCTATAGCAGGGATCCTCTCTTAACCTGACGAGAGCGGGATATGGTATCTAGTAGCGTTCTGGTCGCGGAAGTTTAGTGGGGCGGAGACCCTCTATAGAACACCGGATTAGGAGCTATTTGCTATCGTATATTCGTTCAAACATTAGCGGCACTACCTCGAGGGGAGTGTATACCTAATTGAAGTGTTCTCAGACCATTCGAACCTTTAAGCTTTCATAAAGCAACCAAAGCTTAATAGTAGGCAAGCGCAGTGGTGCTTGGCCCTTACACTATTTGATTTTGTGATAAAACATCGCGCTGGGAAGAACAATCCTGCGGATAGACCCTCTCGGCGTTGGCTCCTGAGTGATTATAAGGTTAACCTGATTTCGCCGTTAAGCCGCCGAATAGCTAGCGAATCGCAGACGACTGATTACCGTTCTGTTATAGTCTAGTCGCTAACTGTAAGTGCGCTTACCTCGAATATCCCACACTTCGAAGAGAACGAAGATAAGGATGAATCGATTGGTGCAATCGATTGGGGGGAGCTCGGGCGTGCGCGCCGTCTCCCTAACGCACGAGTGAAGCCAGCTTGTGCCTCCGAGCAGGCATACCTTGCCGAGGCAGGTACAGACCTTAAGGAGCTTATTAGGCAACTTCAAGGCGAAGACCTAGAGACCTAGCGCCGAAAGACTGCTGTACAGTCGTCGACTCCGGGGTTTAAGGGCTAGAGTATTGGACCCGAGGGTCTTGTGCGGTTCAAAGAACGTATTTATATCCCTGCGGGGAGTAACTTGAGAAACACACTGATAAGCATATATTATAATGACCCCCTTGCTGGCTACTTCGGTTATACAAGAACCCTTGAGCTAATAAAAAGGAAATATTATTGGCTGAATATCCACATAGACGTCGCCGAATACGTCCGGGCTTATCAGACCTGCTAGGGTGTCACGGCAAAGAGATATAAGCTGTATGGGAAGCTATAGCCGCTCCCGATTCCTTTAAGGCCTTTCTTAGAAATTTCAATAGACTTTGTGACGGGCTTACCGCTAATAACCTACGAAGGGAAGCTAGTCGATGCGATCCTGGTTATTGTTGATAGGTTCACGAAATAGTCACTATTCCTCGCCGTTTCTACGACGATTACCGCGGCAGAACTTGCTGAGATCTTCCACAATTATATTGAGCTACGCTTTGGACCACCTGAAGGCATTGTTTTAGACCGGGGGTCCCTGTTCACTAGTAAGTTTTGGTCAAATCTGTGCTACCTTACCCGAGTACGCCTAAGGCTTTTAATAGCGTTTCACCCCTAAACCGATAGTCAAACAGAGCGTATAAACCAAACGCTCGAACACTACCTTCGATGTTTCGTAGCCGACAACTAAGTGATATGGCCGAACCTCCTTAGATCCGCTGAGTTTGTATGTAATAACGCAGCGAACGCAACAACTAGTGTCTCTCTATTCTAAGTACTGATGGGCTACTCACTAGATTTCCGTTAACGTTTCGAGGGCGAAACTTCTTACAGAGAGGTCCTAGCGGTATCCGCACGAATTAAGAAACTCGAAGCGCTCCGTTAAAAGCTGCAGGAACACTAGCGAAAGGCAAGCGAAACTATGACGAAACACTATAATAAGGATTATATTCCTATGCAATTCAAGAAGGGAGATCTTGTCGGATTGTTAACAAGGAACCTGAGGTTAAAAGGAAGCAGGAAACTAGCCCCCCGCTTTATTGGGCCCTTCCGAATCTTACAGACTATTAGAGAACAAGCTTACTGCCTAAGCTTACCTTAGCAGTACAACCGAATCTATAACGTCTTTCACGTATCCTTGCTCGAGCTATAGCGGAATCTCCACGGAAAGGATAACGAACCCTTACTGATACCCGAACTCGAGGAGGAGGATAAGTACGAAGTAGAAGAAGTGCGTAACGAGAAGCTAATCAAAGGAGAAACCCACTTCCTTGTTAAATGGAAAGGATAGCCCTCGGAATATAATCAATAGGTCTATCATAAAGATATAGAAAACGCTACGGAAGCAATATAATCCTACTCGAAACGAAAAAGAGTAAAGAATTCCCTAGTTGCTAGAAAGAAGTAACAAAAACACACCGAACCCCTAGCGAAAGCCGGCAAAAAACGCAGACAGAAGAAGCCTTAAGGGCAACCTCTAATTAGACTATTAGCAAGGAGATCTGCACAAAAGATCCCCGCCGGAAAAGCGACGAACAGCCACCGAAACCACAACAAAAGCACTTAGCTCTATCAAGCAAAGAGAAGGGAAAAGACAACCCCTAAATTTCCTCCAGGGGCAGAGGAAAATCGATTATAGTCCGCTCCTCTAACTTATCTCCGCTAATGGAAACGTTGCTATTATTATCCGAATCCCGATTATCCTAGGCCTCGCGAACCACCTACGAAACACTATCGAAAAAGACACGTTTTCCCAGAGTCTAAGTGATATATCCCTCGTCCCCGGGAAGTAGGCGAAGGAGCCGCTTAGAGAACCGCGCGGCCTTCTCCTCCTTGGTATCGAGAGGACTAGGAGCAGGAACGGAGGGAAGCTCAGAGCGGCGGGCCACGAGAAACGCGTTGTAGTCGGTATAGTTTTGCTGTCGAAATTGTGGTTAGAATATACCGAAACCCACGATCTATGAATATACCTTGATATGTGCCTTGTTCCCGGTCAACCGATACTCCTTGCGGTAAGCCTGTTCCGAAACGTCAAAACAATACGCTAGTTCCTTTATGAATTCGGCGACCTTTCGGCGGACCTCCGAGGGATATAGCCACTCCACAAACTGTTCCGGATCGGCCGGGTCAACCGTCTAGAACACCCGCCGAGCCCACGCGAACACGAGATTCAGGTCCTAGCAATCTCCCAGTATCGCAGTCGCAGCCTACAGAATCATTAGCTTTTGTCTCTAAAGAACTTGGCGAAACCCACAGGAATATATGTCGAAGCACGGCCGGAACACTGCTTGCACAAAACCGAAGCCTTGGCATCGCGAACACACTCCACAGCGAAAGGCAAGCCCAGGGTCACGTCCCACTCAGCGATCGTCGTACGCAGACAGTGTATACACCAGAGGATTATCATGAAAACAGGGTTGTCCAGGAGAGGACGAGCAGTAGTGCGGGTTCCAGGAGGTATCGTGAGGTTTTCGATAGCGAATAGACAGTGAAACGATGGTGAAAGGGTGCGCCTTGATGAGGGTGTAGGAAAAGAGATAGAAGAGGATAAAGGAGGAAGAAGAAAAGGAGAGGGTGATGTTGGCGATGTCAACAAAGAAACGCGTTTCCTTTGTTTGCCCCTCCACCAGGCAACCCCCCAGTGTTGACCTTCCCTCTTTCCAGCCTACACGCTCCTTCCTTATTTGACTGCCACTCTTTATGATTGTTTACGCGTCTGTTTACCTCGCTTAAGGGCAAGCGATCCTTAGAGGGAGGATAATTGTTATGATATATCCTGGCATGAGGTTATTCCCAAGTGTTGGTGCCTCAGGCTTCCCCGGCCTAATAAGCCGGCAGGCCTTCCCCATGTGTTGGTGCATCAGGCTTCCCGGACCTGATAAGCCGTCAGGCTTTCTGTAGAGGTTCGCTGGGGCTTCGGCTTCAGTACGTGTACGAACTCCTGCAGGGAACACCCTTGACAGAGGTTACACAAGCCTCGTGTTTCACCCCGCTCCCATTTCCCTACCAAGGATACATCTCCTTCCTGTTTGAGTGATGAGACTGTATATAAATTGACCCATGTTGAAGAGGTTTTGCGATCCTCAAGAAACAGTTCTTGACCTTTCTACACTATTGACTTGGCTCCATTTCTCCTACCTGATTGACAGGCCTCTATCCTGACTTATAGAGTATATCCTTACATAAAGCCCTACGACCTTCGCCGTAGTACCGGTGAGGCAGTTAATAGTAAGTATTTATGTATTAGTAGTTATATCCTCAGCACTAACAATATTTAGAAACAGTATCTCTTCCCTTGCTGCAGTAAGTGATAGGCTATATTTATACTAGCACATTCCAGAAATACATAAACGAACAGATTCAGACCTACGTTTAAGTATTATTCCTCGGAATCCCTTCAGAAGACGCATTAATAAATATCCTAAGTCACTAAAGCCGCTATATTAACCCTCGCGCACTATCTAGTTACGATGACCTACTAGAGATCAAGAGGGCTACGCTATTAAATTATCCCGAGATCCTAAGCTTACAGCAAATACGTGATTCTCTTATATTAGAAGCTAAAGAGCTTTACGGTTCTATAAAAAATGCTCGTGGAACTAAAATCGGGGAACTTAAAGCAAAGGCAGATGCGGCATTGAGGGCAATGAAAAAAGTCCTAAAGATAACAACATTCAACGGTGCTCGTAGTGATTTTTTTGCGACTATTAATACTTTAGAAATCAACAAACAACTCGATCCTTCGCTCTTGGATATCAAACAGGATATAGAGACGATAAATTCCCTACTCGAGGAAGGCGAGCCTGGAATTACTAGAGAATATCGAAGAGCTGTCCTTGCCTATCAGGCATCCAGGGCGTACAAGCTTCCGGCTCTCGAAGCCCTTGCCAAACGGTATATAGAACTTTTCAGCGGAGCGATGGCTACGCCTGAGATTCTTTAAATAATAATAGAGGTCTTTTCAAAGCTCCCTGAAGATAAAACTTGGTTTTCGAACTATATTAGATCAAGTCTCGAGCAATAGTTGGTCCCCCGAGAATCAACAACAAATTTCGATTCACTCTACAAAGTTCTGGGTCAAGATCACTTCTTTGACAAAGTCGTTACGAAGATGATGCTTGAAATACTGTCTAACCGCCTATGTTTTCGGGAAACTATCGAGGACCAGAACAACCGCCACAGGCAGAATAGTTCTGCGAAAGAACAGTTGGTGACGGTGGTTCCACTCGAGGCTTATCCCGAAGATACTGCCGCTGCTGAGGAGTATCCGGAGCCCGAGGAGGTTCCAGTCGAGGCTTATTCCGAAGATGCTGTTGCTGCTGCTGAGGAATATCCGGAGCCCGAGGAGGTTCCAGTCGAGGCTTATCCCGAAGATGCTGTTGCTGCTGCTGAGGAATATCCGGAGCCCGAGGAGGTTCCAGTCGAGGCCTACCCCGAAGATGCTGCCGCTGCTGCTGAGGAATATCCGGAGCCCGAGGAGGTTCCAGTCGAGGCCTACCCCGAAGATGCAGTTGCTGAAGAAGTTCCTGCCCTCGAGAAGCTCCACCTAACTCCACATTTGTTAGAGAACCTTTACTTGTACGAAGACTGGGAGATTCTCTCCCCGAAAAAGAGGAGGTCGAGGACCAAAACTCTTAGGGCAAGGGGCCTTCCCATTCCAGACAAAGACGGCGTAATTTCAACCCTGATGGTCTAGGATCCCATATCTCAGCTCCCCAGTCACTTTCATCGAATGAACTCTTTCAGTTACTTTCAGTTGGGCAATGCTTTATCCAGAAAATACTGTAAATATAAGGGTTTCTTCAACTGCTGAGGCGATAGCGAAGTACCCCGTACCGTCTTTCTTAATGTTGCCAATAGTGACGCTAAGGCAGTGGCCCTTTAACGGCTACGTCAACTGGTTACACAAGCTTTCAGCTCAGGCGCCCCATCCTCTTATTGGCCTATATTGAATTTCCCGTGTTGTGTGAAAGATTGTATATAAATTGGTACTGTGAGGGGTGTGTCTCGAACTCCTCAATAAACAGTCTTGTCACGAATTTGACTTGGTGCTCTTCCTCCTTACCTGATCAACAGGCCTTCTACCCTGCAAGTAGATCTTTCTTAACAACTTTCTGCGGCCTCATATGTTAGATTTTGGTCACTCCTTCAACGCAACATGTTTTTTTCTCACCTCTCTTGAACTCGCAATTAGGCTGTCCATTATCCCCAGGATCCAGTTCGTGTAATCTGATCGAAGTAGTAACGAATACTATCAATTGAGAATCAACGGTAGCCGTGGACAACATTCCGTTGCCCTCACAAAACATACGTGGTGGTGCTGAAGTGAACCCACAGGAAATTTGTGTGTCTATTGGGATGACTCCCGCAACTAGGGGTCTCCGTACTCTGCTCAACTCAAGCAAGACAATACCACCCATTCATCAGTAAACACTACTCATCAGTAAACACTACTCATCAGTAAACACTACTCATCAGTAAACACTACTCATCAGTAAACACTACTCATCAGTAAACACTACTCATCAATAAACACTACTCATCAATAAACACTACTCATCAATAAACACTACTCATCAATAAACACTACTCATCAATAAACACTACTCATCAATAAACACTACTCTACTCACCGATAGACCCTACTCATCTGTGTGGAAGGAGCTTGCCAATCGCGAGGAGAAGAGGAAATATTGTATTCTTATTTCCCGAATAACAAGGCATGCATACTAGTTAGGTCATGGTAGCCCCGTTTTGGCCCACGACCACCTGGTGGTAGTTACAGTACAGCAATTACTTTCTTCAGGACCGGTAAAGAAGTTCGTCTAAGGATTTAATTTTCATTTTGCAAACAATTTACGGGCAAAAAAGTGTAATGTTCTTTTAGTTCGTGTTTGTTGACCGAATAGAAAAACTTGAGTGGTTAAAAACTGTTTGAACTGGTGAAGTTCAAGGTCAAGAAGTGGTGGGTGGTGGAACAGCGAGGTACCTCGGAATAACAACTCTTACAACGTGGAGCAGAAAGAGCGTTGCTAATGAGGCTGATCTGCATATGGCATATGTACTAGAGCAACCTTGTCTGTGGTCTGAAATCCTGCAGCTTCGCTGACGTCGCTCACTAAGGCTAAGTTAGCGGGCAATTCCTAGCGATAGTGACTAAGATAATTGTCGTGATAGGGTCGCCGTATAGTATAGTTCCTTCCAATGTCAAGCGGAGTGTTTAAAATTTGCTGGGAAATCATTGATTGAACCAAAATTAGACATGGCCTGGGTACCTGGGGCCTCCGTAGACTCAGAAACAGCGTCTTCTGGCTTCTATGGTCGGCGGGCCGCGTGAGACACATATCCAGTGTCTCAAGGCCACTCATGTAATAGAGCTTTGGAACTAGGTCCGGGCGGGCTTCAGGTCTGGATTTGTGTGTCCGCAGTTGTAAAGCGGTGGTGGGAAGGCTTTAGCTTTCGGACCCATGACCCAGAGCAGTTGAGCAGTTGATATCCGGCCACAGTCTAATGGCTGTAGACGTGGATCCACTTAGGACGTGCGTCCAAAGCTACAGGTCTACTATGGCCTTCAATCTGTTCACTGGCGGCCTACACGGCCGAGAGGCTATGAGGGCTACAGGTCTGTAGACTACGGTCTACACAAGCCACGAATCTCTGGATGTTCAATTATTAAAGATATCTCTCTCAACTGTGGCACCCAGTTGGAGGCATCGCTCCCCAACCAGTCCCTTCGACGGAACAGCCGAACGATGAGATCGTCTACAGACGAACATTCGTGGTGAAAGTTGCAGACTCAAGCATTGCATTGACCTGGTCCTTTGCCTGACAAGCTGACGGAGATATAGTTGATCCGGACGTCTAGACAGATGGTTCTAACGTATTACATAAGGCATCCGTTAACAGAACTCTGACTGGCAGCGGAAAAAGATGACTGGCCAAAATTGGATTCTCTCTGGTTTTACTATCACTGTAGCTTTAAAACTAATCTAGTTGGTATTTGAAATGATGAATGGCGTAGTAATTTCGGACGACTCCTCGACGGGGAGCGAGGACTGAACGCTACCAATCTCTTGAACGAGCTCATCAAAATTAGGAGGGAGATTAGACTACGGGATGATCTGCATAAGGAAGAATTCCAGAAAACCAAAGGAATTCAGCGCTGCTCTTGCAGCCCTGGGGCTACAGAGCCAGACAGATGGACTCCCGACAACGCAAGGCCTCTCCGAGCCACGCGCCCACAACGACCACGATAAGATCCTTCGCAAAATTCACTCCCAAGAACGGCAATCCGTCGACGGACCTCGCCTTAGAATTCCTGTCCTATGCAGATGTCGCCCGTAGGTTATCCGAGCAACTGAAGTTTGTGAATAATCATCGTGCAGGTAGATTGCGAAACAGGAAAGCTCTTTGAAATCATACTGAAGAATTTGAACCTGCCTTGTCTCTTCTTCTGCGCGAGAACACTCTCAATTCTCCTATCACTTTGCCATAAACCATTTGCTACGGAATGGGTGTCAGTTTCTGCTATTATATAGTCTAGAACAACGATACTCACAGGAATACACTTGGAAATGAACTATGTAACGCCGGTAATGACTAGCGACACAGACGCAAATAATATGAACCACCTCCAATCTGGGTTATCTTGAAGGAGGTCCACGTTTATGCTAAACAGGCTCTAAGGATTCCAATCAGTCAAGGTTGTCAGAAAAGGTATCTTGAGTATGAACCGCTCTACTCACCGAAGCAAATATCAGCGGCAGGAAAATAAACTATCGAGATTGATTACAAACAAGCCCCGCAAATCTTGGAAGATTTCACTCACAGTAATCCAGCTAAGACGCTTAAAACTTGCTGCCTCGTTTGTGGAGACCCAAGCAAGCTCCTATGGAGTTGATGTTAGTGCCTGGAGGAGAATCCTGCAAGGTAGCTTATAATCTGCAAAATATCTCGTACAGCCTGCTCTATATAGTCAAGCTTTGCGGTCACTTCCAGGTCGAGTTCGCTGATTTCTCCTTTAAGCTGCGATTGATGTTTTTCTTCAAGTGAACTATTAGCTTTGACTACTGTGAGAAGCCCCTCGATGTGCGATTGCAAACATTGTCGGAGGTCTGCACGCTCTAAAGTATTCCTGGCAAGCTTATCGACTAGACCGTAACTTCTACCACGCTTTTTGACTTGATTATGTCGCTGAAAAAAATTCCTCATGAATTAACGCTATGTTTTAGTCGTTGAAAATAAAAGAATTTTCAGTGAACCTACTAAGGCCTTAACTCTTGCGTTTGTATTAGAACAGGTTGCTTTCCACTTATGGCGTAGAGCCTTAAGGAACAGTCCGAAAAAGTCCGAAGGATCATTTGGTAACTAGCCGCTCGGAAGTATGCTGATGAACCTATAAGCAAGCCCTTCTGCCGTCGTTATGCTAGTCTATGCGATACCCTATGAATAGTCATCTTTCTCTTGCTTGCATGGAAAGGCTAGCGAAATATAGGTTACCAACCGATGGCCAGAATCTTCGTGAGTATAGTTCTAGTAATAGCCTTCATTGTTGAGCTTGTTATGAACGCCTAATCTCCACGGTAAGAGCGACTATATTGTTGGGTTATCGCAAATACTTGAAAAGTTAGGAAAAAACTCTCCGTTTCCAAATAAGATCCCTACTCACTATAGCCTTGCCTCTTTAGCTCCGGGCAACTAGTCGCAGTGGAGTTCATTGATTAATTCCAAATGAAAGCCGCGGTTTTGTATCCTCCTGGTGATCTGAATCCAGAAAGGTTCTGGCTCTTCTATCGTAAACTATTCCCGTGACTGGACAGGCTTGAGGTCTGATGATGGAGCATTGAGTAATAGATCTACGACAGCTTTGCTTTGCGCTTTAAGAGCATATTGCAAAGGGATCTTGCTAGTATGGTCCCTGGCGCCCAAATTCGCATTAGCTTTGATCAAAGCTGAAACAAGTTCCCGGCTTCCCTTAAGATATGCAAGGTGTAGAGGAGTCCTTCCTTTCTCGTCAGGCTGGTTGGGATTATAGCCAGCCTGAAGAAGGCTGGTCACCAAGCCCAAAACGTCGTCTGGTTCTATTTGACTTATACCTTCGACCAATAAATGCAAAGAAATAGTGTCACCGTCTTTTAACAGATCAACTGAAGCCGTACTTCCCCCCTCTAATGCCCAGATTAATGGAGTCCGGGAAAATGTGTCTCCGGTTCCATCACAAATATTCATGTCCACTCTATCCGCCTTGTCCTTGACCTGTAGGAAACAACGTACAACTTCGTTGTCTCCATACTCCGCTGCCTATAAGAGCCAGTTGCGACCGCTTCGATCCTTTTTATTTGGTGTTGGTAGGTTGTAGACTAAAGCCTGGAGACTAAAAGGATTTACCGTCTTATTAAGCGCTGGCCGGCTTAAACGATTTGGAGAGCTGGTAAACAAGGTATACCTTGCTCTGAGAAACCACCAAAACCCTGTATGGCCTTCGTCATCTGAAATATGGGGATCTGCTCTATTCTCGATGAGCATTTGTATAATCAGGGTAAATCCACGCTCTGTAGCTAGCGAAAAGGGAGTGCGACCTTTTGTATCTTGATGGTCCACACATACTCCTGCTACTCTGAGTAGGAGCTCCGCTGTCTGCTTATGATTATTCGCAACAGCACAGGAGAGCGATGTCCACTTTCGCTTATCCTCTGAGTCGATCGCTGTATTCGATTTGAGTAATTGGTTCAAAATGTTGATTTTACCAAGACTTGCTGCTATCATTAAAGGGGTTCGGCTAGTCGCATCTCGAGAGTCTACGGAGATTCCTGGGGCCTCGAGTAAAACCTCGACTGCAGCGTTGTGTCGCTTTCTAACAGCCTATGCTAGCGCTGTTTAACTCTTTGCGTCAACCGAGTTTACGTTTGCACTGGCATCAAGTAGTACCTGCAAAATGTTGATATGTGCGAACTCTGCCGCAAGTAATAATAGAGATTTTTTTGTTAGATGATGATTGACGGAGAAGTGCTTAATTTCCAGCAGAATATCATCTGGTAGAAGATAAGTTTCAAACAGCCACTTACTCAGGGTAGGCCATCTAGTTTCATCTAATGCCTGTATATCCGCTCCTGTATTGATGAGAAGCTTGGTTATACCGATATCTCTAAGCTCTATCGCCACAGATAGCGGGGTGCGACCTTTAACGCGATGATTAGCCAGACTATTGTTAGCTTCGAGTAGGAGTTGAACAGTTTCTATATCCCGGCGAAAAACTGCCCATAGTAGTAGGTTACGTTCAATCCCGATTAATCGCCTTCCCTTTTCTTTTGTATAGATTAGGCACTATATACTTTCGGCACTCCCAGTCTCTGCGGCGATTGATAAAGAAGTCCGACCGCTGATATCTTGATGGCCGCTATTCACGTCTCCAATTGAGAGGAGGTATTTTGCTGTTTCAAGATACTGCCTCGACACTGCCCAGAATAGCGGCGTCTAGCCTTTTGAATCCGGTAAATTGATATCCGTATTAGATTCGACGAGAATTCTCACGTGGTCAAGATACCCAAGCTCTGCCGCTAGTGACAGCGAAGTACGGCCTTTATTATCTATCCAGTCGAGAAGAGCCCCTTTATCTATAAGGAGCCTTAATGAATTAGTAGGACGGTATTCCACAGCGAAGAAGATGCTTGTTCGGCCGTCAGAGTTGCAGAAATTCAAGTTGAGTCCTTCGTGCTGCAAGAGTTCATTGAGCACTCTCTACTCTGATGTCGCCTTCGCTAAGGGTGACATACCGTCTATCTAGAAATTGATGTCCAGCAATGAATCTCTCAGGTAATTTTCGAGCTTTTTGATGTTTCTCTTAAGCAGTTTAGGTCTCCTTTTTGTAGACGTGATTACAGACGTGATCGTAGAAAGAAAATCTTGCTAAAGTCGAGCTCGAGCGACCGCTTCCTGAGAAGAATCATCGTCACTCAATATGGATTCCATTTTCAATAGATCTTTTTTTGTGATGATTGTAGTCGGAATTGATGTTTTGGGTATCACAAAAAGAATCTCAACGTACCTAAGGCTTAACGGGCATTTCAGGCGGCTGACTGAAATCGCTTTGCTGCCTTAGACTGAAGCCTATTTTGGCTAGCCGTAGATAATTTTAGTCTCAGAGGCGCAGATATGTTATGTGAGTAAGAATATGTACTAATATGTCTGGACAGGTTAAAGCGCTCTATTTTAACACTGAATGGTTTTGTTTCCTACCGCTCTCGAGAAGGAAGGCCCAGATCAGGTGCCAAGTTTCACTAGAAGCGAGCACCATGAACGTATAGCTCTCAGAAAAAACGGCAGAAAACTGATCGTTGATGGCCAGTGCCAACTGGAAGGGTATAGAAAGGACATTTGCGAAAGGGCTGGCAGCTAACGCCTTATGTGACGGGTGCTCTTCGCAGCAGGATTCCTGGCGCATTTAGCGCCCCGGTGGGTCTATGGGAGGCCTTGTACGGTTCCGAGAAAAAGTGCTCCTTGGGCTCTATTGCTCTGCTCCGGGAAAGTCTCCTTGAATTTCAGAATTTCAACTTACTATGCCTCTTCGAAAACGAAGAGGCTGGACTTGTTTTCTCGGGCGAGAGCGCCAAGAAAATAAGTATGAAAGAAGATAAGCGTGTAGTCACGTACTGTAATATGTCCAAAAAGAACACTTGACTATATCCCCACAGATAACCGTCTCTGGCCTTGAAATACAGGGTTGGCGAATTGCCCCTTAATGCCTTATCTATATACGTTCGTGGTCTAGTGTATCCCGCTCGGCTTTTTGAAAATTTTTATTAATAAGGAGACAATGAAGCTCTATATTTTCTAAAGCCTTAAAGCCTTCTATTATCCTTGGCTCTACCTAGAGATACGTATCTGGCTGCCCTGGCGAGCGGTGAGAATACAGTTATAAATCAGAATGTGTCTAGCTTGCCCCAGTCACTCGATTGTTCCTTGCTGTACATCAGCTAGCTTTACCCTAGTGCACCGCCCTGCCCCTAGTAATGCTGGTAGCGATTTGCACAAGTCAAATTGTCAAGAACAACAGCCTCAAATATGCTAACCCCTAGTGAAAACGTGTACTTTAAGAACTCGCCTTAGTCTTCGGAATTGGAAGTGTGGGCGGCGATGCACACAGGCAGGAATAGTATACGCTAATTCGATACCCGGAAAGAATCGAGACCAGATTAAGGCTTTGATTAAGTCTATGGTTTTCCTCTGCCAGGAATCTCCAGAACTGATCTTGAAGATAGAAGAGCTTAGCGCGCTCGCGAATTGTTATTCCCACCGTCGCAAAGATCCAGAAGATACCCGAAAGACAAAATAGATGGCTGCTTTTCCGGCGCAGCCTAGTGACGTGCGTTATGTCGAGGTGCAGGTCACGGAATTGCTTAGGTCTGCTTCTACTCTATGCGGTGCAAAAACAGAGTCAAATTTATGTCCGAACAAGATCGGAGGCCGAAAGGTTCAAAATTTCTAGAGAATAATTGACGAAATCGTGAGGCTCAGTATATACCACAGACTCTCAGATATTGACTATCATCTCGGAGTTCTGAAGAAAAATATGTACTGCTCCGACCACGAGCTTACTATGTATCTTAAAAAAGGGGATTGTTGGAAGTCTAAAATCCTGGGAATTTGCACAACGGCAGGCTTCGGTGTGGGACTGCCGACTCGGTCTGAGGTACCCTATGAACCTGAATGTAAGTCGTTAGGTTCAGAATCTACCGAGCACTACGACGGGTTTTATTTGAAGGGTCAATAAATATCAAGCTCGAGAATACAGGAAGATTTAGCCTTAGGTTTGCTGGAGGGGTTTAACACTACCCCCTTTCAAATCCTTCCAAGAAGGAATAGACGCGGCACAAAAACCCTGAACGACTATATCCATGAAAGAATCTGCCGAAATCTGAGTTCCCGGTATCGAAAACGCGGATATATCTATGCTTTTCAAGTAAAGAGTAACCCGGGGTATATCAAAATAGGATATACAACTAGACCCGTTCTCGAGCGCCTCCGATCGTTGATATTTGACTGTAACAGGGAAATGAAGGTGCTATTCCCTACTGCCCCTGAATCTGTGAAACCAGTGCCGAATGCCTGGCGCGTTGAGGAATTATGCCATACGGAATTGGTTGATTATCAAGTCCAGGTTGATTATACAGGGTGTTTGAGTGAGCATCGAGAATGGTTCCAGATCTCTGCTGCAGATGCATTTGCGGTGATTAAAAAATGGTCTGCGTGGATGAGAACCACACCATACGACCCAGTGCTCGGGAACTTGAAAGAGAAGGAGAAACGTAAAGCTGCGGAAATGGACGACTTCATGAGCGAACTAGCAAAGTCGGAAGGTTGAATAAAAGCGACTTTGAAAGTGTGGTCTAGGAACGTCTACAGTAGAGCATACTTAAATTCCAATTAAGTCTTTTTAAAGTAACCGTAGAACCGTGTCCAGACAGGAATAGTCGTTGGCTCGGTAATTAAATAGAGTACCTGGGCCCTCCGTAGCTTTAGGGGGAATGGTTCCCCGGCCAGTGTGGTCTCCGGGCTAAAGGCGACCCATCTCCAGTGCCTGAAGGTCCCTAGTGAGGGCACTCATTCCATTAGCAACCCCGTAAAGGCTCGAAGATTACGTCCGCTTGTTCTGAATCCAGTGGGAATTCGGAAAGAGTCCTAGATCATAGATGATGTGAGCCAGGAACCGTCTCCCGCGTAGGGCAATCAACAACCTCTCCTGTCGGTAAGCCAGACTGTCGGACGTCTGAGATCTGGCGACAGTCATAAGACTCTAGAGGTTTAAAAATTAGATGTGGGGGTATTTAGACTAAGGTGATTCAAAGACAGTTGTGGTTTAATTACTTCCGCGGAGACTCCGTGGTCGCTAAAAATAGGTATCGTGGTGTTTAAACCACCAGGGCCTTTGAGCCTCTGGGGCCGCCACAGCTCCAGGGAGATCGTTTTCGGGCCTGTGTGGTCTTCAGGCTAAAGGCGATTGATCACTGTCTTTTTTTCTTGCCCTCGGTTTCATTGCATGTCTAGACCCAAGTGACCCAAATGATGGTTTAATTGTGGTTTCAACATGGTTAATGGAAGAGAACGGCGGGCGGTGAAACCGCACTTTATTTTCAATAATCCAGGTGTTGTAAATGGAGTTTGCAAAATCTGGGCAAGAGCTGCTGGTTAAACATAGTCTTCACATAATTATCTGCGTTCAGTTTTTAGTCCCAAATCATGGGGTTATTCGACGTAGCAGTGTTCTGCTCTCGCCTTGGAGCACGGTTAGCGAAACCGTGACCTGGTGCACGTATAAAAAACTGCTAATACGCAGTAAATCTAGCCTATATCTAATTAAGTGGAATTAATCGACCGCTAATAGTATAGCTATCGAATCGCCTACTAATTCAGCCAATTAGATCTTAAAGATTCCTAGCGTATTAGATATCGATCTATCTAACGATTTCGGCTAATTCGGTCTATCTTCTTATACGCTAAAACGAGTAAAAGGATTAGTTAATCTCTAGCACCGGCGCCTAGGTTATATAAATTAAGAGATCCTATCTTATCCAGCTAATTACTTAGCTAATATCGAAATCGATACTATAACCTCCGAATCGGATATCTATAAGGGTTATAAGATTTCTAAGGCTAAGTAGTAGATCTCTCGGCGTCCGATCGAATCTAATAGGCCTTTCGAATTAATCCATTAGGATCTAATCTATCAACCGCTTGTTACGGACCTCAAAGAGGCGCGGGGGCCGCAGCTATTTGAGTAGCAACCGTGAACCAATCATTCCACGGACGCTAAGGATTAGCGTCGTTACGTACGTTTCGGTTTACTTGGGCAAGCCCCGGAAGGCACTAAGCAGAAGGGTTTAGGATAGGAGCCAGAATCGACCTACGGCTAACCGTCATAATTAATACCCGCTTACTCCACGGGACGGTTAGCGCAACGCAGGAAACGGCCGCTCTTTTACCCACACCAAGATTACACCCCAAATGCAAGAACCCGGTAAACCACGTGACATCTAAGTGGTAGATGGGTAGGACGGTATACGGGTAGATCGCGCCAAGGACCATCTACCACTCTACCATCTACCGCCCATACCACACAGGAAGAGCTGGATATATAAGGACACTCATTTAGCATCATGTATTTAGTTCTTCGCGATCAATTGCACATTGTTACTTGGTTACTACCTTTAGTACTTTGCACTTCACAGTTCACCTTTAAGACAACCCAACCTACAAGTAGGGGATTCACTTAGTAGCAATACTTTGTGATTGACTTACTTGGCGCGCACTTCTGGCACGTTCTGCAAGACGCTCAACAGGATCTATTCCGCAGTAAGGCCTTGCGAGGCAACGGTACGATTGAGAGACACTCTTGGAATTCGAAGTTGTGCCGAGAGGGCCGGAATTAGCCGTGACAGCACATATCGTTATTGTACCTGTTTACAACATCAATCTCAGGTAACTATCGCCCTTTTGGTATTAACTCACAGTGACCAGTCGGCTCCACGTAACATATAACAGCCAATAGGCTCAGAGATCCGGGTGGCCATATAGGCTAGCGGTCTAGGCTGGCAGGCTATGAATAAGGATGGCGGGGTATTAAGGCTCCCTTACCCATACTCATTGCCTTCCAGAAGATAGTTACAGTGCGCAACTCTTCCAAGAATCATACTGTAGTTGGTTTCCCCTGTGCCATGCTTAGCTTGCATGTAAGACTGGGTGCTTTGGTACAGGTTTTTCTTTCTGCGAACGTTTCTTATGATTTAATGCTGTTCTTCGGAGCTCTACCAGGGCATTGGGGTAATGGCTACACAAGATTGCGTAGTGAATATTGCACAGAACTAAGGTGGTGCGAGATCGCCTCTCTTTTGGGAAAGCACTCCAACCCTGGTAGTGACCACCAATCAGTACTAGTCCCTACGGACACTATTTTGTGTTTATAGAGTCTACTTCCAGCTCTATCAGCAGTACGTGAATATTGTATCCAGGCCCTCTAGTAGAATATTGACTTGACAGGCTTCGCCATCTGCAGTATCTTCAGCGCCTTTGGATAATAGTACTATATGAGATTGGATGCTTAAGTATCCTGTGCCAATTTCACTCGAAAGTTCCAGAAGGTTCCCTTTTACAGCGACCGGCATAAGGTCGTATCCCCCGTCACCAACCCGTGGGCCAACGATTCTCGCCTTAGGTAGAAGTAAAAGACAGCAAACATGTTCTAACGTCGTCCCCAATATTAAAACAGCTATTGTGGGTTTACATAGAGACAGAACGACAATAAACAATAGGCAATCGCTCCGCTCCCCTGTCCCTCCACACAATAGCCTGACAACCAATATACCTAATTCGGCCTAGTGGCACTATTAGCAACATCAAGAAAGACACGACGGAGTACAGTCTGGTTGATTAGCTGGTTGATGTCATTTGCCCCGACCCCTCGCTCGAAAGTTGGATTATAAACCACAGCCCACTAGGCTAGGTACGGATTCGTATTTTGGCCAAGTTGGGTAAACCAAGTTAGCGAGGGGTCAGCGTAAATGAATTACACACACACAACTGTACTCCGTAATGGCTTCGGCATTTTGTAGAAACCAGGAAGAGAGAGGGGTAGAGTTCTCCGGCCACAGAGTAGGTGTAGGTTGAAATAAATTTCTCATCATGACCTGGGGGGATGTGAAACTATTCGGAAATGCACGGACCCAGGCTTTAGGTGGAGAAGGTGCTTTTTTTTAGCCAATCCTTTCAATTCACCAGTCCTCTCCTTCTGAGGTCAGAGTTGAAACCAGTGGCTTTCACTGTTCACCTATTTCAACGTTTACTGCACCTTCTGGTTGATGCTCTGTTTTGGACTCTCAGATTAAGATTAAGGCCCATTTTCACCGCCTACCATGCCCTTTCTTGACCTCACGTTGAACTTACATATGAAAGGACAAATACGTTTAATTCGATCAACCAATACAGTAGAAGATAGTGGTCAATTAATCGAGTATCAACAGCATCTATGCCGGCCATCCTCACCCAACGCATGTTAGGCCTCACAAAAGATGGGGTCGGTAGTGAAACTGTACTGTTTAGGCTTTGTGACTTGTTTGAAAGGCGTGGGTGCTACTGGCCTCCTGGTATGCTTACTCGGCACGGTCGAACTATTATCCAGATAGTTGCCCTGTTCTGCAGGTGCCAACCAGCTTTACTGGAAGCGAACACTTGGCTACTCCAAAGTGGAGAGAGGAGTACATAGCAGCTAACCAATAGGATTGGTTCGTTGTTCCTTTCTACCCCTTGGAGCCACTCACGGTTCGCCAGTTTATGGCAGTCGAAGAGTGCCAAGATGTTAGCAATGCACTAGACAGTGAACAGCCTGGGCGTTTCGCTGATTGGTTTAACCGGATTGAGGCGAACTGGAAACTATTCACAGAACTGTGATATTATGTACAAGCAGTGGACCTTGGACTGTCCCAGAGTATGGATTCTGTCGGCAAATCGAGCTCCGCCTGAAAGAGCCAAGTATGACAAATCATCGACCTCTGCTTGGCCCATTGGCCAGGTTGATATCCTAGCTACATAGACCGCCAGCCTACATAGTCCTGGCTACATAGCCCGCTAGCCTATATGGCTCTGGCTACATAACCCGCCAGCCTATATGGCTCTGGCTACATAGCCAGCCGCCTAAGGATGCGTGAATCCTTACTTGTGGTAGGTATCCCTCGGCAGGGACGGGTATGGGAGTCCACCCTTTTGTGGTAGAAATCCTATGGGGGAATTTGCCCTTGAGCATTAAGTTACCCCAAGGTAAGTTGTACGTGAGAAAATTCGTTCCTGGATTTCAACATCATCGAGGGTATTTGCCCCTCAGGATCCTTGGCCCTGAGGAATAGTTGCCCTACGGTCATATACTCCGGCGAGAGCTCATTCCTGCGCTCCAGGGACCTGGTAGCGAGAAACTCTCAATGGTATTTGCATGCACGAAGCGAAAAACAGATTTTGTCCATGTTCTAGCACTCAAAGCGAGAATCAAGGTGATAATAAATAATCAATCATATAGCAAGGCCGGATAGATACAAACTGCATAGACAATGTGATTTCAAAAGCCATAGATTCTATCGCTCTATCCTTTTGCCCCACGGAGGTCCTTTTTACTTCTTTCAACTGGTGTTGGATAGTAGGAGCCCTAGAGGAGTCAGAAAAGTTCAAGCTACGAAGAGTTTAGAGAGACCGAGAGAACATACTAATTGAGTCCTGAGGAATGACCAAATCCCCGATGAGTCTGCAGAGAAGATAAATACTTCTCCTGACTCTCGAATCCGTATGCCTAAGCAGACATCTGCCCCGCACATTTCGCTATACTGTTGCAACTTATTTTCTAGGGTCATCTTCCGCCGGTCTCTTTTCTGTCGAATCGATTTCTTCGTACTAGAAGCCTTCGATCGTTCGCGGGGGGGGTCTTCGCCATAATGATTGTGAGATAAATGGTTCGAACGAGTTAAAAGAGGGATCAACAGGTTTGATGTTACTTATTTATAGTAAGCACTGGGCTGAGAAATGGAAATAAAGAAATGGAAAATGAGAAAATGTCAAAATGCGAGTATGAGCCTTCTGGTTCCTTAGAAGACCTCGATATGGCACCGTAATTGTTTCAGGGACAACGGGCCGCGATCTTGCCTCCATGACCAAGTGGTATAGTGTGCAATTCCTTCTGGTCTCTCAATACCAGAAGGTGAGCTGGAGGTGAAGATAAGGCATAGTAATTAGAGCCGTGGACGCTTGGCACCTTTCTAAATGTTGTTGGTCCAGGTGAACAAGCTAACCAATCAGCTTTGGGATGAGTTATCCCCAACCCTAACTGGCTGATTATAGGTTGAACATCTGCGATACCTTTTTTGTTCCCTTGCGACTTCCAAAACAGACCCCTGCGACTAAAGCGGATGCCTACGACTACCTAAGTGGATCCCTGTGATTACTAAAGCGGTACGGTACCTGCGAGTACTAGAACGGCTCACTGTAGACACCAAGGCTGATCTCCTAAAGCAGACACGCTATTTGTTCTGCGACACCGTTTTTGTTCTGCGACACCCTTTTGGTTTTATTTCCGATATAGTTCATAAAGGATTGGTTTTGGAAGAACTGTCATGATGGACCTTGCTCGCTTTCAAACAGACTTTTACGATACGGTACTACGTAGGAGGAGGAGGAGGAGGAGGAGGAGGAGGAGGAGGAGGAGGAGGAGGAGGAGGAGGAGGAGGAGGAGGAGCATGGATAGGCGTCACAAGCACAACGAGATCACCAGGTGACTAGGTAACACCGGCCGGTGAGCGACGCATGATGATGCAATCCCCCATGAGCCGCATAACTCTTAACCTTGTTGAGAATCCTCACGAGGCAGACAGGACGGAAATGATTGATTCCACCCTCTAGTCTTTCTAGCGCTAGGAAGGTCGAGTGGCAGATTGTTTGTAGGTAGACGCTATAGGAACTTCTGTATGTTAACCGTGCGATGAGGAAGTATGTCCGGAAAAGGTTCTCTTATCACAGTATCTTCAGTACCAGAGCTTGAGAATGTCATTATGGAAGAATATTTGGTAAGGGATGGGTTTCCTAGAATACCTATTGATATGAGAGCACACGAGTTTCATGAAGAAAATTTCAAGACCAAATTCATACCAGAAACCTCATCTCATGACAGGACTTGTCTCGTGTAGGCTGCCTTGAGATATTGTAGTTAAGAGTGGTGATATGAAACGAGACTCTTATGACTAAGCTCTTGAGAAACGTGAGCCTCCAAGATCTTAGTCATAAGACGGTCCTCTTGAGAAGGTTCTATTCTTGAGAATCGCGTCTTTTCTCAGCGCACCTACCAAGACGACCGTCTTGTGTGAGTACTATTCTTGGGATTTAAAGATTCTCGAGAGAAGGCTATCAGATAATCAGACCTCCTAAGAAACCCCTCCCATATCTACATAGCACCCAAGACGTGTTTCCCATATATGGACGAGCTGCCATCGCAGATGTAATTTTACCTCGAAAGCACATCCGTCCCACTCGGTGACTCAGCCGTTAGTTATTTATCGTGCTAAAGGTACTGTACTCAACCTACGGGAATCTATAGTCCTGCGGGATCAGGATAGTCAGGATTCCTGCCAGACTGAGGACGCCAGCTATCCTAGGCTTAACTCGGTTTAGATGCCTACCAATAGTGTTGCTTGAAGGCACAACCACTTCGGATGTGGATCCCAGTGATTCAGCCCCCGCCCCCAACGAGTAGGCTCAATTGGCCCATTGTGTTTATTGTCTGGTGAATTGGATACCAGTCGAGACACAACGACCACAGTGGCCTATTATTCGGTAGTGCTTGCTGCGGCAAGACCCCTGCGGACTAACGGTAGCTGAATGTCGAGCGAGTAGGCCTTGGGATTCTGGGAGGTACTCCGTACAGTTAGCGATTTTGAGACCATCACGAGCTGTTCTCCATTAACAGTAATGCCTTTCACTAACCGCCCAACTTGAGGGCCTAGCAAGTCTGGGTACCTGGGGCCTCCGTAGATTTAGGAAAACCGTCTTCTGACCTGTGTGGCTCGCTATCAAGAGCCACAAGGCCAGTCATGTAGAGCTGAGGAACTATGTACACTTCTTGAGCCCTGAATCCCGAGATTTGTAGCTTGTATAGACTGTAGCCTGCAGATCTGTGGCCCTCATGGCCGTCTAAGCCGCCAGTTGACGGATGGAAAGCCGCGGTAGACCTGGAGCTGTGGACGTACGTCCAAAGTGGATCCACATCCGCGGCCTGAGGAACATGGCCTCAAATCAACTGTTCTAGATCGTCGGGCCTTAAGCCAAAGCCTTCCCGCCCTAGCTTCCTAACCACAGACCCACATCTCTAGACTCGAAGCCCACCTGGACATAGGTCTACAGCTCTAGTACTCCGCTTTTTGTCCCGAGTAATTGTTCGGCGCGAGATGAAATAGTAGACAGAGGAGCCGAACGAGAGAGCCATTCAAATGGAAATTATATAATAATGGGTGGAAATGGGCAGGATCTTCCCGACATGGAACCGTCTTTAGCAGGGGAACCCAAGCTACTATGCTATATTTCCTAAATTATTGTTCAAGTCATGCAACGTGTTGCTGTATAGATGGTGGATCTGGAGCTTTGACAACGCCTCTGACTTATACCCTCTCCTTTCTAACCGTTCTTCTTGTCTCTCTTCTTGCTTTTTCTTTTTCTTACCGCTTCCTTCCTCTTCTCTCATCTCCCAATGGCACCTGCCTAACTGTGGGAGGGCTCGGGCTCACTTTATGTACCTGATTCTGGTTGAACTTCCCTCTTTTTGTTGGTATCTAGTGCTCGTACTACTACACAAAAGTCTGTAGAATGACTGTCTCTAACATGCTCTATAGTTGCCTATATTCTGCTGAAAGTATTTGAGAAACGAGCATTATACATTTGAGTCGGTGTAGAGAGGCTAGACCGATTATAGACTGCTTAACATTGAGATTTGTGCTTCATACCCCTTCGCATTGAGTACGTAGTGAGACGCACTTGAAGGTGTGGGAGGACCGCAGCTAACTGGGGAGAGACCGACATGCCCGTGGGAGCGCTGAGCGGACCATCCAGGGGGAGGAGCCGGAATCAGCCCGCGCCTAAACGTTTCATTGAATACACTAATCTAGACGGTATAGTATAGCATTAAGTGGAAAGAAAAGTGGCTTCCTGGCCTTAGGTAGAGGCACTTTTATTATGTCGAAAGTATTGATCTATCACCCCTAACAGTCTGGTATAGACTTTCAATTGTATAAAGGGCTTCCCTAGCCTCTAGTCGCTTATACTACGCCTCCTTAGTAATGTCTCTAGAAAGACCTTCACTTAGTTTTTAAAAGACCACTATAGTAGAACATGAAGATCGATGATAAAGGTGTACTAAAAGTACTATACTACGACGTGATATAGTAAGCTTATTATAGTATAGACTATATTAACCTTCCCGAGTTTTAGTCTAACTTATCGAATATTCTAGTAACGCTACCCCTCCTAGCCACTAATTATAACAATTTGCTAGATTTATCTATCGGAGTTATTGATATGCAACCAGGCACGACATGCAATCAGGCACTGTTTGGTCTCTCTTTCAGACCGCTTTTTCTTTATAGCTCTTACTAGTATAAGAGCTTCCTTCTAGATAAATCTAATTCAGTATCCTTCATTACATCTCTCTTCCTGGCCTATAAGTTATGATGATTCCAGCCAATAATCCATACTGTAAACTTCTCCAACGGGCTTTGACGGAGGTGGATCGGAGCAACGACTGGAAACATGGCTCGTAAACCAAGGCGCGAGTGAAGTTTCTTCAGTTGCTCTTCTTGGCTGTCAAGCTTCAGCAGACTAAGGTGGCATTTTAATTGGGGAACTTGGAAAAAGAGGTTAGATAATGCTGCTAAGATGGAGGAAAGATATCCTGACATTGGTGACGAAAAGTGATTGTGGTTAGGTCATCTCATCTCAACCTCTAAACTGAACCTGTTCATGTTCATTCTCAATGTCAATGTTGGATTAAATTTCGCAAATATTACAGCATATGTATATCAAAGCCAATATTCAAGAGCCGTGCACCAACAGAAAAACCTCATTCCTCAGACAAAGATGCCCAGTTGGTCGTGGGTCCAGCACAATATGCATTCCCAGTCACTAGGGCGAGGGAGCAATTAGAACTGGAAAGCGAAGGATTCACCGCAAGGAACAAGGTGGAGGTAATCGACTCGCCCAGACAGATCATAGGGCAGCTCTCGCCCTCTTTGGCGACATGCCATTTGCCGCATTTTAAGGTTGTACCATTAGCCACGGTAGCGTTGGAGGGAGGGTCAACAACAGTCCTTGAGTATCCCGAACTTCTTCCCGGGCTAATTGTAACACCAGGAATCGGAGCAGTCGCTGTATAACTTTCGTCAGAATCACGAAGGCAAATTACGTGACCAAATGAAGGAGTCGTGCTCTGGAGATTCGAACAGTCGAATTCGACCCAGGGATTGTACCTTCGTACGTCCCCTACGTTATTGCTATTGGCTTCCTCGATCGAACGACAAGTATCAGTATCTTTCAAGACATATGTGCTCGCACATGTCGTTGGAACACACAGATCCATATCCGAAGGTAATCTATCGCAAACTATGGTATGGCGGTTGTTGGCCATTACAAACGATGCAGATGAGACATTGAGGTGCAACGCAACAGAGTCACATGTGTCGCCATCGACGGTTGTGTATCTCTTCCCGGATAGGCAGGCAGGCTTAGGGTGGAATTCTGGAGGTGCGTCTAGAGATGGTGGCATCTCCGTGGGACCGGAGATGTCACACCTGGCGTGAACTACCACCAAGTCTGCTTGAAAGTATTCATCATACACCGAGTATGACGAGCGTTGCATCATTTCCAGTCTTTCCACATAGCAGAAGCTGCAAAGTTCACTCTTCGGTCTGTCTTTCGTGAAGTCGACTTCACTGAAGCCCTCGATAATATCTGCACGCTGTTATTAGATGTATATTCGCGAATGTGGAAAACCGGGGGTGAGAGTTTACCATTGCAGTATTTATCGGTTGTGGGATCCTTGAGACATGTTTCGTTCCACCCAGACCAGATCTGCCCACCGTACTTGGTTGGGGCAGAGCTGGAGACGTTATATCCGGCGCAATCAGTGGCAACACTATCAAACCAAGATTTCAAAGACTCCCCGCAGCTCTCATCACAGACAGAGTCTGTTAGTGTGTCGTTATGGAGCGAGCCACGATATGATTCGCCTAAGAACGTAGATGCCCAGATGTCACACCGGACCAGCTGTGTCAGCGATGTCTTGCACGCAGAGGGCAAGCCTGCGAGAGCTTCTGAGTCCGTGTCAGAATCCCAGACGTGGAAGCCTGCGTGGTCCCGGCTGCCAATTATTTCTTTTGGGCCTCTGATCCAAGCGAGTAGAGAGGACAAGAAGCCGTTTTTGTTGTCGGTCGCATATGTTGGCATCTCACCACGAGGGCTAACCATTTCGCGAATGGCTTTTGAGACCAGGTTGTAGATCCAAACATCGTAACTCTCTTCAATCTCAAAGGCCCTATCTTGACAATGATCATTATCAACACAATTTTGCGAGTAGTCCGAGAACCAGCTATAGAGCCCTGCGGGAGTGTTAGTATCAATGACAGATGGTAGGGATTATGAAACATACCAGCGCCAAGAAGATATATAGAAGAAGAGTCAATAATCCTGACAGCCCAAGAAACTGAACAGGTAAGAGACGTAGAAGTACAATTGGTGAAGTCGGGATCGGCAGGAAATTGTCTAACTTTGAACGGCTGTGGTGCCCGAGGTACAGGTTGATAGTACGGAGATTCGGTCTGAATCATACCCATAACCACGTTTTTGGCATTGTAGAACTGGTACTGGTAAAGAGCGTGATGCTCAGAGGATGTACCGTACAGCCATGTTGGGCCCTGACTTTCTATAAGTATTCCACGAGCAGCGTAGATATCAAGCTGGTCTTGAGAGGTTCTGTCGAGATCGTGATCGGCTGTCCATACCCAGACGTTCTCCAAATATGCAGAGGAGCTTTGTGTCAGTCGAAGAATAAGCGCAGCTGCTATGCACCTTTTGTTGACGGTGCCGGATTCCTTCGGGCAATCGGCAGCTTGCAGGCCGGAGCCAATAGCGCCACTAATACGAAAATGCGAATCTACATAGAGCAAGGTATAATGAGCAATCTGATAAAAAATGACAGCGATTGAAGCGTAGACTTACCCCATAAGCTAGCTGACCCTTGGGTTGATTCGTGCACATTCCACTCCATAAGCACGGCTCCGGCAGTAGGACCGGAAACAGTGAAGAGGATATCTTGTATTTCGACGATACCAATGTCCCCTTGCTGTCTAACCCTCACAGCCACATAGGGGTTTTCCAAGTCCTGAAACTTAGGACCAGTAGCCATAATCTGGGACCAAGCCTGACCGAGAATTCGAGAGTTCTTCGGGATTTTCAGTGTGTCTTTGATCAAATAGACACTATGAGGAAAGTAGATAATCGAAGACATATTTGAGCCCCGTGAGAGGATGCTATTCAGGACTGTCGTATCATCAGTGACACCGTCACCCTTTGCACCGAGTGCCTTGACATCTAGAACCTGGGTATTTCCAAGGTCAATGTACTTAGGTCTGCGACGTGTAAAGAAGTTAGGTCGGACATTGTATTTGTTAGTGCCCACAAGTGAACTGGTGCGATTCATGGCCAATAGATTGTTACCGGAAACGAAACGTGAACCGCTGGGATCGCTGACCATTCCAAATCCCCATGAATCGAGGATTGTTTGATCTCCGCCGGGAATCAAAGCTTTGCCAGCACCTTGATCATAAATGGCATTTTGGGTATTATAGAAACCCACATTCTGTAGAAGCAGTGCGGTGGAGTTTTCCCCGTAGAGAGTAGTGGTAATTCCCGTGGGAGTGTTGGCGATAATGGCATCGACCAAGACAAAAGATCCTACACCTTGGCCAGTGCTGAATGGTCCTCTAGCCTGATGAAGGCAATTAGCATTTTTGAATAAATATTTTTGCCTAAGAGGCTTGATATGGCACTTACTCCACCGACAATGACCACACCGGTACGGCAGCTCTCAATGACTACATCTTGCATAGTCCAGGCCTAGTCCCAGTGAATTTGGAGTGCTGTATTACAGTTCACAAATACCAGATGACTGGTTGTAAATTGCTGGTTTCCAAGGTATGCACTAGACAGTCTGGTCAGTAGAGGTAAAATGCTTTAAAGGAAGACTCTTACCCAAAATTGCCTCCCACAAATGTCAGATCACTCATGAAACCACCGCTTCCATTCTCTATGTAAATTCCTTGCTGGGTGGTAGAGACATCTTGTGTCATATAGATTTCAAGGTTTTCAAGGGAAGTCCCTTGAGCGACCTGCCAGTGAACTGCACAAACATATGCGCCTTGGTCTGTCCGCGTGATATCAATCTTGAAATTGCGTACACTGCGAAGGAAATTGTTTGTGTTGATGTACCATTCTTCCTGATCTCCAATATAAACATCGGAAGTAATGACACCCAAACCAACAAAGCTGCTTGCAGCGAGAATTGTGGGAAGTTCGAGAGGCTATTGAATTGATTAGCAAAATGCCCATATACACACCCAGAATGAGGTGATCGGAATTGAACTACATGTACTTACATCGCCGATGAGTTGCGTATTATAGTACTGGATGATTGAGCTGCTAACTAGATAGTTCCCCGGGGGAAATAAACAACTGTAGGGTAGATTGTGCTAGAGCCACAGTTGGCGCCGCATCGGCCACTATCAGAAATAGCACGGTTGATGGCAACTAAAATATGTCAGCGTATTGCAACCGAGAAACTGGAATAAAATAACAAACCGGTGTCATTAGTGACTCCATCACCTATAAAGATGTCAGAATTTCAAGTAAATATATATAATCAGATGGAGATTTCACCTTTGGCACCATATTCTTTTACGTTCCTCCAAACCTGGAGTGACAAAATTAGTATTGCTATAAATAACAAACGAATTTCCAAGCTTGTACTCACTTTGTATCCAGATGGAGCAAAAGGACTGCTTCCACGCTGTGTCATGGTCGCCATCCACCAAGTTGATGATTCTCGGGTCTCCAAGGTACCCTGATGGCTGGTAGAGATGGTGCCATTTGTGTCAAAAACACTTCCTGACAGCCTATCATAAGCTCGCAACATTTGTGCGGGAGTAAGGGTATCCTTAGTTTTGTCTCCGTATTTAGCCCGCATCTGAGCCGCAACAGCACTGTGGTTTCCAGTAGATGGCGAAGGAGGGTTTGACTCGGCAACAGCTCTTGCAGCTTCCTTGAGCTCAAAAGGAACTGAGTATCTATATCCAATAGTAGAATTTGTATCACGTCGAGTGAGCAATGGCTCTGTGCTTTCTGCTTGATCAACTGCACCCTGGCTATAGTCAAGCGGGGCGACGGGGGCTGCATATTGGGCTTTTTCTGGAGTAGCAAGTTCATACTTGTTGTATTGAATGTGTTCCATGCGTTGTTTATTTCTCACGCCCAAGACTTTCAAAGCCCTGGCAACAGCTGCAGCTGCATCTGAATCGTTATGGGAGGTGGAAATAGAACCGGTTGCTGCTGCTTGATCAACGCCAGCAATCGAAGAAGAGACTTCTCGTTTGTGCTCCTCGTGAAGCTTCTTGTGGATAGTATTATGGTGATCATGCTTATGGTGAGATCCATGAACAAGAAAGCCGAAATGGCCTATGAGCCAAAGCGCTCGCTAAACCCGCATGATGCGAAATTGATTGATCGAGATAGTTGACTTGAACTACCTTTTTCCTAGCAAAGAGTCAGTTGCCATTAAAATCCGGCTACCTTGGAATAGATAACAAGAGAGGGCGAAGACCAGGAAGGGAACAATTCGTTAGATAACCTGCTTAACCGAAATGCAAAGATATAACTAAGTGCCGTCACGCCAGTCTTTTAGCCCGACCTAGGAATCCACACCTGGCTCTTTGATTTCCTTTTCCGTTGTTTTTGGATTTGAATTTCTTCTTCTTTTTTTAATAGATACCACCTCGCCCGGAGGACTATAAGCCACCAAATTCAATACTCCAATTGAAATGGAGTTAACCGAGGAGCCCTGAAGTAGCTCGAAAGGAAATTACATTGTCTCACTAACCTACTAGTCTATGGGCCTAGAGACCATTTCAGGAGCTAATGGAATTCCGCACCCCAAGGCGGTGAGCCACCAGCGAGAGAAAATTACCACTTAGATGTTCCGCTTCCATGAAGGTTGGATATTGATTGACCCGAAATAAGGTGCACTAACTTGCACTTACATACACTGTTTTAAAAACCCCTGGTACGGTGAATCATATCCAGCTTAAAATCACTCCTCTGCACTGAATCAATTGTTTATGTTCCTCAATTTCAAATTGATTCAAGCTCGCCTACCCTTTGGGTAATCAGCAGGTGCCACGGTGAGTTCCGCCCTAACAGTACAAGGGGCGACTTGGCAAACTAACCGAAGGTCTTGGCAAACCGACCCGAGTTCATCCAAAGGAGTGAGAACGTAGTGGATATAGAATGGGGCCGGAATATCAAAAATCGCGCAAATGCCTTCGCGGACCTGAAGATACCATTTGCCCCAAACTCCCATTAATAAAACCATTGAAGCTCCGGGATTCGCGGGAAACTAGACCTTGGTGCCAAGAGATAATTCACGCTACTTGAAGCTACAAAGCCATTTTGGCCCCCTGTGGGTCTTGCGCGAGGCCGAGACTGTGAAACCCGCTCGGGTCAATCTATCGGGGTAGCAATCTCGGAACACTATGAAAAGAAAACGCTACATTACGAGAAGAGAAGGATTAGCTATCTATCAACAAAAACCGACCTCCCAATTAGGAACTATGTCGGACTGGAACTGCGATGACCACATCCGTAGTTCAGGAAAATTCTGTTAGAGTTCAACTAGGTATGCGGCTAGCAGCCTCGACACCGGCTAAGCACATAATAATCTAGTTCGTCCTTATATGGTATTCGCCTACTTTCCCTTCGCTTACATGTAGCGTATCACCTTACCAGATAGCCTTGCTAGACCCTAGTCAATTGACCGATAAAAGCCTCTTTGCTAGACTGAACGGTCTAAATTCGTATAGTTAGCTCCAGGCCACATCCGTCCATGCCGAATTCATGTCAAGTATGGAAAGCCAAAGGAGATTGCGCCCATATTAGCCTACTCATTGTTGCTACCTGGTCTTGTATCTCAAGCTTAGCAAGACAAAATGTATATCATATGAAAACGTTCGATCGGACTCAAGTTCTGTACATATTGAGCGAATCGAAAGCTACCAATTAATAAATAAAGATCGATGTCAAATGGGTCTAAATGACAAAGCACGGTCTGTTAGATATGTATTCGGGCGACTAGACTACACAGGCAAAAGTTGCAAAGTGAGACTATTTGTACGCCACCAAATCCTTCTCAGTGGATATTTATCAATTATTACTCTATATTACGGAAAACTGCATGAATGGGGTAGTAATTTCCAAAGAAAGAATGTGCGCATGAGATTGGGGACAAATATCATGAAAATTAGAGAACCAGGAGTTGGAATCCCTACTAAGCCTCTTCGCTATTTATGCGCTACTTTTGTCTCAGATTGGAGGCTCCACCAGTATTCCAAGCTAGACAAGACGCAGAAAACCCTGTGGGGCATACAGGAGTAGCTAATAAACCGACCCTTAGCGAGATACGACTTCGGGCTTGAAAGCCTCGAACTAGAATCGGCCAAAGCAGGCATAATAGAGCCAAGTACCTATGTACAACCCGAGGATATTTGCTTTAAATTCAATATTTCCTTGGACCACCACTGTCGTTTTGTCAGATCTCAGCCCGGGCTGCAATTCGTATTTAGATACCTTTTCCTATCATGCTTTCAAGGCATAAAAATGTCTCTCTCAAGTTTGTGCTATTCGGTTTTGCATTTCTTGCTATAGTTTTGCCTGTGCTGGCTCAGAACTGTAGCAAAGATAGTCCCTGCGCAACTGGATGCTGTTCAAAAGACGGATGGTGTGGAACTGACGAAGAACACTGTGGTGCCGGCAACTGTGTTGACACCTGTGACTTCAAGCTCCAATGTGACAAAAATACTCCCTGTGAATCAGGATGCTGGTATGTTGGCATATATTCTATACTTATATATTGTGACTGACAGTGTCATAGTTCGAAAGCGGGATATTGCGGATTGGGGCCTGACTACTGCGGCTCTGATGTTTGTGTCTCTGGATGCGATTCCAAGGCTGAATGTGACCCTGGGTTTGGATCGGAATGGGCAGAGAAGTCCGATTGCCCACTTAACGTGTGCTGCTCTGAATTTGTTCGTCAATCCCATTTGAGCTTTTACCAGCCAGCGTCTAATTTTCTTTCAGGGCTTCTGTGGAACAACCAAAGAATTCGTAAGTTTCATTCCTGTACTTTTTCGGATGGCTGTCTTGATCTTTATTTTGATTGTTCTTTTGGTTTGCTATCTCGGTATTTTCGTCAGCCTTTACTTTTGCCCATTTAATAGCCCTGATTTCCTTCTATCCTCCCTCGTTGTCTCCCCCATTTGCCGACCCTCTGTTGTGTTCGTCCATATACTGACTTTAAGCAGTGCGGCAATAAAACTGTGAAGCATGACACCTGTGATAAAAAGACTGCTACTTTGGATCGTGTTGTGGGTTACTACGAAGCATGGTCGGTTCGTCGACCATGCAATAAATTCTGGCCAGAGCAAATCCCTCTCGGAATCTATACCCACATCAACTTTGCTTTTGCTACTATTGATCCCGAAACATTTGAGGTTCGTCCGGATCGCACGACCGATCTCAAAGTTCTCAGTCGAGTGACAGCCTTGAAGAGGCAAGACCCTGATCTCAAAGTGATGATTGCTCTTGGTGGATGGACCTTCAGCGACCCCGGGCCAACACAGATGGTTTTCTCTGATATCGCTCGTTCAACAGAGAACCAGAAAAAGTTTTTCGCTTCTATCACAAAATTTCTGTCTACCTATGACTTGGATGGAGTGGACTTGGATTGGGAATACCCCGAGGCTGAAGATCGCAATGGTCGCCCGGAGGACTACAAGAATTTCCCTACCTTTATGGCCAATCTGAAAAGCGCATTGGACAGCACAGGCCGCAACGAGCTCTCCATAACACTTCCTGCATCATATTGGTACCTCCAACACTTTGATATAGTCAAGCTTTAAAGTCATGTCAGCTTCTTCAACATCATGTCCTACGATTTGCACGGAAAGTGGGATCTTGGTAATCAATGGACCGGCGAATACCTGAATCCCCATACCAATCTGACCGAGATTGGTAAAGCATTGGATCTCTTGTGGCGCAACAAGATCGATTCTTCCAAAGTTGTCATGGGTCTCGCATTTTACGCCCGAGCATATACCTTGGCCGATCCAAGCTGTGTCAAGCCAGGCTGCATATTTGCTTCGGGGGCCAACCAAGGCAACTGCAGCCGAGAAGTTGGAATCCTACTGAATAGTGAGATTGATCAGATCATCGCAGATCATCAGCTTTCCACTACTTTTTACGAAGACGCTGCCGCTTAGGTGGCTCACTGGGATGACTAATGGCTGTCATATGATGACGAAAAGACCTTGAAAATCAAGTCGGACTATGCTCGGGAGCAGTGCCTAGGTGGTATTATGGTGTGGGCTTTGAGCCACGACACAAAAGATGCAAAGTACTCTAAGGCTCTTGGTAAGGTAGTTGAACGAACTCACCAAACCATGCCGGGAATATTCCTCGAAATCGACTCATCAATCACACCTGACGATCCATACACAACCAAAGTCAATAGCCACCTTCAATGCAAGTGGTCCAATTGCGGCGACTTCTGTCCAACAGGGTGGACGATGATGACCCGCGATGACAAATGGAATAAGACGGCAAACGAAATTATGCTTGATGACACGGCCTGTACGTCTCCGTATGCTCGAAGACTTTGCTGCCCTCCCAGCGAGACAACTCCTAGCTGTGGATGGTATTCTTTCAAGGGAGGTGCGTGCTATGGGGAATGTCCGGATGGCTACTCAGAAGTCGGATCGCTGGGAAGGGGCTGTCGGAGTGGCTACCAGGCCGCATGCTGCACTAACGATGATAAAGATGGGAACCTTCTTAACTCCACTAGGCTTTTTGAAATATGTGAGTGGAGCCAGTCGCCAGAGCAGATTGCGGCGGGAAGTTGTGAAGCAGGAAAATGTTCATTCGCTGGCTCTGCATGGCCTACGGACTTTGTTGAATCTAGCACTGGCAGTGGTGCTGCTGTGTGTAACTCGGGTTGGATAAGAGGTTACGACTCCCCCAAACCCGTATGGTACTCTGATCACCGCAAATATTGCTGCGACACATCAGATAAGAACATGACTTGGGGTACATGTACCTGGAGATCTGACTATGAAAGTATCGGCACAAAAGGAAAAACATGCATGTCTGGGTGCCATGACAATGAAATCAAAATCGCTATGGAGGGAAACGAGGAGTGTCAAGGCAAGGGCGGAGGAGCAAAGTCCTACTGCTGCACTGGAACCTACACAACCACAAGTCAGGTCCTGGTCCCTGAACTGGCGGACTATGAAGACGACCTTTCTGCCTGGGTGAAGAGCCCTATCTGCGGGGCCTCCACCGACACCGGGCTCAGCAAACGCGCGGAATCCAAGAACCCTCACTACAAGCGAGTTCATCGTCTTTTAGCAATTCTGATCCAGGGTATTATCAGCGCCCGCGACACGAAAACAATGGCATACTTGAAGGATCTCTGGGACAAATATGTCAAGCAGGAGTGGAGCAACTTGACATATGACAACATTGCTGCTTGGATCAACGACGACGACAGGAATCCCGAAGGACACATATACAGCCCGGATGAATTGGCCGACGACATACTTTGCAATGCTGATGAGTATAATCGAATTTTGGACGACAACTACTCCCGATCAGACGATATCTGTGTGAGATCTTGCGATCAGATCAGCACCAAGCGGAATTTGAACTTCTCCAAACTGTCGAAGAGAATTATTGAGTTGTCCCCAGAAGATTTGGGATCATCTTATACAGTCACCGGGCAACCAACTTGGGGTAAGCTCAGGACTATTCAGCACCAGCACTAGCACTATGAAATCTATGGTACTGACTATCTAGGATATATTGCTGAAACCATCATGAGGGGCCACATGACCTTAGTATATGAGCAGCTCATCTACACCAACAACCATGAAATGATTTTGGAGAGTAAGGGCACCCACTACTCTATGCAGATCTAGACTAATCCGATTATAGTTGTCTATGAGCTTCCCAGTGATGATCCAGATTCCAGAGAAACCGATGATGATAGATTTGCCGTTTGGCATTTCCATTTCGAGCATTTGGCACTTCGGCATGGTGTGTGGAGACCAGGAATCTATGCCCTCAATGTTTTCCATGGGCAGAACTACAACGACCGACCGGTAGATTACCCTCGTGTGCGAAATGAAGAACGGTTCGATGGGCAGCCCCAAGCACGCACGCGAATTTTGCAGTGCGAAACTGGGGATGATATAACACCAAATACCTTTTATTGGTACCCTGGCGAGATCCCTAACTCGCAAGCGGATCAGCTCCCCGATTGGGCGGAGAGGTTGACTCTATTTGGTAATTATCTGTGGGATCAGGATCTCGTCACTGAGGCAACATTCACCGATCCAGCCAGGGGTCAACTGAACTATTTCGAGCGAGAAGAGTCTGAATGTCCTATTCGGGACCTTGATTTCGGAGACTATACCCAGAGTAGGCAGTTTACTCCTGATGGCAGGGTACTGCCAATAAACCAGAGAGGAGGCTAGCATATGCTAGACTTAAAAGTAGTGACTCGAGAAATAAAGTATTTCCGCGCAATTTACATTTCCGACATTCAAGTCTGAGGTGACGTGCACCTTGCCCACTTGTATGTTTTTGAACCAAATATTTACCACAGTACTAGCTAATCAAAGATTGTATATTTAGTAATCGTTGCGCCTGTTTGACGGGAGTAGTAGAAGAAGAAGAGGAATGTAGAACACCCGGTTCAAAAGCCGTTAGCGATGGTTACTGGATGTGCTCAATTGGTCGAAATGACCGTGGAAGAAGCAATGAAGCTTCTTCGAGAGTCAAGCCTCATAGCCGTGCTCTTTGTCAGTCAGATAGTGTAGACCTCTGTTGCTTTTTCTCCGTTGGGGCGTCTAGATGAACATCTTGCTTCGCATTGAGAGACAGCAAGCAGCCTTTAAAATTCAAGCCAACCGCAATTTTCTCCGCGCCTCAAAAAAAAAAAATATTAATGTTAGTAATACATCAATCTCCCCAATCTTGATATTTCGTGGTCGCTTGATATATCATCAGGCGACTTCATGATCGTTTGGAAATGGCATACTCCCTGTATATTCAAGGGCTAGAGAATATGAAATCATTATGATGGCGGACAGAGTGGTAAAATTAAGATTCGAGAAAGTTTACATCGAATGACGGTGTTATATGGCTAGCGTGGCTACTCGCAACATAATAAGCGAACTTGGACTCCGACATTCAGTCACCCCCACTTCTGCCCTTGGAAGGTTCCGTTCTTTCTTCCCACCCCACGTTAGCTCCTCTCGGTTAACTTCTTGAATAGAGTTGTGAAAAGATCGAGCGTCAGAACGTGCTCGCACTGTTATTCTTTTCTAAGGCTCTCTTTGTGTTATGTATCAACTTACCGAGGATGATCTCGACGATTCCCCCGATCAAGATACCCCTATCATCCGAGCCGCGGCCAAGCGGGACTCAGCTCTACTGGAAGCCCTTTTGGTCCGTCATGCAGCATTAAGTGCAGAAAATGATATGACCGAGAGGGAACGCCGTCGACTGCAATACTTAGGGCCAAGTGGAGTCATGCCCGTGCCTGCGTATCTATCGCCTATCATATCTGCCACCAACGCCCGTTTGCCGCACAATGTCCGTCTTCTCTTAGCCGCAGGAGCAAATCCAAATGGCATAGACATTATTAATATTGGAGACTATTCAGTCCGGTATATCCGCGGCCGCCATTTCAGAGACGATACAAATAGCACTGCGGCGTGCAAGCCTCGGGCCTTCGTCTTAGCAAATGCGCAGCAGAAGGGGATAAGTCACCAAATATGTCCCTTGACCCAGGAGGAACTCGATGAACGAGCTCGTGGCTTTCCTCGGTTTTGGACGGAACCGAATGTTCCTGGTCAGAGACTGAGATCGAGCCTGAACCGGGCGTTGACAGGGCTAGAAACTGCGGCCAGGGCTGGCAGTCTGGAGATTCTTGATATGCTACGTGCGGCTGGTGCTGATGACTCCGCATGGGTGCAAGAAGTCTCGTTAGACGAGAAACAATTTCAAGTTGAAGATGCGGATTGGTCAATATCATTTTTGTCTACATCGTCGCCTGTTCATGAGGCCATTGCAGCAGGTCAGCAACCCATGCTTCGACATCTACTTTCTTCCTGTGGGTATTCGCCCAATTATCGTCCCTATGCTGCACCAACCGTCGCTCTTCCACCACTATCTTACGCCATTGCTCGATGCGATTTGAATGATTCTGGGGTACAGAAATGTCTGGTCGATCTTTTGTCTCACCCTCAGTTGGATGCGAATTTACGCACACCAATCTTCGAAGTCCATCCTCTCCACTTCGCAACTGCGCACCATAACCCAGAGCTCCTATCATGGCTAGCAGCCTTTATTCCTGGTGGATACGGATCTGCAGGCACCACGTCACTGGGGCACACTTTACTTCATATCGCTGCACTTCCTTTTACAGCCCATCAAATCGTGACTCGCAATCCGGATGTAGCAAGGAGCATTCACTGCGCTCGCACGTTGGATTCAAAATGGAAATACCATAGGCTACCTAGTCCACTTCACATGGACTTCTCTACCCCCGAGGAGGTTGCCTACCCAAATGATCCAATTCCCATGACAGTTGCGCAACAGCAGGCACAACAGGCCACTATCAGGGTTTTGTTAGAATGGGGAGGTATCGATGTCAGAGCAAAGGATGTGGATGGAAACACCGCTTTGCATTACCTAGCAGGAACGTTGAACATGAGTGATATTACACTTGCCATGGTTCGGGCAATGGATGGTGGCGAAGAAGTATGGCAAGAATCAAAAAATGGCTATGGGGTAACTCCGAGGCGGATGTGGGGAGAATAAGCTCAGGGAAGTTGAGCTAGTCTCAATCCCTTTGCCGTATGAACCGAGATATCACTACTACTCAAAATCTACAGAGATCCTGCCTGGTTCTGCCTTAGCCTGGCAGCTTCTTTTGATTTCCAGCCCGCAGCCCTGGATACGCATCCTCGGCTTCAGCATGGTAGCGTGCAGTGGTCAGGCTCCACGCAAAGTTGCCTGCTGTCACCAGATTGAGTACATCAAACCATTTAAGTATTCTGCCGGTCATACCACCAGGGACCACGTAATCGGCTTTCAACTTGCAAAACAGTTCCTCGCGAGCCATGATTTCACACCGGACCATCTTCTTAGCTCCGATTGCATCAATTCCATATGACTTCATAAAAAAAAAACAGCACTGGTAATCTGCACACTGCCTCCCTTGGCCTCGTAGTTCTGTGGCTCCTTTCCACAGGGAAAATAGTCATTAGCTAGAACCTAAGCATCATATGCGGCACGTGTGATAGCTGAGATTGACTTCGTCTCTTCGTCCGTGAGATAAAAATCCATAGAAAAGGCCACTAAGCGCGTAGTCCATCTGTTTAACACAATTAGCGCAAAACCTTTCTCTCAATGTCTTTGGATTGTGATGTCTTACGTGATAGACTCTGGCACAAAGGGCCTCTGAGATTCCAGGCTTCCGTGGGACATATCTGCCTTGGGTGTTTGGCATGCACAAGTGGATCTACCAGATTGAAGAGGTTAGGCAGGCCATTTTCGTAGGATTCTTCGGGCCTATCGGCGTTTCTGCCGTCTTCTACCTGTTTGTGAGCTTGGAGTTTATCGAGGAACATCTGAGCAACGAGAATGGGGTTCCTCGAAGCGACGTCGAGGAACTTGGTGAAACAATTCGGGTTGTCGTTTGGTTCCTCGTAGTCTGCAGCGTTGTAAGTTGCCCTATTCATGCTTCTTTATTGCCGCGTAGGCGTCTAATGCTACATAAGGTCGTCCATGGGCTCAGTATCCCTCTTGGAAAAGTGGGATGCCTCGCCCCCCGGACCTTTAGCCGAGTTCTAAGTGAGACCCTTAGCGATGAGCCGCGGGCGGTGGAAGCTCGGCGTAGGATCCCGGTACTAGGTAAGTATCTTGTCCGAAACCCTGGGGATGTCGAGTCTAGGCGTGTTCAGCGCACTACTATCATATCGGGCCCGACAAACCCTCGTCACCCTCATACGGAGGCAAGTACGTCGGGCGATCCATTGCAAGCAGTTACAGCATTGGGTCCGACGAGCCAAATTGAGGTCGAAGCTAGGATAACAACTCTGGCCCCAGTTCTCCGCGAGCGGGATATTCGGTTTCTTGACGAAAGTCAAGCCAGCTGCGACGGGTGATGACAGGAAACCCCTGTTCACCTAGTAACAAAGAAGGGTGTTGTATCATATACTAGGATTTTCCGCTATCCCACTGCCAGAGACAACTACTTGGCTAGCTTTCTCTGTTTCCCACAAAATATAATTTTGGTTTGTTGCTCGGGAAGAACGTCTTTCGCTAAAGGGAGATTCTAATTCCTGCGAGCTCCGTTAGTAGCTATGATGTCTCACATATATGTTAACGTGAATAGCGTCTTGAGATGAAATACCAATATTGAGAACAGCTATAGTCGACTATTGACAGAAGATGTAAGCGAGGATGGCAAAGAAAGGAGCTTCCTCAGGTTCAGGAGAACCGGGATAAGTATGCTTTGTGTACATCCGTGACAATAGCTCCTAGGAGGAAAGTGATAGCGCGGGAATACAATGAGCTGGAGAGGTTTCCGGGAGAGTATGTTACTTTGCGGGGAGCCTTAGTAAACAGGCACAGTTCTTTAAAATCAATTTCTTTGGGTGAGGAAAATATCAGAGCATGCAACCAGCCGGGAACAGGAAGGCCCTTGTATCCGGAGAACCAACAAACACGTACTCAGTCCCAGGGATTAATTGGCCATAGGGCGATAATACAAGCTGAATTACAAGATTGAACGTCAACCTAAGATGGTGTGAGTTCGGAACATAGTGTTGTTTGCGCTATCCCAAATAAGGTAGACAGTGCATATCCATATCTATCCAGAGAATAAGACCTCCGCTTAACTGCCATCCAGTGGGTCGTGGCGCACTTGCTCTTGCGTCTGAAGTTCCTGCACCGGATTCGGGCAACGTTTGCGACTGCGCACACGATGCACATCAAAAGCATGGCGCTGGAACGCCATTTGATGTAACAAGGCTACTTCACACCAGTTGCATTTAAGGGGCTTTTCTTTGAGATGAATAGCGTCAAAATGGCGCGTAACACACCCAGCGTCATGATACATCTGGAAGCGAACATGGTCAGCGAGCCCCTTGTTTGCAAAGCATTGAAAGCAAGCCTCCGGCTTCTCAGAATTCTCGAGGTATTCCTTAGTGGCACGCGACGGCTTGCCAGCGACAGAAACAGGTACCTCACATGAGTTGGCAACATTTTGGCTCTGCCCTGCATCTTGCGGCTGGTTTATGGGACCAGCCGACGTAACGGATTCAGAGGCGTTCCGCTTGGGCCGGCCCCTTAACGGACCTCCTTCTAGGACGTCACAATACTGCACGACGGCTGCAGCACCCGTATCGCGCCGATTCCACTCATCCTCCAACGAGTTAGAGATTGGGTAGGAAAGAAGACTCTGGACTAGATACAACTGAAAAGGGTGCATAGTGTCCTCCAAGGATGACTCGTCCTCGCTCTCTTCCTTGACCACTGTACCAGACAGCTGCGCCTCGATGTCTAGAAATGCTTGCTCTTCATCAAAATTCTCTCGGATTTGATGCCGCAAGCTCCTTTGCAACCGTTTTCGCGTGTTTCTCACTTCTTTCTCCCGTTGCTGGATCCGAGGGAGCAGGGCGGGCTGTTGAGTCTTCTCGTACTGGGCACGGATCTGGCTAAGATTGCGCCGGGCCTCCTCCAACTCGGGGTGATCCTCAAGTTGTGCCCTTTGATGATCAGTCAAATAGCGTGGGCGTCGCGTGTCCCGCCAATGACTTTGCCGCGTGACGGCTCGCATCAGTTCCACGTCCGGGTCGAGACCACAGATAACCCGGATCATATCGGTGTCGATTTGCAGAGGATGATAGTGGTCGAGAAAGGTCCGGGGGCTTGCGTGCTTCATGATCAACATGTGTTGTTCCTTGCTCACCCACCCTACAGACCATATCAGCCACTAACGGAACAGAAAGAGGAGAAGAATTAATAGCCTGCAGGGAAAGTACTCACCGCTCTCGTTAATCACTTTACCACCCCCATAACGGAACTGATGGGCATGGAACGCCCCTTTCCACCCGCGGATCTCCCCAAAGGTAACCAGCAAAGTGGACATGGTCGACTTGGACATCGGTACGGTCCGCTGAATTGTCGGAGCGCCGTTGACCAGCTCCGTCTTACAGAAGATATACCAATCAGACTTGTTGGGGTCTAAGGGCACCAGGAGCTGCTCACAGCCTTTGCTGATGAATAGTTTGCGTAGCTGAGCCTTCGAGGTCAGCCTCGAGTTCCGGAATGCGCCCGCATGGAACAGAATGCCGAAAAGCAATGTATGCGGGCATATCACCAGAGAGGGCCCGTAAACGATCTCGGGAAGTGCAAAAGTAGTTCTGCTGATTGATTAGCTATATGACCCTAGTCAGAATTCCGAGACGACAAGAAGGATCTCAAGAGATATTATATATCCGGAGGTAGTTGGAGAATTGAGAGAGGGAGAGAAAGAATTTATCTCCACGTACAATTTGGTCAGACCGAGGAACTTTTTCGTCCCTTCGGGAGTAAGTTCAATTATAGGGATGGGTGGGCCTCCACGAGGATCCTTCTGAAGGGAGATCTGTAGGTCCTTGAACTGCAGACTCAACAAGGCGGCTCTTCGGTGCACGGTAAAGAGACCGAGGGAATTGAATAGGCACACTTGGATACGTTGGAAGCCCAGATAGAACTTTTTCTCCTGCGTCGACAAAATCGTTTCGTTAAACGGGCCAATATCCTCGATATAAACCGGTGTCTTCTTTCCAGGCTGTGTGTCTAACCCATGCTCTTGGACCAAGTACTTCATACCCTGTATTTAGCGGTTAGACGAGATAATCAGCCAGATCTAAAAAGAATTCAGGTTTATGTTACTGACCCTCCGTACATCTGAGCCATCCTCATCGTTGATTTTGATCTTGGTAAGCTTTTGGTAGTAGCCGCGGAGGTTTTTCCAGTCCGTATTCAACGAGCTAGCTTTATTGATGCGTTTTAACCGCCGGTTATTCTTGCCACGCTCGAGCTTGAGACACCAGCCTAGGAACCGATACATGTCATTGTTCGACGCCTGGCGTAGCGCTTCCTCGGGCTCCCGCCATTTTCGCTCGTTGGGCTTGTTCAGCACTTGGCTAGCACAGTACCTATGCCTGCATTAGTAGAGAGCCAAACAAGGCAAATCTCCGTCATCACCAACCGTTTCCACCGGGTCTCAATCCGCGCTCGTCGTTCAATGGTGCCTGGTGCTTTGTCGAAATCTTCGGGAATCTCAGACAGGTCAACTCCATCATCATCTAGTGGATCATCGTAAAATTCCCCCAAGTCACCAGAGAGCCCTGGCTCCAAGGCAGAGTAGTTCTCATCCGACCGGAGACGTTTTCGTGAGCTCGGGGCATCGTCGAGCTCCGTCAGATCCGTCTCATAAGTAGCATCGCCCAGCTCGTCTGAGTCGCTCGTAGTGGTTGTAGTTGTATCATCCTCAGCACAGTCGCTTCCCAGCTTTCTACTCCGTCGGGGCCGAGAACGCTTCATCGTTGGGATCGGGGGAAGACAAGGGACGGCGAAGGTGTGTAGGAGGCGGGGGCCACAAAACCACGACACGGCCAGGCGGTTGGCAGCGCACTAATAGATGGATGAGCAACAGGGTTGAGGGAGCAGGAAAGACGGGAGAAGAAAGAGGAAGAGAGCAAAGGGCCTTGGTAAACGGGGGAGAGACACACTCGCTGTCGAGGGAACAAGAAGGGTGGAAGAACGAAGAATATAAAGGAAAGGGGCCACGGTAGGCAGATTGGCGCCATCGTGACTTGGCCTGTGGCCAGGCCCGTTTAATGGGGTGCAGTGAGGCCATTTTTGGCGCCCTCGCAGGGCGTCAAGACGAGCGACTTTGCTGAGGACAACTGAATTGGTGGGGTGCTTGCGGGTGGAGTTTGACTGGTGCGTGGTGGTAGCCGGACGGGGACGTGCCGGGAGATTGAGGTCACGTGTTACCAAATGACGGCCGAAAATGGCGTCGTTGGAGGCCAGAAATGGCACCCATTTGGTAAACCCAAATTGTCTAGTAGGAAAACAGGCAGTATTTATAACTTTGGGTACATGGCAGGATGTCACAGGAAAAGACTGATGAGAATCCGAAATAACATGGGGGCATACGAGAGTGTTAGGAAACTCGTTGCTTTTCCCATTTGATGCAGTAGTTGATAATCAGCATCGTATATCATAAAGCGGTGTATAGGGATGCAGATTTATGCATCCAATTGCATTAGCGCGCGTATGCATGCATGCGCTCGCTTATTGCGGGGATACGCACACACACACATATTGACAGATGATTTATATATTATCCTTTACCACTATTAGACAAGAGACACTATTCTTTTACTAGTATCGGCTTATACTAGCAGTCGGCCCGGTGTATTAGTTTATGTTAAGAGAAACGAGCGAATTAATCTGAAGCACTTTTTCGGCCGCAAAGATAATAACGAAGAACCTAAAGAAGATTAGGACCTTAGAGAAGATAACTTAAAGACTCTCTGTTACAGCTAGATCAGCTTAATCCTGCTCCTAAACCCGGGAGGCATCCGTGACTACCTTATAATAGAAATTGATTTAAAGTATACTAAGGGTCACTATAGCAAACTAAAGAGGTCAGTCGCTGAAATTCCCTACCTATTATCTAAGCTAACACTTATAAAGAAAACGTCAACATATGTGTGTGTGTATATCCCTGCATTAAGCGAGCGCATACATACGTATGCGCGTTAATGCAATCGGATGCATAAACCTGCATCCATATACACCGCTTCATAATATACGATGCTGATTATTAACTACTACATTAAATAGAAAGAGCAACGAGTTTCCTAATACTCTCGTATGCCCCTACGTTATTTCGGATTCTCATCAGTCTTTTCCTGTGACATTCTGCTATATACCCAAAGTTATAAATACTGCCTGTTTCCCTAGTTAAATTGAATAAGTTTGACACCATTTCCACTCACGAATAGAGCTCAAGGCAATTCTGATTAAACTGTGTTAACCTTCCACTATTCAACCTGTTCGCTGCCAACTGTAAGGATATACTCTATAAGTCAGGATAGAGGCCTATCAATCAGGTAGGAGAAATAGAGCCAAGTCAATAGTGTAGAAAGGTCAAGAACTGTTTCTTAAGGATCGCAAAACCTCTTCAACATAGGTCAATTTATATACAGTCTTATCACTCAAACAGGAAGGAGATGTATCCTTGGTAGGGAAATAGGAGCGGGGTGAAACACGAGGCTTGTGTAACCTCCGTCAAGGGTGTTCCCTACAGGAGTTCGTACACGTACTGATGCCGAAGCCCCAGCGAACCTCCACAGAAAGCCTGACGGCTTATCAGGTCCGGGAAGCCTGATGCACCAATATATAGGGAAGGCCTACCGGCTTATCAGGCCCGGGAAGCCTGAGGCACTAACACTTAGGAATAACCTTATACCAGGATATATCATAACACTGACCTACCTCTATTGCACTTTCGTCTCTCTTCCATAATCGTGGTATTCGATCGACCTGTGTGCGCCTATAAGCACACCTTAGGGTTTATACACACGGCGTAAATCCGATAGAAAAATCTTTCTAATATCTGAAGTTAAACAACCTCCCTTCGATATTATTGTTCTTGTACTCTCAATAGCAATCCTCGACGATACTTTTGCGGCAGATATCTATTCTGTCGAGGATATATTCAGGGCGAGAGTTTGCCTACCCTGTCGCTCCCTTATACTAAACTTCAAGAAAGAGAAACTTAATATACTAATTGTCGACATAAGTGGGTGCATAAGCCCATGAGAGCTATCGAACTTGACAGAATGCGACGGAACGTCCACGTGACGACGATCTTCAACGATTGACATCAACAGATTGCACACATGACGAAAGAGCTTCAACACTCTATTTCTTCTGATTTCTATGAGATTCTAGTCTGACGTATTGCCTTGATTTCATGAAGTTATAAATATTGCCTGTTTTCCATAGCTAGTTGAATCAAGTTTAATGATTGTGATGAAGTTGGAGCATTCTTCTATCATAAGTTAACTTCCGATTCTGAGCCGAATCGTACGACCTGACCTGACCTATACGATTCTTCGCCAATCGTATACTGATTTGACCAATCGTGCACACTCGCTTGCTTGTGCACGCCGAAGGATTTATGCTGACCCCGTAAATCCGACACTAATCTATCGCTAACCTATCTCTACCTATTCTGAAATAACCACTCAACTAATCAAACCTCTTATATACTACACGTATTTATATTACTTACAGCGACTGAGCTTAGTAGTTAGGATAATTCGGGTAATAAAGCCCTACAACCTTCGCCGTAGTACCGGTAAGGCAGTTAATAGTGAGTATTTATATATTAGTAGTTATATCCTCAGCACTAACGATATTCAGAAACAGTATCTCTTCCCTTGCTGCAGTAAGTAATAGGCTATGTTTATGCTAGCACATTCTAGAAATACATAAACGAACGGATTCAGACCTACGTTTAAGTATTATTCCTCGGAATCCCTTCAGAAGACGTATTAATAAATATCCTAAGTCACTAAAGCCGCTATATTGACCCTCGCGCACTATCTAGTTACGATGACCTACTAGAGATCAAGAGGGCTACGCTATCAAATCATCCCGAGATCCTAAGCTTACAGCAAATACGTGATTCTCTTACATTAGAAGCTAAAGAGCTTTACGGTTCTATGAAAAATGCTTGTGGAACTAAAATCGGGGAACTTAAAGCAAAGGCAGATACGGCATTGAGGGTAATGAAAAAAGTCCTAAAGATAACAACATTCAACGGTGCTCGCAGTGATTTTTTTGCGACTATTAATACTTTAGAAATTAACAAATAACTCGATCCTTCGCTCTTAGATATCAAACAGGATATAGAGACGATAAATTCCCTACTCGAGGAAGGCGAGCCTGGAATTACTAGAGAATATCGAAGAGCTGTCCTTGCCTATTAGGCATCCAGGGCGTATAAGCTTCCGGCTCTCGAAGCCCTTACTAAACGGTATATAGAACTTTTCAGCGGAGCGATGGCTACGCCTGAGATTCTTTAAATAACAATAGAGGTCTTTTCAAAGCTCCCTGAAGATAAAACTTGGTTTTCGAACTATATTAGATTAAGTCTCGAGCAATAGTTGGTCCCCCGAGAATCAACAACAAATTTCGATTCACTCTACAAAGTTCTGGGTCAAGATCACTTCTTTGACAAAGTCGTTACGAAGATAATGCTTGAAATACTGTCCAACCGCCTATGTTTTCGGGAAACTATCGAGGACCAGAATAACCGCCACAGGCAGAATAGTTCTGCGAAAGAACAGTTGGTGACGGTGGTTCCACTCGAGGCTTATCCCGAAGATGCTGCCGCTGCTGCTGAGGAATATCCGGAGCCCGAGGAGGTTCCAGTCGAGGCCTACCCCGAAGATGTAGTTGCTGAAGAAGTTCCTGCCCTCGAGAAGCACGCCACTAAGCTCCACCTAACTCCACATTTGTTAGAGAACCTTTACTTGTACGAAGACTAGGAGATTCTCTCCCCGAAAAAGAGGAGGTCGAGGACCAAAACTCTTAGGGCAAGGGGCCTTCCCATTCCAGACAAAGACGGCGTAATTTCAACCCTGGTGGTCTAGGATCCCATATCTCAGCTCCCCAGTCACTTTCATCGAATGAACTCTTTCAGTTACTTTCAGTTGGACAATGCTTCATCCAGAAAATACTGTAAATATAAGGGTTTCTTCAACTGCTGAGGCGATAGCGAAGTACCCCGTACCGTCTTTCTTAATGTTGCCAATAGTGACGCTAGGCCGATTTAGGTATCTTGGCTATTGTAACTGGGACAGGTGAGAGCTAGAGCGGAGGATTTTCTTTTGCTTCCTGGCGGTCTGTCTCTAAGGACACAATAGCTGTGTTAATATGGACGACCCATGTTAGAATATGCCTGCTATACAGTACTTAACGCGAGAATCGTACACGCACTGAACATCGGCCTTGGAGGTAAAGGAAAAGCGATCTGACATGTCTAAAATCCTAAAAAAATCCCTATCCCATGCCATGTTGAAAAATGAGAGTCACTGATTGTCATGTAGAGAATAGAGTGGAGGGAAAGAGGAAGAGGCCGCTAATCTATTTATGATTCAAGGTTATGACTCCAAGCCCTGAGACGGCAAACACATCCAGATCAATATCGTTGATTTCTGGCATAGGTAACGAGTGTAGGTGCGAAGGGTGCGGATTTCGACTGGCCGCTTATTTTGTGAAGTCATGAGAATCCAGAAAACGACATTGTCTGTGCAAGCTTAAAGATACCCTCATCCTTCTTGATATGTTCTTTAAGCAGTTCATCTCTAAGCTTAAGGGCCTCCGTTAGATCCATTTGCTTTGCAGACTCAGAGTCACTGCTATGGTTCAGACCGGGCTGTTGGGGCGGGACATTCCATGTTGAGCAAAGCCGGTAGGTCGGATCGATAAGAGAAAGAGTGAGAAATCGGCAGCGACCTGGCTTAGTCTCGTCCTGAAGCTTTAATGGGCCCATTCGGTGCTGGAAAGCGTTGGGGAAGGAGATCAAGCGACCCGGACGCAGTTTCACCTCCCCGAGCTGTTGCCAGGCCGGACTATATTGAATATCCTCGTATCCGAAAAGCCGACTTATGTATTCAAGGTCCCAGAGGGCATGCTCCAAGAGCAAGTCTCGATAACTGTCATTTGAGTCCCTATCACTTTCGTCGTTATCTGAATCCATGGCGCCGAATCGGTCGTAGACCCAGGTCTCGCCTCCTAGTGAGCACCTCTGCCGGAAGCCGATTTGGGGTTCAGACATGTTTGTAGAATCAAGAGTGTAGATGGCGTTGGCGACTATACGTTCATTTGCATTTCCCTCGGTGTGCCACTCTTCTCCAGGGTAGAATGGCGTCCCAGGGTCAAGCTCGATACTGTGAATCCGAACGACAACCTGGAGACCCTGTTCTCGAAACTCTTCCTGCAATGCAAGTGTGTAGAAACGGTGGTCATCAGCGTCTTCTCCCTTTGGCCTATACATCCATTCATAGGGTTGCAACCAAGGGTTTGAGCCCATAAACTGAGATAGCTCATGAATCGCACTGCAAACATGGTCATGGTGCGCCGGGCCAACGATTGCTTTCCCGGTCCTTCCTGCTTTCCAATCCTCGTACGAATACGCAGTTCCTGGGTCCGAGTGCTGAAAGACAAAGGTATTTGCATACTTTGTCAGAGCTGTGCGGAGTAACCCCCAGCGGGACTTCCAATCCTCCGGGATCCGTTGGGTTCTAACCCAGGGCCAGCACACCGCATCCTGCGATTCGGGTTCCTCAAGATACGCCTCCACCTGAGAACACATGACTCCGTATTCCTCTGCCGACAATTTATTTTCGTCTTCCTTTTCGGGCAATTTCTTCGCCCACTCAGGAAACTGAGCTTTCCATTCAACCCCGAAGGTGCGGATTCGTATGGGCTCCCGAGGACAGTAGACGCAATTCCCGTGGAAAGAACCGATTGCTCTCCTCCACTTATTGCGAACCATAATCTCGTTCCATTGCTTAATGCTGCTGGAGATCACGGCTTCGATCGCGGCGTAACACTCACGGTTCCCGGGATGCAGATTGTTGATGTAAGACGAAATTTGGACATCTGAGGATCCAGAAGGACCGGTAAACTGCACTTCACATGGCAGCCACTGAAACTTGGAGGACCAAATATACTGACCGCCGTACAAAGACCAGTCGGAGCGCTCTGTCACCAGTTGCGGGACTTCCGAAACGACCAGGTCCTCTGTACTGCATGAAGGCCAGCCTTTCTCGTCCAGTCGACAGGATCCTCCCCCGACTAGAATTTTGGTCCTCCCATAGACGAGCGGAAATAGAGAAGAATCAACGAGATTGACCACAGCCGAGTCGGACTTTTCCAGGATAGCTTGATGAGACAATAGGTCTACAGAATTCGATAACTTTGACCCAAGTTCGGGAGAAATTGCAGTATCAGATTTAGAGACACCGCTGCTCGTGTTGAAGACGACTAAGCGGCCGTCCTGGTCGAAGTGCCGAGCCTTGTCTTGCAATTCTTGCAAGCACCAGGCCCATGTTTTATCATTGATCAGCGACGACGATGACATGGCGTCTTCTTGCCATTGGGCAATAATTTGCTGATCGAAGATGGCGCGGTTCCAGTTTGGTCGGTCGGTAATGGTATTGATAAGATCAAGCATAGCCAGTTCCTTGGCCGTGAGAATATGACCCTTCCACTCATTTGTCCCTGTTGCGAATTGATCGTGGGAGAGTAGCACATGGACAGGGATATCGCCAAGACCTGGGACTTTTATTGGGGTTGTCTTATTGTCCAAAGGAGTCTGAATGACGCCGATCATTTTTGAAAAACCTCACAAAAAGAATCTCTGTGAGTTTGAGCTGCGAATGAAAATGATAATGAGATCGGTGCTGACTGTATGAATGAGCAGGCGTGGTAAGACTGGCCGAGGAGGTGACGGTTGTCAAGCTACGACTTATAATCTTCGGCCTTGAGCCCGTGCCGTGGGTAGCCGTGGGTAATTAGCGCTATTATTATTAGCGGGCGGTATGTCCAGTCAGAAAGAAATCACGACATCCGCTAAGTCACTTCAACTCTAGCAGATTCTAAAACCCCCAAGTTCCTTGACACTGATATGGTTCTTCATTCTTGCCTTATCCTGACCATTTACTTGGCATTACAGACAAAAAACAAACACTCATTTCCAAAGTACTGTACTGTAATCTGACTTTTATACGCGAGATGGAAGCCTATATCTAACCAGATCAAAATCATAATCACACCCTCGCGCAGTGAGGCACATTACAGAAGTAAATATAAGAATCACATTACATCCTATTCCGGAGCCAACACCCACCTCCCTATTATTGAACACATCCTCATGTAGTCCGCTCGATGGAAAAACGGAACGACCTCGGGGTCTCGGTCGCAAAGATCGTTATTTTCAGTATGAAGTATTCCGTAAAGATCTATGAAAGTCAATCGTACTGGGTAGTCCCGACATCTGTACACCTGTTTCCCACCGATCTAGCTAGGGCACTTCTTCTTTAACTCGGTGATGGAATTGCTTGCTTCTCGAATGACCGCCTGATGGGTCGCGAAAATAAAGTCCTTCCCGTCATTTCTTGTCGTCTTGCGCAGTGCCTCGGCCGCCTTGTTGATTTTCTGCGCCAGATTCTCGATGCCAGTGTTTTTCTTTGCTGTTTCAGTCTCATCGTACATAGTATATGCAATGCCATCACTTGTCATTGCGTTCTTTGTCTCCAACGTTATTCCCAATTTTGCCTCCAGCTTTGGAATGAAAAACCTCATGTTGTCGGCCTGGCGTATTTCACGCTCCAGCTCTAGTGCCTCAATCATTTTTTTCTTTTGGTCCTGGTATGCGATAGTCTTGGTAGTCATCGCTATATTTCTCATTCCCCTAATGGAGAGAGACACAGATGGATTGAGGACTTCTTTTGGATAGAGTCTGCTTTGGTCGTACTGGGCTTCAAAGCCCGCCTCTCGAAGTTTCTTGGATGTCTCAGCCAGGAGCGTGTTTCCGGCTTCGTCGAAGATCTTCCTGATCACGTCCCAATTTTTTTCATTCTATGTCCTGGCCTTCTGGGCACTGATGTAATCGACAAAGTCGGCAAAGCTACACTCACTCAGCTTTCCCTTATAGGTAGCGCAGTCAGGGGCAATCAGGCGACGGCTGGGATCTTTGACATGGGCGCGTTCCAGTAGATATGCCTGGTAAAAGAAGGTGGTTTCGGCTCCGCCAGCCGCGTTGAGTGCCTCGACAATTGTGCCCAGCAGCTGGAAAAATTATGCAAAGAAGGAGGAATGGCAGTCGTTTCATGTTAATGGACATCCAGAAGACGGACAATAGAGTGGTCAATGAATCAAGATGACTGAGCAAATATGGGACATGTATGCCTGATACCCATTCTTAAGCGTGTCCGAAACAAGGTCTTATTCATATTGCTCGATCATAATATCGAGCAGGCGGTTCTTACTACCTAGACTTTCTCCCCCCTTTTCTCCCGGTTTCGAATACTATATTGGCTCCCCTCAATCCATACAGTTCCGTTCGTATTTATCGATGGGTACGTCCTTGTCATCCTTTACCGAACACTTTACCGAATACCAACGTTGCAGTCATCGCTGAAGCCATGGACAGTAAAGATGGATGATCCGTGCGTTTCCGATTAACCCCCAGTTGGATTTCGCTCAACTTTCGGCTAGATAGAATCTCATAGGCAGACTCGCCTCTTTTGAGCTTCGCTTAATTAACGAGAGAGGATTTCTGGATTAGCCATTTTCCTTTCAAAGGTCTACCTCCGTTGAGAGTGACATTGTGAGTCCCTACCTTGCGTGAATGGGACTAGTAGCAAATCGGAGCTGATAGCCTCCGGAGTGTGCCCTGAGGCCCCTGACAGAGATTTTGACATAGAGGGTCAAATTGGCGAACATTATTTGGAACTATTCCAGAGCTAAGACATGCGCTAACTACTCATTACCGTCACCTATATTACACGATACACAGTACGGCGTACATAAAGTAAAGACCAATACACAACAACACGAAGATGGACCCACCTCTGACCATGGTTTGCACTCTGATGGAAATTAGTCTACATGAACATACCTTCAGTTAGAAGAACAAAGGGAAATATGAGGCTACCCCCGACAAGAGCAACAACACCGTCCGCGAGATGGAGTCCAGATGCTTCACATGCCTCCAGAGTCAATTTCTGAGCAAATGCTTCGACCATCCAGTTGCACCGTCTCTAGTACTGATGCGCGTCTTCTGAGGCTAGGCGATCTCATTATCGGAGCCTCGGCTCTTCGCGAGGCTGAATGTCACTACCTGAGATAGACCTGAAAGATCTTTTGTCTCGATTTCGGACGCTCGCAGAAGTTGCCCTACGAAAAGACGTTTTGCGACGAGGTAGCTTAAAGGAACACCACAGGCAATCATCTTACTGAAGGATCCCAGGGTGATGGCCTAACAACCGATGACATTTGAAAGAAGTGAACTGAACAGGAGCTATGGCTGACGGGAATAGGACCACTTTTAGTATCAGGAAATTGGATGACATAAGACCCAAACATAGCTTTTCACATCCTTGATTGCCTCCCCTGAGTAAAGAGGGAGCAGATCGCTAAGCCGCCATGAGCATGGATACTCAGGGAGTGTATGGAAACAGTCGGCTGAAGCAGATCACATGCGAATTTGATGCCAAAAGTTTTGGTGAAAAGACGCTTGAAATGGCGCCAAATTTATTGTTACCTTGTGTTGCGGTCAACTGAGTTGTCCGACTTCACCTTAGTAGCAAACAGCAAATCAGCCCAGGCAAGGAAATCAACTGGAGAATTTTGAGTCTCCACCGATGTATCATAAAGGTCCTTTGCGCGCTTAGTCCATGGGACGTCCAAACCACGAGACGCAGCCTCGTAGTATGTAAGTCCCCAGCATGCCGGGTTGGTCCTTCCACTCTGATACCCGATATAACGATTCTCGGCAGAGATATTTGCCCATGGGCCATTGACCAAGACTGCTTCACATCTGTAGAAAGATGGATCGTAGGGCACGGTCCCATTGAGGTTGTACTTAGCCGCGTATTCAGATGCCTTGAACAGCAGACTGTTGTCCAATGTGAAGAGATCATATCCTTGGTTCTTCACCACTTTAGAAGCCATTGATAGCCATTGTAGACCATCCTGTACGTGTGCCTGATCCCGGCCTGCCTCTGCACCTTGTCCCGTGGTTGGATCAAAGTTTGCAGACAGACCAGCACAAAGATCGTTCTTGTACGCATAGAGTGCGTAGTTGTACAGAGCAACATCATCCAGATAGACGGCAAAATTGAGTAGGCCCATGATGCTGGCCACACCGTAGTTTGCCTGACCGATGATGATGCTCTGTCGGGCAAAGAGCCAGTACAGCTGGATGCTGAAGCCGGAACCGCCTTTCCAGGATGCACCCTGCTCGACCCATCCACCTTCCCAGCGCATAATCTCTGCGGCATTGACAAAGGAAACACCATTGATGCCGACAAGCAGCGAGCGATCTGTACCAATGATATTAGTCAAATTGGTGCCCCACGCATCAAGAATGGTGGTGGATCGGTCCCAGTGGGCTTGGTCTTTAGTGATGTACCCTACATACAAGATTGTCAGAGCTTATTCCAATTTAAACCTGGCACCAGGAAGCCTTACACATGATGGCATTTTGATAAGCGGCACGTGCATCATTGGCAAAGCTGGTGTAGTTGCTGATCGCGCCTCGACTGATGACAGGATGAGGACCTTGCATTTTGTAGGATGGCAAGGAGTACGAATCATTCGAGAATCGCGAGTATGCCGATGCCCATGGTTCGACTCCACTGAGAGCATTCTTTCGCATTTTTTCGAGATCTGCATGACTATGCCAAAGACCTGGGTGTTGGAATTCACTTGCTCGTTTTTTAGAACCCTCGGTTGTGGGAACCACGGGGACGAGGCCTTTAAAATTAACATTAGTATTTTATAGCAAGTAGTTATTTCAAGTATATTGTTTACCATTCAATGATGGAACATCACTGACTAAGGCATTGACGGCCGTCGCAGCCACGAAAAGAAACTGAAGAAGTCGCATCGTGCACCTAGTTACAATTCACGTCCTGATTCCCTGCTTAGATCGCAGAATTGAGAATATATATGTTTTCGTAGATCCAAACCGAACGGTCGGACAAAAGGGGAATATTAAAGTCAGTTCCACTTGTTCCTATTCATGTAGCCAATAGCACTCTCTTCTTAATGTTTGACTTGAAAATAGCCCCGTGGGGTAACCTGCCGGGGTAATGAACGGACATACACCGGCTCAGAAATTCCGATTCGGGATATCTGCCGGACCACCCCCGGCAAGTTGCAAGCTATGATCAGACGGAGAATTATTGAATCCTTCGGAACCTTAATTGATTTAATTTCATAACACAAGCCTCCGCGGGCCATCAGATCGGCTAGGATGATAAGTCTGAAGCAGCACGCGAATGAAGATCATACAAATAGAACCAGCTGACCCCCTGCGCTAATGGTCCCGGTAACTTGCCTTCGCGACTTTACTGAAAATGCGGCTGCTGCTCAACCGAGTAATTATCATACAACTGTGGGTGTTGACAGCACTTGCAATTAAAAATCCTATCATACCAGGATGGAATCCGGACCCTTCAATCATTCGTGTCCGCGAGGAATATTACCTCGCGACTTCATCCTTCGAGTATTGGCCTAGTACTCCGATCTACAAATCTAACGACCTCGCCAACTGGGAGCTTTATTCACATGCTTTCACAAGGCCCAGTCAGGCTCAATTATATGGTGTCCCTACAGGCGCAGGTAAGTACATTGCTGCATGATGCTCCCGGGGAATCTTGCCATCTTAACAGGCTCGCAGGTACATGGGCTCCGACATTGTCGCTAATAAATGGCAAATACTACATGGCATCCATGACAAGATGGACTTATGATCCAGTTGCAAGGGTATGGCCTCGTGTGATGTGGGTGTCGTCCCACGATCTGAAAACATGGTCTGATCCCATTTGGGGTGACGCGTGGGGAATCGATCCTGCGTTGTTCCAGGACCCGGCCACGCAGAAGGTTTATCTGAACCTTATGGCTCCAAACAATAACGTTGATAGAATTTGGGGTATCTATCAATGTCAAGTTGATGTGGACAGTGGCCGGTGCATTGGCGAGTACAACTCTATATGGAATGGGACCTTGGCGCATAGTTCATCTGCCAGACCGGAAGGCCCGAAGATGTTCAAGCGGGACAATTGGTATTATCTTCTTATCGCTGAAGGTAAGTTGGACTTCATCAAGGTTTGATACTCTATGATTCCCACTAATCTTTGAAGGTGGTACGGATGACCTGCATCGAGCTTCTATTGCACGCTCCGCTTCTCCTGAAGGCCCCTGGGAAGCTGCGCCAAACAATCCGATATTGTTCAATGGTGCATACGGATATGATAACCTCACCGTACAGTCGACTGGTCATGCCACTCATTTTGATACTCCAGATGGCGAGAGCTATTTAGCATTCTTGGCCCGAAGAAAGATCAATGGCTCGTCTCCGCTTGGCCGAGAAACTTTCATTTCTCCTGTCCAGTGGAAGAATGGATGGCCTATCGTGAACGGAGGAGAACCAATTCGACTCAGCCAATCATTCGGCAATACAACAGATCAGGTCTCCCCACCGAAACAATTCACGGACAACTTTGATCAGGCAAATCTTGATCCATCATGGTATCAGCTTCGAATACCCTACACACAGAACTTCATGATGAAAAAGAATAACGCCAACGGAATCACTTTCAAGCCAAACGCGTTCGGCCTGAGTGACAGAGACACGCCCGCGGCTGTTTTACGGAAACAAAAATCATTGAATATGACTTTCAGTGCGCAGCTCCTACCCACAAAGTCTGGTCTTGGATATGGAGAGACAGTCGGTATTAGTGCCTATTTAAGCGAGCTGCAACATCAGGATATTGCGGTCTCCGGTTGTGTCAACAGCACCGGGATGTGCATATTCACTCGCCTGATGATGAACAGCACGGTCCAGGTAAAGTTCCACTCTCTATTCCAATATCTGCACACTAATAGCTAATTTTCATCTAGTACGATCAAGTGAAACTGAATTCCGCGACCATTCCGTCTGATCTGACACTTCACATTCGGGCCGAACCACTTTCTTACACCCTCGGATATAGCTTCGGTATGAATGGTACAAAGCATTGGCTGAAAGAACTATCATCGTCATGGTTAGCATTTGCACCCACCAACTGGTTCGTCTTTGAGGGTGCAAGCTTTGCTCTCTTCGCAACTGGAACTGGTCAACCTTGGCCAACTCATGCCCCTGAAGTAGGATTTTCCAGGGTGACGGAGACATACTATGTGGAGAATATTCCCGACCATGATAAGTGGTAAATCGTGATAGTCAGAACTGATCGAACAATTTCTCTCTAATTTGTGAACTAATCTATTGTCGGCTGGGTGTGCAATAAAATGCCGAGAAATCTCCGCTGTACTCCGGTCCCCAAGGGTTGTTGCCTGAGGCGCCAACTCAGGAGCTCCTGTGGGGCGGCTAGTCACATGTTGTACGCCCTCGCCATGACGCACCTTTAAGCTTAACCTGATAGTTGAGAAGCTGTAACGTAACAGCTCGGACATCTCGGATTACAGTTCTCTGAAAATGTCGACAGCAGCCGTCTTTGGCTCCACTGGAGCAGTGGGCTCGCAGATCCTCGCAACACTTCTCGCCTCGGACACGTTCTCCTTCGTCAAGACGGTGTCAAGAAGAATTCCAAGCACCCAGTCTGCAAAGCTCGAAGCTTTGCAAGAAAGCGACACCTCGAAATGGGCTGAAAAGCTCGATTCTTTGAATCCTAAGCCATCTGTCGTCTTCAATGCTGTTGGTACCACTCGGGCTGCAGCTGGTGGCATTCAGAATCAGTGGAAAATCGACCATGATTTATGTATCGAGAATGCCCGGGCCGCCAAGGCCGCGGGGGTGAGGACCTACGTCTTCATTTCTAGTGCAGGGACTCGAGGCTTCCTCTCTAATCATGTCCCTTATTCGAAAATGAAGGTCGGCGTGGAAGATGCCATCAAGGAACTAGGTTTTGAGCACGCGATTATCCTGAGACCGGGCATGATTCTTGGGAGAGAAACTCCCAAAGCGGCATTCTTCGAAAGTATCGTAGGAAACCTTAACAAATTGGGACAGGGTATCCAGGACCGAATCGGTATGAGACACCGGAGCTGCACAGATGTGGATATTCTTGAACTGTGGAAAACTGATTAATTATGTGCAGGCCAAGACCAGACTATCATTGGGAGAGCTGCTGTGGCCGCCGCCCGAATCGCCGAAGAAGGAAAAGCGCCCTCAAAATTTTGGGCTTTAGAGCAAGCTGATATTGTCAGACTTGGCAGAGAGGAGTGGAGGGAGTGAAGTCGGGTTGTTCTCTGCTACTGATATTTAATCTTTGACTTGTGCTTTGTCCGCTAATTTTGTCTTCCTGGAATGAAGAAAGTGGATTACTATGGATGAAGTGATGGACCAGTGTTAAACCCGCACTTGGAGACCATGATTTTATAGAAACCATAGCAATAAGCGGTACTCTGAGAGGTGTTCGGTTAAGACACAGGATAATTTCAGGGCCCAGGATGCGCTGTTATAGGAGGTAGTAGGCTTTACCGGTTTGAACGTTGCTCTGTCTCAATTTGAATCCATATTGTGTAATCTAACTAATCAACTCCTTCTCCCGCCTGCCATGAAGTCTGCCATAAGGTATTGCGTTCCCCAAAGCCTAAACAATCTGCTCTGCAATCAAAACAAACTAAACCCCGAAAAGAAATATCGCAGTCTGGTATCAGTCTCATGTAGGAAGTTAGTCGGCTCAATTAAACATGAAGTGGAATAGGTATCGTTGGCGAATCTGTGCTGGATCCGTGATGACATACTTCTTGGAGGGCGTCGGTTCAGGTTCTGGGCTTCCGGAAGGCGACCGAAGGCGGAAATCGGGGAGTTTGGCGCCTTTTAGCTCATGTACGAATTCGCCATCACGCCATGACTGATATTTGATGCCATTTGGGTTTTCAACGATGCGGTGGTTGCCGTCCCCTGCACTGTTGTTGCAATCTGAGGGCCCACATTCCTTGCCGAGCTCAACCTCGCATAACAACAAAAACGCCTTTTGTCCAGAGCCAGCGAGACAGTCTCCGGTTGCCCTCTTTGTCGTATCCGTAAATGATATCCCGGGTGTGCCCTTTGTGCAGTTGTCGGGGCGAAGACCATTGCGCAGAATTCCTGGAAATTGGGAAGCACGTGAACCGTGCCAGAGAAGACGACGTTCACTCAGAACGGATTTGTGGTCATCGCTCCACTAAGAGAATTGCTGAGCTTCCCCTGGGTGCTCGATTTGGAAGACATTTTGGAGCTGTACATTGCAGGTGAGAGACAATCATGGAGCAAGAGAATTACATAGGGTTGAACTTGCAAGGGAAATGGGAACTTCGTGTGATAAGGTTACTGTACTGATCACCATAGCTCTTCTTAAAGTACACAACAATGCCCTGGTACTCACTTGTGTCTTCCTTCACTATTGACACGGCAATTAGTATCACAGACATATTCATCAATAAATTCTAAATGAACTCTCGGTGAATCAAGAAAGGGCATACCTGGGGACATTTTGGTCAGGTCCAGCAAGGCATAAATGTGACGCAACAGAGGAGCTATGAGCTTTCCGAATCTTTTCAGCTTTTCTTCAATTAACCTGAATTCCAGCAGACAATCGATTGATTTGCGTGAATCACTGATGCATACGTTGCCAGGGGGCGCAAGCTTGCCAGCTGGCCAAAATAGTCTCAGAAAGCACTCAATTAATTTTGTCTCAAGGCTTTGGGCATCGCAATTGTCATTCTGAGGCTGGCTTTGGACTTCAGAAATTCTCCTCAAGAGAGCAGAAGCAGTCTGCACGGAATGCTTGGTGGAAGTTGCCCTCATTTGTAAGAGTGGGCTGAGTTGGCGGTCCAGCAGAGAAGCTTCGACACGTCGCAAGTTGTCTAAATTCACAAACTTCTTCAGAGCATCACACACTGCCAACGGAAGGTCCTCGTGGCTCTGATCTGCCTTGTTCTCAGATTGAATGAAGATTGCCTTCTTGCCGTTGGGCGGATCGGTGCATTGACTCCAGGGTAGGCCAGTGAACAACTTGAATTTCGCTTCGAAATAGCAGTGGCGACTTCCAGATGACGATCCTCCGAGCGTGAACAATCACGTCTGTGGTCCAGGGAGGTATAGCCTATCAGAGTATGATATTTGTTCTTCTCGGTGTCAACAATCACTTGAATCCGAGTTATTCCCGCAAAGGATCCCCTCCACTCCTTCTCTGGGGTTTCATTCAACGCTGAAGGGTCGTCAACCATTGTGGCATCCCAAAGTATGCCCTCCTCATCTTTGAGGGCCGCAAGCCTTTCTCATATCCCTGAAAATGTTAAGGAACACGGGCTAACATCAGAACATCATGAGATAGTAGACGGCAATTACCATCTTCTGCCTTGTAGCTTGCCTTGTCTACCATAGCGGAGAGTGTGGAGAATTTGATCAGAATGTTGTCATTGACTTGCTCAGCGGACTTGTCATCGCTGTCAATTCTTGACACTGAAATATATTAGTTGAGCTACTGAGCAGTTACTGGGAAGGATGTTTCCCACAACTCTACGGTGACTATAAACAAATAAACGCATTGAATGAGAAGGGATCTATATCCAACACTCGTTATTCAGACTATAGAATCATCGTGGGCTTTCATACCCACGTGGCGACAATGACGGGCTATCATTGATGCGCAACGCGTATGCCAATATGTGGTAAAGGGGCAGGCAGACCCATTGACGCCTGTATCAGAAAGACATACGCCGTCAACGCTGTCTACTCGAGAGATTGTTAACGACAAAGGTTCTATGCAGAAAAATGAAGTTCAAATACTGAAAGTCAAGAATATAATATTTGTTAGTAAGGTCATGCTCGTCAGCAGATTTTGGAGAGAATGTTTTTGAACCGCTTTCGGAATTTTGGATTTTAGAACCGGTTGATATTGTTGATTGAATGGAGAAGATGCATTGAGTAAAAGTTGCTATTCTCTGCTACTCATCTTAGACCATAGCTTAGTTTCTATCTCTAGTGTAGCGCAGGTTCGGTGAGAGGTTGAAGGATCCACGAGCTGTTTCTTTTTAGAACTGCCTGAAGATAAGAAAGGATCAAACCGAAGTTTGCTGTGAAACGAGGTCAATGATTACTACCTAATGAGAGACTTTCAAGGCCCTGAAATATGACCGATGAAAGTAGTAGTAGTTTCCCAAAATAAATGCTGTCTTAATGCTCGAAGCCAAACTTTGCCGTCTAATATCTGTTCCCTCATCCCCCAGGGGTACATTTTAGACCCATTAAGAACCTCCAAAAGAACAAAACAGAAGAGTGAAAACATCCTGAGGGAACACCGGACGCAATGCCAAAAAGAAAGTTTGACTTATTTCAGTTTGATGTGAAATATGTATCGGTGGCGTATCTGAGCCGGATTTAAGACGATGTACTCTTTCCCGCGCTTGAAAACATCGGGAATTGAGTGCACAGCAGGGATCTTGGCACCTTTTAAGTCAGGATGCACACATGCTGCGTCAGACCAATTTGCGTGAGATTGACCTCGGATCGTATACGAATTGGAGGTTGACCCCCCACCTCCGTGGTGCCAGGGGCTCTGTTGGCCGAGCTCAACCTCGCATAAGAGCACGAATGCGTCTTCTCCTCGATTAGCTCTACAATAGCCCAGTGACTTTCCTGAACGGTCTGCAAAGAATATTCCTTGAGTAGGGCCTATGGTAAGACCTTGTCGTAGGATACTCGCAAAATTCAAAACGGGTGAGCCGTGCCAAAGGAGACGGCGTTTACTTGGGCGAATTTTTTGGACACAAGAGGAAAATTGTTCGGCTTCCCCTCGACGTTCAAGTCGGAAGATATTCGACAGCTGGATACCATACGTGAGAGTCAGTCGAGTAGGGTGAAAACAGCTACAGTAATATTCAGGGAAACCTACGGTGACAGGGTGTGCAAAGTAGCTGTTTTTGAAGTATCCAGCGAGAAGGTTGTACTCGTCGGTGGTTTTATCCACTGGTTAAATTAGCTCCCGAGCCAACCTCCTGGGCACGTTATAGGAGGAGAGAAGAGAAATACCTGGGGTCAATGCGGCCAGTTTCAACAGGCTGAAGACATGGCGCAACAGTGGTGGATTCAGCTTGTCTGGTGTGATTGGGGCACCTTCAATTGCTTTGAAGTCTCCCAGGTCTTCAATCAGTCTGCGTGTCTCACCAACCGATTCGATCTTGTCAGGCAAGGGGGCGTCATCTCGCCCAAACAGCTCAATGAAGGACTGAGTCAGGCTGGTTTCAAGGCTTTGGAAGACACCATCATCACCTTGGGCGAGATACTGCGCTTCAGAAATCATATCCAACATGGAAATTGCGGTTTTGATGGAATGGTCAGTGAATAGCTCCTTGTTATCCAGGAGCCGGTTGGGATATACCGGCAATATGGCACGTTTAAGGGCGAGTAAGGGTCCTGGCGTCACAAATTGCACAGAACATCAGCAACCGTGGAGCCAACCTTTATCTGAGCATCCCTGTTCTCGAAAGGGATAAAGATAGCTTTGGATTCTTTCGGCCGTGCCAGACGTGCACTCCAAGTGAGACCAGTGAGCCGCTCAAAAGCGGTTTCGAATTCCGTAATTGCTCGTGATAAATGGCCATCACCTTTGCTGTCAACTGTACGTGTGACGCATGTGGGGTTGCTGGGGCCCTGGGGGTGCTGCCGGGTTAAAGTGGTCTCACGAATGCAGGTATCGTACTTGTTTGTTTGAATGTCAACGACCAGTTGAATACGAATGATCTTGGCCGATGTCATCTTCGGGTTTGTGGGGTTGTTTAAAGTCGAGATTGTTTCCACCAACGTGGCATCCCAGATCCTATCACTGTCGTTGATCCAGACTGCAAGATTTTTTGTGTCTAATCAAGTATTAGGTTAAATGCTGCCAAGTCGAAAAATCGGTATCTACTCGGCTAGTACAAGGCACTTACTAACCATTTGTTTGGCTCGCTTTATCAACCATAGCAGAAAGCTTGCCAAGATTGGCTAAGACCCTAGCAGTTGTACTCTTTGTGCGCCGGCTGTGGTCGTCGCTTTCGTCGGAGCTCAGCTTGCGTTTGGGACTAGATTTTGGCGTGGTGCTAGTGGAGGTTGATACTAGGCGCTTTCCGCCAAGCGCACTGATCAGGAATCCTTTCGTGTTGAGAGGTTTCTTCTGCTTGACAGACGCCAACAACCAGTCAATTGAGACAATGTCGCAGTTGGACTTTTTCTGAGCCTCCGAGACTAATGTATACAGATAATGGATCAATATTGACGCAGTGTTCACAGTCTTCACAGTTACTGACTTTTGCTTGGGGCCTCCTCGCTATGGTAGCACCCAGGGGTGGTGATGAGATGTGTACACTTGCTGATATTCATCTTTTCGAATTCTGCGCCGCATTTTTCAACCATTGCTTGGATTTCCTCTGCCAAAGATAAATCATGTCAGCGCCTCAAAAAAAGGTTCTCTAGCTAGTCAACCAACCATGATTGTAGTCAGGAATTTTTCCACTCGCTGATATCACCAGCCCTGACCAGTTCTTGCGGCACATGTTCTCAAGTGGAAGGCACGTAACCAGTTGGCCGAATTGAGAATCGCACTTGCAAAGACTTATGATAGACGAAGAGGAAAGGAGAAATTGTTCCAGCGGGAAGAAGATTTCATAGTTTTTATAAGATCTTGTCGGGGTTATACATCTTACTTGAAGGGAATATCCGGCTACTTCAGAGCAAAGCTACAAAGAGACCAATGGATGCGCAGCAATGAGGGCGCAAGGAAGGATTCCGTACTCTGTGTTCATCCATTGTTATCAATTTGCGTTCCTCAAATAACAATGGGAGGGGGCGATTAGGTCATGGGGAACATTCATGGTGTATACCATCATCCATTTCTTTGGCCCCATATGCATATCTCAACAATGGAGGGTTGTGATCAAAGCGCAACGCTTATGTTGATATACGGTAAAGTTGTGTGCAGGCAGACTGCTCTGCGCCATGTAATTGCCGTCGATGGTGCCTACTCAAGAGGATTTTACGCAAAGGCGATTCATGTTCAGGGATGACGAGTTCCATTGGTATAGGTAAAGGAAATCAAGAAAACCATCCTATGCTTGCTGCTGATGCTATGCTCGTCTTTATATTTCAAAAGAGATTTTTTTTGTCTTTTGTCCGTCTTAAAAAGAAGAAGCTTTCGTCCCAGAAAAAGAGTCAAACCTGGTTCAACCGGTCTTCAGATGGAAAAGGTATCGCTGCTGGACCTGAGCCGGGTTGTAGACCACGTACTCATTGTATGCCAGAGTCTTTGACGCCCGATGCTCCCTTGGTAGCGCGACATCGGGCATCCAGACACCGTCTAGGCGCCGATGAAGCTTTTTCGCGTTATTCCATCCTATGTGGTTTGAGCGACCGTGAGCCATGACAGCGATTTTTCCCTCCTTGTGCAGGGTAGATGCGGCATTGCGGTCACAGTCTTCGAGGATCAGTGGATCGTGGCCGATCTCAACTTCGCAAAGAAGCATGAGTGCCATGTTGGCCGGGCCACGGCAGTATCGGGCAGCCTTGCCCGACATATCAGCGAAATAAATGCCGGCGCCAAACATTCCACCGGCGCTCTTCTCGAAGAGATTGGCTCTCAATCCTTGGCTCAGGATACCGATGAACTTTTCACATGCGGAGCCATGCCAAAGCAAATATCGTTGACCGATTTTGTCGCCGTTTGCTGCTCTCCATTTGTGGTAGCGCTCAGATTCCCCGCGACGTTCGATCCGAAAAATGTTGATGACCTCCTGGCATTCTGATATCAATATTTTTGAATAAAAAAAGGCTCCTGTGGAATGCTTACCTTGTACTGAACCGTATGAAGTGACCCGACTGACGATTGAAGATAGTCATACAGGCCCTTGTACTCTTTGGTGCCCTTCCGAACTATATGAAATTAGTAAGCCCGTTCAAGCTCAATGTACAAATGGGAGGATACATACCTTTCTTAATTTCGGCCAGTTCTAGAGTTTGAAATGCCTGTTGCGACAGTGGGGCGAGGGGGTTGTTGTAAAGAAGATGGGCTCTTTCTATTGCGATGCGCAACTTCAGCAGAAGATGGACGTCCTCACGCTCCCGCTTAAGCCAGTCTTGGTCTGTAGCTAGTGATTCTGTGATTGAGCGGTTGACGATCCCCAGCAAGCCGAAATAACATTGCTTCAGATACTTAGCCCGACCAAGCGTGGAATGTGGACTGAGCGAGCTTCGTAGAGCCTTTCTTTTCTCATGGTCAGTCAAGGCATGGTCAGTCAAGGCATGGTCAGTCAAGGCATGGCCGAGCTTATCCAGAAGGGCAATTGCGGTTCGCAAGGCATCTTCCCCGAGCTGAATATTACCGATCGCCTTGATACGGCAGTTAGCTATCTCGTTGAAGAGATACTGAGTTTGCATTTTGTTAGTGTGGCCGAAAAGTAGCTTTATTAAACCCATGATTGCATCAGGGATCTTGATCATGTCCTTTGATTTCTCGTGTCCTTGGGCAATGGTCTGCTGTTCATCCTCGGTTGGGGGTTGAATAAAGAGGCACCGGGTTTCATCTGGAAAGTGCCATGGCAGAGTTTGAGGTAACAAGTAGCGGTCCTCCCAACCCAGCGAGGCCTTTCTCTTGAACAGCCTCTTGAATTCGACGACTGCTGACATGAGATCGCCGTTGCCGTACAGTTCTCCCTCCTCGGTCTTGTCATCCACTAGCCTGAACCACGTGTAATACCTGTCGGTCTTGAAAATGTACAAGATTTGGAGACGGTGGATCAGAACGCTGTATTCCGGTGTGTACGCGTTCAACTGAGATGATGGACGCTTGATCAGATTGCTGATTAGCAACGCATCCCAGCGTACACCATGCTCATCCATCCAAACGGCGACTTCTTCTCCTGATCAGAAACAATGTTAGCTAAATTTGGTCAATGATTTGTGTAGCTTCTTGTATATATGAGCATTACTCACCACGAGTTTGAAAATGATCATCCACGAGGAACACCAATTGTTCCCGATGGACGTGCAGATTGTTTCTCTGCACTTTGGGTGGCTCTTCAATCGTGTGGGTGTCCGCCGCAAGCTTATGCTTGTTGCTCTTGGGTTTATCCGGAGAGCTTTGGGTGAGCTGTGAGCCCCCTGGAACATTGTCTGGCGTCGGCTTGAGGAGGTAGCCATCCGTGCTGACCGGTTTTTTGTTCTGCACGGAATCGACCAGCCATTCTATGCCGACGACATTGCAGTGTACAACCTTGTGGGCCGCATCAACTATACAAGAGTGTGGTCAGTATTAGCAGAAAAGCCTGCAACAGCTCGTACTTACCTTTCCTGGTTGCATTTTGCACACTTCTCTTGGTGGTGATGAGATGTGTGCAGTCGCTCACTTTGAGTTTTTCGAACCTCGCACCACATTCCTCGACCATGCGTTGGATGGAGTCTGCAAACCGTTAGTGGCATCCATAACATTATTGCAACCGTCAATCCACCCTTGGGTATTCAAATTCCACGCACCATGTGTCTGACCCGGTATGTTGCCGCTAGCCGCGACGATAACCCCGGCGAATGAGGTTGGCGTCATTTTTGATGTTCGCGGTGGCGCTAGTTCCAAGGAGGTCAGTCTTCTTCTGAAGTTCAGGCTTGATGGTTGACAGTTGTGAGTCCCTGGAGGCGAGAGAGGTCAGAGAAGGAAGACCAACCTGGCGAACTGAATCAGAGGTGGAGGAAGAGAGTCAACCCGTGTCTGACGATTTGCTGAAGTCTGGGGTAGCAACCAGCAACGTCAAGGTGAATGGATATAAATGGGAGCTTAAATAGCAATAGGCGCAGCTTCCAGTATCTTCCGGTGGTTATGAACCTGATCAGGCACTCACTCTAGCGGCAAGAGAAATGATTGCTATTTCTAGCAAATAAAACTCGCTGACTACCTCAGGTGTCTACTGCTACCTGGAGTATTCCCACGGGGAAAACGATTACAGTGTGTAAATGACGGTCATTTCAGGAAATCATACGTGAAAATGAAAACTACGGTTCACTGGCAAGCAAAGAAAGATTCGTTGGAGCAAATATTGAATTTGATTCCTCCACTCGCAAAGCGCAACAAGACATCCAGTGGGGGACCATAAACCGTGAATCATCCAAGACTTCCCTGCACCCTGTATCATTGGGTCCGCATTTCCCTAGTTGCTGGTGAAGTAGTTGAAGGCCACGACAGAGCCGAGGTTGATTTTCTTGGCCCAGGTATCAAAGTCGTAGCGCATGCGACTCATGTTGCCCAACTTCTGGCCATTGACAGGAGCATGCTCCTTCGCATCGAAATCAGCCGGCTCTTCGTATAGGAAGAAGATGTAGCGGTGAGGCGAGCTACCAGGAGGTGGCGCAGGACCGATGTAGTTGGCGATGAACGGAGCAGTGGTGTCAAGGTTGCCAGACTCGGTGGTCTTCACTCCAGGCTGGATCCAGTGCAGAATGGGTCCCAGGAAATCGAATGATGGGAAGGGAGCATCGATGTCGAGGCTGACCACGAGATAGGTCTTGCTCGAGTCGAGGCCGGCGAAGAAGATCTTGGGAGGGGACTGGGCGTCTGTGAGGTGGTGAGTAGATGGTGACTGAAATCTTGAGGGAGAGAAATACAAACCCGCGCGAGGAACGAATTGGCCTGGCTGGATGTTCTTGTGATTGCCCACACTCAGGCCCAACACCTTGGACTCGTCGTCCTTGATGAGAGCCAGAGCAGCCTTGGCTTGCGCATCGGAGGGCATTTTGATTTTGGGGGAGATGGTGAAGGTGACAGGAGGGAAGTTGAAGAAGGGAAGATTATCCAGAGCCAAGAAGGGGGAGTTATCAGGATAAGTCCCACGTCACAGTCGCGCCTTCCCTTGGAAGGTCGCCAGATTATACAACCGCAAGCTTTCGGAGATAAGCGGGGTTTGTGTGACGCACCTCTAAGTGTTTACTCCACTTAAGGTGGGCGCCTTAAATTCTATGAGCTTCTTGAAAAAGACTTCATTGGCTAGCTAAACGATCTAACCAATGAACGTTTTCCTTCAGTGGGGACTCGAAATGCCGGCATCTGCCACGCGATATCAGGGCCGTGGTCATTGGCCACTAACATGTCCTCAACTAGGTAATCTCAATCGATCCCCAGTTCACTCTTTAACAATACCCTTCACCAGTACTCGAATGCTATAATTTCCTTCATCCGGGAACGGGGTTCCAAAGTCCCGCGCAAACTCGATATTCTTTATTGTAGTCTTGAACAGCTCGAGATCGAATCGACGAATCAGAGTCGCTATAGCAAGATATAGTTCAGCGTAGGCAAGGCTTTCATCCCATGTGTCAGCACGTATTATCCAAAAAGAGCCAGAGGTCAGTAGATCATTAGTGTACTTACTTCATGCCCAGACAGATACGACTTCCTTTGGAGAAATTCACAAGGTACCGATCCAATCGCTCACCCTTTGCTGCAGCCCGGGTCCATCTTTCGGGATCAAAGGCATGAGGATCGGGAAATATGTTTGGATCCATAAGGACAAAGTAGTTCGTTTGGCTGATAAGACTCTGGTATCGGATTGTCAGCATTTTTCCTTGTTTAGAGATCACAAATAGATCACTGACACCTGCTGGAATGGTATGGTTCTTGTATACCAACGTTTCTGTGGGCGCCCTGCGTGGCGAGCGACTCGCAATCCCCGTCGACAGGCGTAGTGTTTCTAGAACAACTCCCATCTAGTACAACAAAAATTAGAGATTCAGCAATCGCGCGAAACGCATGGGCGGTACTTACCAAATATGGCAACTGCTCCAACTCGTTCCAGGTAGGCTTAGACTCGGGCGTGGGCATCACCGCTCGTATTTCCTCGCGCAGTTTCTTCAGTAAATGCGGCTCGCTGAGTAAATGGTACATCCCAAGCGAAAGAGACCTAGCAGTTGTCTCTGTGCCTCCAATCACCAGCGAAAAGCCCTCATCAGTCAGGTTATCAGCACTCCGAAAATGTTCCGGCATGTCAGGGCTGGATAGCTTTTCAATAACAGATCCAGACTCGCCCTTCTCACCAGAAAGAAACCTGACCACTCGGTTGTGGACATCGGTCTTCTGGTCCTTCAAAGCAAAGGCGTATGGATTGATCATCTTCACCACAGACAGAGGCAGTACGTTCAAAATGGTTTGTACGATTGGAAAGAAAAATGCAATGTGTCCCATTCGGAATAATCCACTGATCCCATCTCTGATGTTTTCATTAAAATCTTCCTGGTCCAGATTCCCACTGTTGAATCCAAACACATATTGGTGGATGATATCCGAAGTCAACGCTGAGAAGCCTGCATCTAGAGAAATCACCTTGTGCGAATGGTAGGCACCCTCAAGATGCTGGACGAGTTTGTGAAGACAAAACTGAATCGTGCTCTCGGTTCTTGTAATTGCTGCTTTCGAGAAGAATTTCTCTACTGGTGCTCGGCGTTGCCGATGGGTCTCGGGTGAAACACTGGCGAAGGATGAGCCATCGAGATCAAATCGGCCGACTGCGGCAGCGTCCTTTTCTCGCCTTCGGCCAGCGGATGCATAGATCTCGTCATAATAATCGGGATCCTTGATGTGAACCTCGCGCGGGCTAACGCGAACAATGGGACCTATCCAAGAATGAGCTTTGAACAGCATAGTCCAAATGAGCTAGTCCGGACCACCTGCCATAGGTTTCATGCAATCCTTCCAAATGCCATATAAATGTCCCCCGTTTAACCACGTTAAAGTAGAACTCATAAGCGCTGCTGAGGGCTGCCAATTTCGGCCCTGGAATATGCCTCAGTGGGTGGAAATATAGTCGGTAGACGGCTTTGGTTAAAAAATAAATCAAAAGTCCCCCGACTCCCCAAGCTACCAAACCAGCCATGGTGGTTTGCGATGTCCGGTGAAAAGAACAGAATTCCAAATTTGCACGTTCCCAATCGTGAAATGGGAGCAAGCCTTCGGTTATATACGCCCGAGCATTGTTATTTCAAGCTGCAGCGCAGCTGCACACCCATGACCCACATCATGCAGTTTCAATTCAGCGAGAAATTTTATTGGCTGAAAATGGAAAGCGTGCAGATGCGGGGAAAGCAATCAACTGGATAATGTACTCAACTTGAAGTGGTCACTTTGACTAGGCAATCTTAAGCTAGGTTCGCCGCCAAGGTCTTGTCAGCATGTCCGTGATTGGTTCTTAGAATGGGTAGGGTAGGACGGACCGTATGCAGCAGAGACTCGCTTAGGTGTCCCCATATTGGATTGAGTGAACTATACCCTTTGCAAAACGCATTGGTCTCCTTACTGTTCCTTTAATGCAGATTCAAGTAGCGGGGATGCTACCACTCTCCCCGAGATAAGTGCGTCGGCCGAGGTTACTTGCAGGCCCATGGGCATGGATAAGGTAGGTACCTTGGCACTCCCAAAAATACGCTTTGGGTCATCAGTCTTAAGTTCGCACATGGCAAACTTTATACCCCAAAACTACATATCGGTAAATTCATAGCCAAAAACGGCTAGTCTTAACTCGATATCTACCTCGCCGGTGAAGTAAAATAACAGAGGTTTCGTCTGACCAGCTGTTTCAAGCAGGTAGACTTGATAAATTGGCAACCCGTCGTTGCTTAGTTGTAGCCAGGCAGGAATGATTTCAGACTATGTATTTCAGTGGTGCAAGTCAACACAGCCAGAAAAGTAGGAATCCAAAGCACAACTCTTTTGTCCGTTTCAGCTACTGGCGTCTAATTACTCTGATGGGTATTTATCCACCTTGTTATGAGCTCCTCCTTTTCAGGCACATCTAAATAGGAAAATCCAGAAAGAATACCCACAATTTCATCGTATCCCTTCTCCCGCGCCAGTTCAAGATCATCCTCCTCAGGTTGTACGCCATGCTTAATCAAAAATTTGCATACATCCAAATGACCATGAAGTATAGCATAGTAGATAGAGCTATAGTTCTTTTCTCCGCCTTCAATAACGCTTTCCGTTGGTAGGCTGAGGTTGGGGTCAGCACCTTCGGAGATGAGGAACTCAACCCAGTCTTTCTTCCCTTCAGTAATAGCTCCATGTAGAGCCATATGACCATACTTTTTGATTTCAACCCCGTTTTCCACCATAAGATCAAATATTGGCCGATTATTTAACGCAAAGGAAAGCGCTTCGTCCCAGTGTACGCATACGCCAAGTCTAACCAAGACGCGAACCTCGTAAAGACGGTGATATTTGACGGCCTCCACAATGGGACACTCATCTCCGCCACATGTACGGGCCTTGTGCTTGATAAGTAAATCGAATATCTCACCATAGCCGTGTCTCATCGCGAGAGCAACAGGTAGTGGATATTTTTTCCCATTAAAAGGAAATTCAAATCCCGCCACCGCTTCGCAATCAAGAAAACAGTTGACGAGTTCCTTTAGTCCAGTTGAGACGGCAGCGAGAAAGGCACGCTGGGCCAATAGGATGTCACGGACTCGATGTCCTTCTTTGTAGAGCAGATGTTGTTGGAGATCCCAGTGAAGCGTTCCATCCCAGCCTCGAGCTGCTGCATCTTCTTCGTCGGTATTGTCTCGGGTGTTTGTTATAGGACTTTCTTCCATAGAAGCCGTTTCTTCTCGCTTTTTGTTGATTCCCAATAGCTGTTTCAGAATTTCCCGTACGAGGCAAATATCTCCACTTTTCACTGCACAGAATAACAGCGATCCGTGACAATCCTTCACACTGGATACGACGAGGATAGCTTTGAATATCCTATTGAATCGACGATTTGATAAGACGAGAGCCCGAACGTCTCTGTAGCAGCTTGAATATCCACCGATCATACATAGAAGTTCATCCGGTAGCTGTACAAGAGACATGGAGACAATGTAGTTGATGAGACAAGAGGAAGTTGGGCAAAAGGAAGAATGGCTTGGGCCAGTGAAAGAGGCAATACTGGAAGGATCCTTAGCTTGATTTCGGTAATTATTACTGGGCCAAGGCTGCTTGCCAGGCTACTCGCACCACAGCGCTAAGCCCTTTTTGATAGGTATCATCCCTCCCTGAGTCTTTGCATAATTTCTAGTCATGTATCATACAAACTCCCATACTTTAGCAACATATGGATTCCAGGTCCACCGGGGATCACTTCCCGAGGCGGGATCAACCTTATTTCCACAAAACACCCCTGACGACATTACAAGCCAGTCCAGGGTGGCGAACCTACACGAATTTCACGTTTACAAATCACAAATATTCTGAAAAAGTATCATAAATTCAATGTGTTCATATAATGGAAAAAAGTACTAGAACAGCGATTTGAAACCAACCCGCTGAGACTACTTAAATGAAAGTAGAACGTCCATCCGCTCATATGTAGACACGCCAGAAATGCACCGGTGAATTCAACCGAACCCACTAACCCCATTTGCCCTTCCAACACGCTCCGCTTCCCTGGTGGCGAGGTATATTCCAGACCACACCCAATATCCAACCGAAAAAAACCAAGAACCAAGAACCATGGTATCTCCAACTCCAGAGCCGAACCAGCTAAAGACAGACATATAAACGAGGTATCATGAGAAATAATTACAGAGAGAAAGAGAATGAAACGAGACGGGACAACGACCAGAACGCCGCGGCTTGAGAAAAAGATGTCAACCTCACTTATGCCTGGGTCTTGGGACTGATATCAGAGGTGAGTGGTTTCTGGTCGGCGGGTGTTTCGATGGTATCATCGGACTCCTCGTCGACCTCCAGAGATCCAAATTTGTTGTTCGAGGATGTCTTCTGAACGTCCACTTTCTTAGTCGGTGACTCAACCTCAGGCGACGGGAATTTCTCCTCGAGTTGGCTAAGCACATCCTCGGCGCCTTCGACTTCTTTATTTTCAGTCTTGGTTTCGGCCTTTGGGGCCTCGTTCTCTGCGATAGGCTCCTTGGGTTCTGTCTTGGCTTCGTCAGCCTTGATTCCCTCTGCCTTCAGAGCGGCGAGACCTTCGGCCAGCGCATGTCGCTCGTTATCATCCTCGTTGTCGCTGTGAGCTGAGAGGAACTCGTCCTTGTCGGCAGGTAGTTCGGAGTCTGACTCGTCGAAATCGACATCATCTACCACAGCAGGAACGGCAGTGCTAGTCTGGAGCTTCTTGACGTTTGAGGGGAGAGCGCTGGACTCGGTGGGTTTCTCGGTAGACTCGGTCGCCTCGGGGGCTGTTTCGGTCTCTTCGGTGCTTCGACTGGTGTGCGAGAGTGCGGTTGGCGAAGTCGATTCCCGACTGGAGCCAGAGCCCCAGGTGTGTCGAGGGTGACGCGGAGGCAAAGCTGGAGGAGTTGGGCGCTTGTTAATGGTGACCAGCTTAGCCCTTGTGAAAGTGGGTGACATGCGTCGCGACTCCGCAGCATCCACCTGCTCCTCCTTGGGACTCTCCGGCCTCGTGATAGTCGCATTGGAGACCTCGTGCACCTCAAACTCGTCATCAGATTCGGCAGCTTGGTTCTTCTCAGTTTCGGCATATCCATTCAAACCCCTCGCGTCCGTCGTTCCTTCCTTAGTACCCTCCTCTTTCTCCTCGCCACCATGAATAGGCACCGTATCCCAACCAGCCTGCTCATCCTCCTCCCACGGTTTCGCAGACGGCCCATTGGTGGACTCCTTCGCGCTCAGCGAGGACGCTCGGCTTACTGACGTGGGTGCAGTTAGCGATGCGTCCTCTGTTTGTGTGCCGCGATCTACACTCGTGTAGCTCTGCACACTGGCCCGCCAGCTATTCCGCGGCGAGCTGTCAAGACTACGCCGGGAAAACGTCGCATACACCGGGCTGCCCGGCTTGGGCCGGAATTCAAAAGCTTCGTGACTGGGCCTCACCTTCGAACCGGCCTCCCGGATGAACATGCCTTCAGCCTCCAATGCTTTCACTCCGTAAGGATCCGGATCATCCATATCGGGTACACCAAATAGGTGATCATTTCCTGAAACGTCTAGGTCACCGGGTGTTTCGCCGGAGGGTGCGACCAGGCTTTCGTCAACATCCACGTCGCCCTGGGCTGCTTTGATGGTTTGGAGCAGTGTTTTGATCGAGTCTGGTGGATGGCGCGCTTTTCCTGCCAGAATGTCTGTCACGGAGATGCGCTCGCCATAGAATTTCTCGTTCTCGTCGGTTCGTTCGATGATGATTGTTCCGTCCACGGCCACGCCGGCATATAGACCCTTGCTCTTCATATATGTCCAAATCGGGGACTGGCGTTTGTGAACTTCGGAATCGAGGACGCCACCCATTCCCACAGGGCCGGCGGCGGCGCTGACCTCGCCACCCAGAGTGCAGCGCACTTTCTTGAAGGCGTCGAGGGCCTCGTATGTGTTGATAACGACAACGCAGTCATAAATGTCGACACCAGCCAAGAATCCAATACCAGCAGTGTGAAGCATGATGCCAGAAGGCGGACTCCATTCCCCTGTTTCGGGGATACGAGCCAGCAGCACACCACTACCTCCAGAGCCACTGATCCAGAGGCCGGTCCTCATCGTGGTAAAAATGGCGATACCCTTTGCATTCTTGATAACCTTAGAGGGGATCTTCTTGATGACCCTCTGCTTTCCCTTGGGCCGATTGATCTTTCCATTCTCGTCGGTGGTCGATTCAGATTCGGGGGTATAGAAGCCATCTTTGCAGAAACTGCGCAAAATCCGGGCGGCTTTGTCGCTTTCTTTATCGATTGACATAGGCCAAAAGGCCTCGGCACCAAGTTTGTTGGATAGGCGATTGACAGGAGCGCCCAATTTGTCGACTGTATCCCATGCTTTATCGAAGCCCTTCTTCGAATAGCGCTTTGTCTTCTGCCACGCAGACATGGTCAGCGCTGAAGGGAAACTGTGCAACTTCGATCGACAGGCGCAAGACAGAGGAACGGGAAAAAATGCGCTTCACAAGCTAGGCGGAATCTATAAGCGAGACGCTATCTTGATTGCGCTGCGAACAGCACTCAAGCAACTGGAGAATGCTTCTCAAAACGATTCGGAATGTCCACCCAGCGATTGGATAGGGATGTTTTTGGGATTAAGAAGAATCCGGCGGGATCGGCGGGATTGCCACTAGAGAATGTGTGCGGGGAGGAATGCGACAGATCAACTTTGACGTCGTCCCAACAGGTATGAAGCGGGAAGAGGAAAAAACTAAATATCCATAGTCAATACCCTTCATGAGAGACCATAACTGTTGATGCCCAAACTCCCCCTGGGTAGCAAGCTCTTTTTTGTCACTACTGAATAAGTAGTGGATGGTCCTTGGCGATCCAACGGCCGGAGGAGCTGGAATGTGACCAAAACACCGGAAAAAGAAAGAGGCTTACCACAGATAGTGGATGACGGGCGCAGATCTGGGGATCAGAGAAACTACTCTTGATCGCAGATTATGTACAGCCCAGGATATGTTGAGATTTGAACAGCCTGTAATACTGCAGTAGAAAGAGTAAAGAGGAAAAGAATAGAAAAGAAGAAAAAATGGTCAAGCCGGAGGGACCAGGCACCAGGGCCCAACTTAAGAAGTTCCAGTTTCGCCAGCAGAACTGATGAGCCACGATGGATGACCTATGACACAAGTAGCAGATCGGGTCAGACGGAAAGGCGGGAGCTCTGCCAATTATTTCGACTGGCATAGAAGGCCGAGTGGCGCCGTGGCTAACAAAAAGAAAGACCAGCGCAGACCAGAACCCTGGAGCGTCCATGGAACCGCGCGGAGGGACGTCATCATCGACTCGTCGGTTGATCGGCACTTTGTGCAACTGAAATTGTGGGATCTAACGATTATATTTCCGACGATTTCAAATCAAAAGGATCATTGGACTATTGACTATTAACTATGCATTCACTTGTTGGGATATCCATGCGGAACCACTTCTACCTTCAATAGTCCCAGTCCGAATGGCTCATGGCTCAGCTGGCCTCAATAATGGTGTTGTTCTTGTCGGCGATGGATCACAATGCCCCACCATCCCCCATGGATTGTTCTTGCGAAGGTCCGATTGGTTTATACACCAGGCCTAGGCTCGAAAGTGCAGTACATACTGTACTAATGAGATCTAGATTGAGTGGGGATGATTATTAAGGGAAGAGAAATCGTTATTGATCTCGGTAGTTGTGTATAGGTTGGAAGGCTTACACTACTCGGTAATTCATGCAGAGCATCGCTGATCTTGTTCCGATCACCTGGATCCTGATCGAGCAGGGTTGCTTAGTTGTAGTATATTCAAATTTGAAGGTTCTCATGCATTTCAAGCCTATCCAGCCTACTTGAATAGATGGTGTCCGGCCAGCCCCCATCGAAGCCACAAGCCTCACTATGAACCCCGCACTGCGGCTGAAGGAGATTGAATACTCGCCACTGCCTCCGTCTTGCAGGTCCTGGCAAAGTTATAGCGAGCAAAGTGTACTTGTCTTTCTTAGAACCGATATGATCACCTGCGTGCCAATCAATCAAGCAAGTCTATCATAGCTTCCTTGTGTCCTTGAGTGTACAACCATCATCCGCACGACTAGAGAAAAAATGATTAATCTCTTCTAAAACTGATTGATAAAAGCTCTTTTAATTCATTTGATAAGACAGCACAAATGCAGAGATATGTCACGCCAGCCAATATGGTCATGAGAAGGCATCAGAGTGTTGAAATAAAACAGAATCCAAATCTACCTGGATCGTTCGTTGGTATAGAAACACATGGGGACAAAAATATAACAAGACAACCACAAAATCCATCACCTTTACAGCGCACCAAGCTCCTTCAGCTTGGAGACAAGGCCATCAACGTCCTCAACCTTGCCGCCACCAGTGCGAGCTGGGGGCTCTGTGAAGGAAGAGAAATGTTAGCAATGACAACCATCAAAGGGAATTTCCATAGATTCAACGTACCAGTGACCTTGAGAGTCTTCAACCGCCGGGTGTCCTCAACACCAAAGTCGGCCAGGGTCTTCTTCTCCAGAGGCTTCTTCTTCGCCTTCATGATGTTAGGCAAGCTAGCATAGCGAGGCTCGTTCAACCGCAAATCGGTGGTAATAACCAAGGGGAGCTTGGCGCGGAGAGTCTCAACACCACCGTCCACCTCGTGGGTAATCTCGACAGTACCAGCCTCGTCCTTCACCTCAACCTTGCTGGCCTGGGTAGCCTGCGGCCAGCCCAGCAGACCAGCCAGCATCTGACCAGTCTGGCCCTGGTCACCATCAATAGCCTGCTTACCCAGCAGCACAAGGTTGATGTTCTCCTTCTCAACGACTCCCTTCAGCAACTTGGCGATGGTCAGAGGCTCGGGGCCACCGTCTGCTGAGTCGGGGATATCGATGTGGAAAGCACGGTCGGCGCCCATGGCCATGGCGGTGCGGAGGACATCGGGGGTCTTGGAGCCACCGGCGGACAGGGCTAGGATGTTCTCAACCTTGAGAGGACCCTTGCGCTCGCGCAGCCGGACGGCTTCCTCGATCGAGAGTTCGTCGAATGGGTTCAGGGAATGCTTGACTCCGGCGGTCTCGACGCCGGTTTGCGCCTTGTTGATGCGGGGCTTGATCTGTGGTGATCAAATAGATTTCATGTCAGTTTTTTACGCTGAAAATTGTTGCAACATTGAATGCCCCAATGTCCATCTAAAACAATCTCGTGCAGAACTCCGATCCCCGGTCGCCCGCACACAATACAGAGGGGGAGACACTACTAACCGCATAGTCGATCACCCGCTTGATGGGGACCAAAATTCGCAAGCCACTAGCCATGATGAACTTCCTCGGGGATATAGAACAGAACAAGAGAGTTCAATTCCGGGGTATGGTGGAAGGAGGAGCCCAGGATTGAAGTTGGAGAAGTTCGGAGGAGGAAAGAGTTGACTGCGGTGACGGAGTGCCAAGACCTTGAAAACGCCGACGCGGCCCGAGTATAGCCCTTCTACCACCACCGCCCCTGCCGAGGTTAAGCACATACAGTTTCTTGGAGTGGTGGGGGGTTTAGAAAAGGGTTGAGCGGATGTTTGGTGGTAGTAGTTAGGGTATCGTTGAATTTGAACTGATTGATGTTGCAAGTATTCAAGAAGTATTGCTTATGATTTGGTCCTTCATAAGTCATGTACATAGATCACCGAGAGCACGAGAGCACATGCAAAACTACCTCCCATGTGCCAACCCACCAGGAAACTTATTATTGGGATCATTCTGAATCCCTTCTGTAATGATCCAATGTCTATCATCTTGTGTCAAGGTATCAAACATGAGATTGTTTGCCATTAGAACTGCTATCCGATAGGACTGATGATCGAGTCATATCCACTAGCCATGGCCAGAGATCAAACTCTAAGATAAATCAAATTGCATCTCTCATGGATCGATCGATCCCTTAACCTTCTCCTCTATATAGTTCGCCTTGTTACTGCATCGCAATCCACGGACACCGAAGAACATCGCCATCCCACTCCAGTACCGCAGTACACCCCATTTTCACCCTCTCACACCGTCAAAAAGGGTATAAAAGACTTAGAAACAATCAGATATAAAGCTTCGGAATAAATCTCTGTTAGAAAAAAAAATCACAAAAGAGGTGAGATCCCCCCGCCTAGCGGTGTGCCCGGCCGTCCGTGGAGCTCGAAGCGTCAACACTGGCCCAGTACTTCTTCTTTTGTTTGCCCATTCCTCCAGGGCACGGGGGAGTGATTGTTTGACCTGGAAATCGGTGATAACCCCTGTTTGATGTTTGCACTTGCCTTTTTGGATCCCGGCTCTTTTTTATGTTTTACATGCTCGATTTGAGCATTAACACTGAAAAATATCGATGTTGATTTTCAGTATCGCTCTACTATGGATCTGGCACTCGTCTAGTGAGCTTCCACAGAGAGCAGCACAATCTAAATTGAAAAAGTATGTATTTTGTATCTACCATGTCTCTTGCTTATATCGCCCACTCTTCTCCATACCAATCAAGAACTCCTCTGCCTGTGCTCGGGTATATGGCTGGCCAGTCAGCGGCGCTCCTCCCTCTGCAAATGCCTCAATAAGCGCCTCCCGCACCGCTTGTGGCATACGCCCAGATGAACCACAGATATACACAGAGCCTCGCATGTCATGTAGAAGACGGAAAAACAATGTCAAGTTCTGCCGAATCGTATCCTGCACATAGATCTTTTGTTGCTGGTCGCGTGAGAATGCAGTGAGTACCTGCAAAGGTATGAGTTTACTGAGATGCTCCCACTCTTCTTCGAAGAAGAAATCCGCGGTGCGGTTGCGACCTCCATAAAGTAGGACGGTGGGCCCGATTGGAGGTTCGACTCCTGGGTTTTCTTCGCGGAATGCTTGGACCAGTGCTGCCTTTTCCCATAGCATAGAGCGGAGAGGTGCGATTCCAGTACCTGGTCCGATGAGAACCGTCGATGCAGTCAGTTGCCGAACGGATGAGTTGAGACCACCTGGCTGAAGTTGCACTCGAAGTGTACTTCCTGGCCGAAGTGTCGAGAGGTATTTGGTGCAGACGCCCTCGCGGATTCTTTTAATAACGGTTTGGTACTTGACGATGGCGATGAGAAGCTCGAATTGAGTCTTTCCATCCGCGGTCTGCTTGCGCTGTCCACCACTGGCGATGCTGAATTGTCGTGCGCGAATAACAGGAAGGACAGAAGCCGCATGCTGCCAGGGAATCTTGACAGAGTCAAACTCGTGCAGTACCTCGAGAATACTACGTCGTGGCCGAGACGTGTAGTCCCACAATTCATCGAGGTATTCGGGATTTGTGAATTCCAATAGACGCTCTTTATGCATGATATCGTCTGTATAATGAGCGATATTAGAAAAGAAAGATCGACGAGGAATCGCCTTGATGTCGAGATAGTCAATGAGGAGAGAACGCAAGGTCAAGTTGGGATATGCCTCAAGTCCAAGGATTGGTGGCGGCGCACGGGTGTCTCCTGTTGGAACAAGCGCAATTGGTTTATCTGCTTGCTCATCCCATCCCATCAGGTCGATAAATATCTGAACGTCTGTCGGTGAGGTCTTGGGGGTAATGGCGATCATGTCACCAGGCACGTACGGGACGGATTCCGGCACGGTGATGGATATCCGGCGGACATCCTGCCAATGCTTCTGTGGAGTAAAACGTCTATTCTCGGTCAGAGTCGCAGTTAAGGTGTCGGGTAGGGGACGAAGATCATAATCCAAATGCGTCAAGCCAGGATATTCGTCCACTTGAGCTGCATCGCTTTCTGGGGCTTGTGGCTCGGGCGTTGCGACAAGCTCGGTATCGTTCTTCGATTGTAAGATCCATTTCGGGGGTAGTTGGACATCGTCGGGAATAGGATGTTGACCGGGGGAAGGGGATGCCTGTCCATCAGGTGCTTTCGGAAGTCTGTCATCCATGGTATAAAGGTACCTTCAAGCCTGGAATGCCACATCAGTGAGACAGGGCCTTAGAGGAAAACGGGAGTATATAGGCGCGTGTGCTCACCCTTCTGGATGTTGCTGGTCTGCTTCCCCGGTTGGGTATATGTCATTGGCTCCTAGTTGTAGCAATCGCTTGTAGAGCTTCCGAGCTGCCCAATTGAACCTGATTGTTATCAGCATCTCCTTCCGCTGAAACCGGGGCATTCATTCTGACTGAAACATACTTTGGATATGAACTATCCCCCAAGCCAAATGTCGCAAAATTGACCCCATTCAGGTATGTCGGCGGGAGTTTTTTGAGTAGAAGCGATTTCCAGAATGTCCGTGCATTAGCTGGCAGGTCACCTTGTCCGGTTGTCGACACCACGAAGATGATCAGCGTGTACGAGAGAAGTGCCTCCTAGAGATCCATAAAGATTAGATATTAACCATAGACCTTGTAGAGGGGATAAGAAAGAGCAAAGGGTGCGACTCGTTATACTCACGGGCTTTGACTGATTCAACTCGGAAACATGCGTCGCGAAACGAAGCCGTTCTGTCAAGGCGCCCAATTCTTCAGCCACCTCCTGCGCATTACCAGTCTCTGTGCCATAGAGGATGAGTGCCGACCGTTCGTGGCCGGGACCCTGCGTACTCATGCTCATCTCAGGTGATGATGGTCACGCTGTTTGGCATCTCAAAAATCACCGAATCTGGCCGCGGGGTCCAGGCCGATCTCGCTGGCTGACGTCATCAGCCTATTTGTCCCACTTAGAGTAGGGGAATTGTATACTTCCATTAGACTGCAACTATACCCAGTAGAGACATAGAGATACGATAAGAGGCTAGCAGATGATATGCCTATCATTTCAATTTCTAGATGTCCTTTTTGACACAAGTAGCCCCTCATCATTCACGATATCTTCTAAATAGCCTTGAAAGTAATGGCATCCTAAACGAACCGATGTGCTAGATTGCTTTGATTGATTAGAAGACTTGAAGTGGTGGAAGAAAATTAATATGGGAGCTCTTGAGCATTTAGATTGAACCTCGAAACCATATTAAACAAGCAGAAAACGCCCAAACAGCCGTAATGGCTGCATAATGCAGATCAAATTAGATTGATATCTCGACCCACGAGACCATAACGCTCAATTTTAGCATCAAGAAGAAAGAGGCGCGAGAAAATATGAAACAAAGAAGGTTAGGGAAAGGGTATCTCGAGTTCGCGCCTCAGTAGGTATCCTCATCACCGCCGCCTCCACCATCACCGAACCCGTCGTCGCCGAATTCGTCGTCACCACCGTCAAAGTACTGTTCTGCATTGTAATCACCACCCATATCGTCTTCGTCATCTTCGAAATCGTCATCGACAATTTCTTCCTCGGCCTCTTCATCGCCTTCGAGCAATTCGCCTTCATCGGCGTCTCCTTCTCCTTCATCTTCGTCGGCACCGGTGGCGCGTCGCTTTGCAGCGTCGTCGTCTTCTTCATCCTCGTCATCCTCAAACCCACGTTTCATCCCTGACAAGGCAGTCTGGGCGTGGAAGCCATCGATGGAAGCGTTAGGGCGGAAGTTGGGCATAATGGTCGGCCAGAGCTCTCGGGGGAAGTATCGTGTTTCTATAGGAGAAAGCAATCAGATATTAGACTTGTGTAGAGACACCAGGGTGAAATTTTCCAAGCACTTACCATACTCGCGACCAATATTTGCGATCTTAGGAAGCGTTCTTCTCTTCTTCTGGTATCGTCCGGAATATGAGGGCATACCGTGGAATGGATCAAAGTTGGTGCGGGCCGCGCTGCCCTTCTTGGCCGACGAGGAGGAGGTATCGAGGACAGAGTAGTAAGGTCCCTCGTGAAACCGTTCGCGAAGGTGTCGGTAGTGATTCACTTCACTTCGCTCTTTCTCGGAGAGCTTGCGCGCATTCGGGACAACAAATGCCTGGGGAATGAACTTGCTGTTAAAAGCCATGACAAAAGACAAAGTCACGGAGGTTCAAAAGAGCAGTCGTACGACGAGAGAAAGCTCAAGGGGGAAGGTGTGAATGTACTGGATATAAGGGAGTAGGAGCGGTGTCCGGCACGCCCCCGGGTCAGTATCCCAAGTGAATTCGGCGCCAGGCGCGCGATTGCCCTTTTTCGCTCCGAAGCGCGACATGGCCGGTAATAGAATGCGCCCGTAAGTATGAAATTGTCGTTATTGAATATGAAGGGGCGTCACAGCGCCATGATAAGTTGGATGCTGCAAAAGGCAAGCTATGAGTCGGGGACCAGAAAAATACCGTTCTTGGGCTCACCGCCTGCCCGCCCGATCGGGGAATTAGGGCATTATCCAGCCCTACTATTGATGGCTTTCCCCGCGCTAAGATAAGATGTGCAGATCAACGGCTTCTCGCAGTAAACTATCATGCTTGGAGTTTTATAGCTGCAATTAATGTTTACATGGTTGATCAATCTAACCTTGTAGGCATACAAGAGCAAGTGGACGATATAATAATGATGACGTAATAATGTATAAATGATGCGCCTCATGTTGCTAGTTCAATTTCATAATATTCATTACAGGCCAGCAGCCTCGACCTGGGGAGTAGCACTTTGAATGGGACCCACGGGGCCCTCACTGACACGCTGGCGTAGTGTTCTCAAAATATCCTCGAAGCCATCCATTTGCCCCCCGCTTTCTCGAAGGCGGTTGTACATTGCAACGAGAACCTCATGTTTCGCTGTAGCTACCTTCCAAACAGCATGTTGAGAATCACCAGCGCCACCTCCGACAAATTCAGCGTATGATCGAGGGGGCTTGAAAAGATATGGTAGCAATGTTGTCAGAGCAGGAGGAGTAAGGACAGCCCATGGCCCGGACAATGGGAGTAGACCGCTCGAGGCAGGGGAGAGCTGTCCCAGGCCTTCTTCGGACGGTAGTTGATATCGAGACGATACACTGGCCACGTGAGACGCTGGAGGTAGCGGTTGCCAGTTGTCAAGAACGATTGCTTTCATAAAAGCAATCGCAGACAAAGCAACATCCTTCATGACCAGAATATCGGCTGCGGCAACAATGTCCGTCCAGAATCCAGGGTTATGGTTTAGGTACACGAAGTACAGCATACGGGCAGCGGCGGCTTCATGGTGCCAGTCAGTCGGGGTCTGGCCTGATGTGTTGAGATCCATTGCATCAGGCATCTCGGTCCGCGCTGGTCCTTGGAAGATCCTCCCTAGGACATCCAATGCCTCGCCGTTCGGAGGGCTGGTGGGAATGTTCAACATGGGGTTTGAACCATATTTTCCAGCCTCGATAAGGAGGACCCGAGGTAATGATGCCAGAACAGCGAGGTGGCCGGTGGGGACTTCCCCGTGCGCCCATTGCGTGGATGGAATCGCAAGAGCTCGATTTATACGCGCAATGATCCCGTCGAGAAGGGTTGATGGGTTTGTAAGAAGATGGTTGGGGTATAACTCGGCATACTTTGATAGATAGGCCATGACTGGACCACCGAGATATAGTAGATCCACCGGGTCAAGTCTTGACTCGTCGAGGTAGTACTCCAACACCTTGGAGTGTAGGTTCAGTTTGATGAGGAAATCCAGTGCAGGGGACGAGAAGGTTGACACGGACTGTACAGATGCACGAGCCACTAGACCTGGGGCGTCGATATCAAGCAAGTCCCTGTAGAAGCCCAAGAGGGTCATGTGCATCAACACGTCGCCCAAGTCAACCATCTGACTAGCCGCAAAGTGAAGAATGCTAGAGCTTTCATATTTTGACTCCACGTCTGCGAGCTGGGATTTCGATATAGCATCCCAGTGTAAACGACCAGCCTTCACCAGGAGCCCCATTAGCCTTCCTTGTGCGACGGTCCGCTCACGCTTGGATAGATCTCCCGGCGCATCATTTCTCAGACTGCATAGTCCAAACAACAACCCATAAACCTCCTTATCTGTGAACACCCTCCTCCACATGAGGCCTTGGCCAACCCGCCCATCATCGCTGGTATGGTCATATTCTCCTTGTTCAAGAGGACTTGCCGAGTCCACCTCCAACAGAGCCCACAGCACATCAAGCGCAGCCTGCGCAACTGCAGTAGATGAAGTCGAAAGCCACAGCTCCACCAAGGCGGCGACAAGTTCCGAGTCTCCGGCGACTATCGCGGCATCACTAGAGCTCTGTCCAGCTTTGGCCAGTAGCGAAAGCGCAAGAAGGTTGATGGGTTCTGATGGAGCCTTGAAGCCAGCGATGAGATTGATTGTTGGTTCGACAGAGCGGATTTCCGTGAAACTGAATGATGCACAAGCGGCGGTTGTCAGTGTAGTGAGAGGCGTAGGGTCCTCTCGGAGGATAGGTAGAAGAACTGAGATCTGTGATAAGAGCGTGGCGGAGACATCGGGATCGGTGCTATCGATGAGCTGCAGCTTCAGCCGGGCGATAAGAGAGGTGTCCAGGGGTGTAGAGGGATCTTCCTGGACCTGGGCAAGATGCACTTTTACTGCCTCGAAGGTAGAAGGAATAGCCATTGCGGCGGGTGGTGAGATTAGTACTTCGACTAGATTAACGCCGGAAGAAAGTCAACAGGCGGGGAGAAAGCACGGGCGAAGCTGAAGCTATCGGCGCCGCCTCAGGCAGCCCCCCGCCCAAACAATCCAAACATGACCGCATCACCTCCCCAACTTCAACTCCGCACACCTTCAACACCACAAGAGAGTCTGCAATAATGGAGCCTGTACAGTCTCTCATCTCCTCAAAGTCTTCGGACTCGGGTCTCCACATCCAGCTTCACCCACTGGTGCTTCTCACAATCTCCGACCACATCACCCGCCATGCCGCACGACAACAGCAGGGTCCGATCCTTGGGGCTCTGTTAGGCCAACAGAATGGGCGAGAGATAACCCTGGAGCATGTATTCGAATGTCCAGTTACAACGGGGGAGAATGGAGAAGCGCTCTTGCCTTCAACATGGTTTGAGGAGCGACTGAAGCAGTGTATGTACCTTCAACCTAGCTAACGACCACAGTCAAAGAATCGCAGTTTACTGATAGCATTCACAGTCAAAGATGTCCACAAAGATCCCGCTCTTGACCTTGTGGGATGGTGGTCAACTGCTCCCCCATCCGGACCCGATGCCTCACACATCCCTCTTCACAAACAGATCCTCCAAGATCACAACGAGTCGGCCGTCTTCCTAGCATTCCACCCATCAGAGGTCCAGTCGAGGGAACACGGTGCTAAGCTTCCATTAGCAATTTACGAGACTGTGCTTGAAGGGGAAAATGCCGCCGATGCGGGTAAGGATATGCAAATCGATGGCGAGGAGCCAACACTCAACATTCGGTTCCGCGAGCTACCATATTCTGTGGAGACGGAGGAGGCTGAAATGATCGGTGTTGATACTATCGCCCAAACTGCTGGAACAGCTTCCCGGACCGAGATTCCTAGTCAGGGCACCAGTGCTTCTGCGGGCCAGAAACTGGCGGACAAGGAACAAAAGAGCTCACAGGCCGAGCTAACACAAGAGGAAGAAGAGCGTATGTATCATCCTCCTCCCGATGATTCAAATATCTGACTCGAATTCCCAGTGATCGCAAACCTTAATACCCGCCTTAACGCCATCCGCACTCTTGAATCTCGAATCTCCCTCATCAAATCCTACGTCTCCAGCATCTCCGCCACAGACTCATCCGCAGCGGCACAAGACGACCCAAGCAGCCCAAAGCTGTCGCACCCCATCATCCGCAACATCAACTCCCTCATCTCACATCTCTCCATCCTCTCGCCCCACGAACAAAGCTCCTTTGCAACAGAAGTACTTTCCCAAAGCAACGATGTCACGCTAGTCTCTCTACTCGGCCAACTGGGTGAAAGCGTCAAGGCCATGCGCGAGCTGGGTCGAAAGTCAGCTGTTGTGCAGGCTGCGCGCCACAGCGCAAACTCGCGCAAGCAACCAAATCTAGCAGCAAGGGCCTTTGAGGATGAGCTTTTTGCTCATGGCATTCCTCCTAGTGGAGAGGCGGGGGGGATGTATTCGTGAAGCGGCAATTGATATCACATGGGGTTCTTCGCTATACAGCTCGTGAGATCATTGCATTGTTATTTCTCCCGGGGGCTGGGCCGTAGAATACCAACGGCTTGCTCTTACGACCTTTCTTTCAGCGACACTTTTAGACGAGATAATGAATCTACCAACTTTTCAACGTCCATTTTACGACTAGAGTAATCTTCATTATAGAAAGGCTGTTAGATTCATGAGAAAAGGAAATAGTATACAATAAGCATCGCTTGGATGCCTCAAATAGATGCAAAGCATCAGAAAGGAAACATGACATGATATCAGAAAGAAAAAAAAAATACATGCCAACAAGAAAGAAATGGGTATTCACATCCGTAATGCAGGACTGAAAAGAAGAACAGAAAAAGAAGTGCAATAAATGAAGAGAGGAAAAAGAAATAGAAGATAATGAAATAAACAATCAAGGCCAGAATACCCGACCTGCTGCTGCTCATGGGTACCATCAATAGGGAAGAGGAGAGACCAGCCATCCCGATCATAACACGCTGCTGCGGACTCAGAAAGAAAACGACCCAACCATCATGCAAAATAACATCATAAGTGAGCCATCAACGATCATGGATGGTGATAACTCTCTGGATAAGGCGGTGGGGGTTGATATGGGTCAGGCATAGGCATGGGGACCTGTTCCCTTAGCGGGCCATTGGCCGGGTATGGCTGGGCGGCAGCCCCTTGGCCTTGGCCTTGGTCATGAGGGTGATAGGCGGTATTTCGGTGCTCGATATCATCATACGGCGAAGGATTCTGATTTCCATAGAAGCGGCCAGATTGGTGGCCCTGCAGATAATCGTCGTTGTCATCTTCCCATGGTGAGGCATCGACATGCGAGGTTGACGGGTTGGACTGGGCGTGAGCGAGTAGGACCTCGCCTTCTTCGTCTCCGGCATATCGGCCTGTCCGACCTCCAGACAGGGCGGTGCCTGCACCCCCGTAAGCTGTGTTAGTGTCGGTGACTCCAGACTCGGAGGGCTGTAAGCCAATAGTCTCTGTGTGAGCCTGGTAGCTGGGATCCTCCATCCGGGTTTTGCGGCCGACGGCCAGCCATCGGAAGCTGCGACCAATAGCCTTGAGGAGATCCAGGGGGTTCATGGCATCACCCAGGGCACCGAAACCCAACCGTCCACCTTCGTAGGAGGCCTTGCCGTTCCCGTAGAAGTCCGTCACTTCGGCACCCTCGTTGTTGAGGGTGTAGTGTTTCCAGGAGAAGGCCCATAGATGAAGGACGGAGAAAATGAACATTTCGATGTTGATCAGCATCTCCGGCAGGCCGTACTTTAGGTCCGCCATAGCCATCTTCTTTGTCTCACCGACAGCGCCCAAAGAAACCAGTAGACTGATAAAGATTGATTGCCAGAAAGAAAGGAAAATGACCAATTTGATAGACAGGATCTTCAAGAAAGGTTGGTGCTCTTCGATGTCCTTGCGGATTTGGTAGTAGAACTGGATCAAGCAGTACATAGCTATTGAAACGCTGATTGACTCAATGATGATCGTCTAAACCCTCGGAAAAAGCGATTAGCAACAAACCCTGTCCGTCAGGAGATTCCGAACTGGACGTACCCAAACGTGCGCAAAAGCCGGGCTCAGCGATTCTTCGCAATATCTACCAGTCGCTTGCGTGGCAACTGCGACAATGGTCATCAACACTCGAATCACGCAGTATTGGAAGACACCCGCCCAGACCACCTAGATCGAATATCGCAATAAGCTTCCGGTCCATGAAAATCAAGACGCGATTTCAATGAATTCACTCACATTGAACCAAGTCAGACCGCTGCGCGGATTGCGCCACGCCCCGCGATGTCCAAAACAGCACTTCCACTTCTGAAACCAGCTCAGCGGCCAAAGCCAGCCCTTGGGTTGAATTCCACGGAAGTAATCCTTCTGGCTGTGTAGGTCGGGCGCAATGTAGTGGCACATGAGGGAGAAGAAAGCCGCGATACAGAAGGCTTCGTAGCAGTTGCCAATGACCTCGAAGTATACGGAATCATTGTAGAAAAGAATGCTGAGCCAGGCGACGATGGAATATACGGGGACCATGAATAGAATTCGAATAATACTGTTGCGAAGAAGAAAAAAAGGGAGAGCTGTCAGTCCATGTCTGTCTCAAATGTCCGCGGCTTACAGCCGGGGGAACCGTCCATGGGGAAGCTCAACTCACTGTCGCTGCTCGATCGGTTTGCTGTAATGTGTGGCATGGGCCATAATCAAGAAAATCGACACGGCGCAAGCTAGTAAGGCGCAAACACCGGCCACAATCAAGCTGAGTTGGTGAAATGTAATACCGCCATGCCAAAGATCTTCCTCCTCGACTGTCCAACGCGCGCGAGTTAGTTTTCCACTTGTACAGGCGCGAGAAACACCAAATCAACGGGAGGGGAAATGCGCACTCTTCTGATGCTCCGAGGTGGTATTACACACAGTCCAACCCATTCTGGCTGGTGTGTGAAGGTATGTTGAACGCGGAGAGTTATTGACAGGGGAAGACGTGTGGAGCGCGGGTTACTTTTTGGCCCCGATTATCTTATCCGCTGATATCCTGGCGCAGCGTCAACAATGCGACCGGCGGGGGCGGAAGATATCAGGATAGCGATATGAAGAAGAACAAAAATACCCCGTGGCTGTGGTGGCTGCATAAGGCGACTGGAGTGCAACAATGTAAGCCACGGTTGTCGATCTCTCTTTTTTAGGGGAGAGGCCTGAAAAGGTGAGAAGAGTCCAAAAAAAAGATCGGCGAAGGCTTGAGGGTGGTCTTAGGGAGGCTTGGCTATTTTTGTCGTCTTGGCTCATTCGTCCCTTTGGTGGTTCCTGGCGGCTTTTCTGGTTCGATCCAAATTTTGAATTTGGGTGGTTGCCTTGATATTGAATTTAGTTCTAGTTGAGTATAGTTGACTCTAGTGGTCGATATCATGGTTATGAATGTGGTATTTTGTGTAGTTTCTAATTGTACATCATGGCTATGATACATACTCGACATCATCATTCGAGGTCATTTTGCTCTGGCTCCACAGAGACATCTCTGGACTCTCTTCATTCTTGATCCTTTGTTGGTCATAGAAGCATCATCCATCACTCACCACCGACGATCCCCGACGCCGCGACCACCACCTCGTCCCCCGCCTCGTCCCCGGCGATTCTGCCGAGCTCCTGGGCCATATTCGGGACCACCATCCACGAAACGGTCCTCGTCTTCAAAGCTGATTCGGCGCATTTCATCACCGCCACGGCGCGGGAATTGGCCTTTGCGGATCAACTCGTCGAATTGATCCAGGCGCTTGTCTGCCACCTCCCGAGGAACACGAAGGTAGTACAGCTTGGGCTTCGTGGTGGTGGATTCAAAAAGCTCATCAAGAGGCTTGAAGCCGTGTCCGAGTCGCTCCGGAGGTGCAGGTGGGGCATTAGAAGAACGGCGGTCAGGCTGAGCAATGCTGCCGCGTGGGCCTGATGGCGGAGTGCGATTGAAGCCAGCCTCGAGTGCTTTAGGCGGGCCGGGGCGAGATGTTGATCCAGCTTCCGCTAGGACAGCAGTAGCCCCATCCTCGTTCGATTTGTACTGGATTTCCCAGCGAGCGGCAGGTCCAGGTCGGTTCCGGGATGCCTCTTCGGTGCGGATCCATTCTTGGATCTTCTCGTCAGGGATGAAGTCTGCCCAAAGGCTCTTCCGGTTGCGCTCGTTGGGCCACACTGTTCCGTGGATTGAAGAGCGGACCCGCGAAGCAGCCGCAATGTCGCTAAATTGGACAAAGCAGTGCGTCTTGATGGGATCAAGCCAGAATTGCTTCACCAGGTCGGCAGCACTGGGTGTCTCGGGTGTGGACGCCAAACTGATCAGGTGGTTGCGAAGGCCATTGGGTTGTAGAGGACGCATGAGCCCGTCAATGTAGAGAGAACAGGTTGCAGGGTGGATGGCAGGTTCCACGGTCGCATCCACCATGGCAACATCCTGCACTGGAGATGGCGGGCGAGGAGGCGCGGGCTCTGCAGCAAACAAGCCTCGGAACCGTGCATCATGTTTGGCTGGTGCCGGAGCTTCTTCCTTTGGAGTCTCAGCGGGTCGTTGTTCCTGTCGCGCGAAGTCTTTGGGATCTGTTCCAGCAGGAACATCATCCTTCAATTTGACGCGGGGGCTTTCTTCCTGGGATCGAGCTTTCTTTGGTGCGATTGTTTCGGGGGTTGGGACAGGACTCTGGCTGCGGCGCTTCCGCTTTCGCTTATCCTCCAAGACCTCTTCGACAGGAAGAGGTGTTGACAGTCCTGTGTTCGCTCCGGATGTTTGAGTAACTGAAGGGGCAACCTCAGTGGTGATTGTCGGTTCTAATGGAAGAGGCTCGTCTGCAATTGCAGGAGCTTGCTCAGTGGGTTCTGGTACCTTTGCGGTCACTTCAGAAGGAGAGGTCTCTTGGGGGCCCTGCTCCTCAGCTGAGGCCTGTGCGGCAACTTCATGGCCATTTGGCGACACATTCTCTTTTGGTTTCTCCTCACCCTGCGTCGGGGCTGGGCCGGTTTCGGACTCGGTGGGATGTGGCTCTGCGGCTGGAGGCGCTTCGGGCTCTTCTGGCTGCTGCTCCTCGGGTTCTTGTGCTTCGGACTCGTTCGTGGCTTCAGGGGCGGTATCCTGCTGGGCGTCAGTCTCCGAGGCCTCCTCAGCCGGCGGCGCAGTTGCGTCCTCGGATTGCGCTTTGGCGTCTTCCTCGGCTAGCTTGTCGATAAACTGCTGCTTGAGACGAAGGCCAGTCTGGGGGATTCCCCGCTTCTTGAGCTCCGCCTTCAGGTCAGTGACCTTCCATGAGGAGTAATCAGCCATATTGCCGGGTCATTGGTTGCTGAAAGGGGAGTGAGTGCGAAGGTGAAGGATGGAAAATTGGTAGGGATTGAATCTGGGGACGCGATGGAATGCGCGCGCCGATGATGTAGGGCATTAGCCGGATTCGGTTTAGCGTGGCTTGCTTTATTTTAGCTGGCCAACTCTGACCTCGGACTATGATCTACATGAGCTGTGACTTGATTTCTGGATATGGAAGAGCAAAATGAAGTATCGGAAAGATAGACTTGCACACCGTAAATAATTGAGAAATCATATCATGGCGGAGCTTAGAAGGTGAGGCTATTGCACCTCTTTAACCTTCGAGATATATATTTCCATGATGTACTATGACCAGCCGCTGTTACAATCGTAATCAAGGGAATTGGATGAAGGTTGAGGCTGTCTTGCTCGAACATGATCTATCAAAATCACCTGAATTATGGCAATACCCCAGATTGTATGGAGTTATCTATGCGACTTAGATGCTAAGCCGCTTGACTCTCTCCAGGGCAGCTAATGTTTGCAAGTTGGATGGATTCAAGCTTTGAAACGGAGGCTGGATAGCAAAAAGGGTGGAAGGAATTACACTCTGACATCGATAGAATCCAATTCGAGGACCTTTGCTCGGCACAAAAGACCTCGATGAATTACAACATATGGCACATGTGCGAATGCAAAGATGATGCATATGGTGGCTGACATGACAACCAATCAACGAATGCAACATGTCAAGGCTCCTAGGTTGTCAAGCAACAACTAGATCCTTGTCTTCTTTCAGCGTGGTCTAATGGATGCATTTATAATTCTGTCACAACATCCCACAGTTCCTAGAATTCGTCGTTCCCATCATCACCAAAATGAGTCACCATGGGGATACTCCCGACAGCGACACAGAGGACTTGAACGAATCCTCCCCAGAGCGTCCAGGAAACGAGTCTCCACTATGGCCTGAACATCCTTTTGGCCTCAATGACATGGTCGAAGATAACGACGAATTCTCCTCGCAGCGTCCACCAGAGAATGAGCCCGAAGAAATGGCTGACTCCGACAGGGACGGAGATAACGACGAATCCTCTGAAAGGGCCGATGATATACCCCAGTCTCGATATCGTACTGCATATAGGCATCGGATACCAAGGCCGGCCCCAGCTCCAATTAGGATAGCTGCTCCCCCAACTCGTGCTCAACTTCACCAGGCGGACTACGAGCGAACAGCCCAGGCTCGACAATACGTCAGGACCTACAGCCCCATTCTTACACTCGAGGAGTATAGATTCTGGTTCAACCGAGCACATTCCGAGTTTTTGAGACGGTTGAGAACCCAAGACAGATTCTCAATTCGACGATCCATTTACCTAGCTGTCCTGGCAGCTTATGTTTCCTACGATGACTTTAGAGTCTGGAATCGCCTCTATGGTCCGGTGGGCGCAGTTTTTGTCTCTGTGCTTGCTAAGAAGTCCATATGGAAGCTGCAAGCAGAGGTTCTAGCCTCGGTTATTGATGAAATTCAATTTCAATGGAGATTCGAGCCAGAGTCTATCAAAGAAAAAGCTCCGATTGTTGATGGGATGAAGTTCCCGAGTCCTAATGAGCAAAAAGGAGTCCCTATCCCCGCGAACGAGCCACAGGATAAGGAAAACAACCCCACGCCCTCGGAAATCCCAAGACCGCAAGGCATTAATCGATCGCCTTATGCAGGCAGCCCATTACCAGGGAGTGCCGGTTCAGGGGGTCCCCAGCCAGATCAACAGAATATCCCTGAAGAACGACCGAGGAGTCCAATGAATCCCGGGAACAATTACATCCCGGGGCGAAACATTGGAAGAAATGTTCCAATACCTCCACCCGAGTTCAGTGGCCCGGGGTTGTCATTTAAAAAGGCTGTTGAAGATGAGAGTACCAGAATCGGCACATCGGTAAGATACTCCACCATCACAAGTTTCAGCGCAGCTTGGCTAAACAAGAGGTAATAGGGTGGCATAATCACGGCCGTGGCAATGGCAGCTCTAGCATTACCAAACGTATCCCAGACGCACTGGGTCGCTCGATCGTGCTGGACATCGAGTATGGTCACGGCACTTCTCGCGGTGTACTTCTCGAACGATCAAGCTTGGACTATCAGCCATCTATCCACAGAGAGAAAACTACGGGCTTGGATCATGGATGTGGATCCAGAGGATGACTACGAAGAAGCTCTTCGACAAAGACTCATGCATCCAAACGGGAAGCCGTCAACGGTTATCATGAATAGTATAGCGCCAGCTCCTTCATCCGCCATCACGATCTCGGCACCGTCATTACTACTGTCGTCTTCACTTCTCTTACTTCTCTCTGGAATGGGAGTTTACCTTGCGTTTATTTGGACGTGGGAAGTAGACAAGGACGCTGGTACCGCCAGCAGGAGGGACGTTTTTGTTGTTTACATAGTTACTTTGGGCGTCTCGTTGGCTACAGTTGGCTTCTTCTCGTTGGGCCGAGTCGCCGTTCCCATTCGACAGACAATCTTCAAAAGTATCATAGGTCTTCAAGTTGATGCACGGAAGGAGGGACTGACGAACAGAGTGGATAGAAAGGAGGTATTCTTATACCGGCAGCTACAGTCTGCGTACGATACGAGGCAGTTGATGGAACGCCAAGGAGCGAGATTGGAAGAGAGGATAGAGCAGCTGCAACAAGCGGTTTTAAGTAAATAGTTTGAGTTGGCAGGAACGAATTCAAGAATGGTTATTGAAATAGCTTTCGGATCATTCTATAGCAGGTCCTTAATCGACTACTCCATCGGGCAGAAAAGACACATAGTCCAGCGGAGCTGGCTCAACACCATCCGGCTTGCCGACAATCTTCAGCATATCACCCTTCTTGACCTTAACACCACGGAACGTGACGCGAATAGCAGAGTGGCCATCCAGATAGATAGAAGGGGTGTGACTGTAAACATCCTCACTATTGCCCACCCATTCACCAATTTTCTTGTCATTCAAGTAAACCTGCCATTGAGACTGCCCTCCGTAGAAGTCGTAGTAGTTTACTGCCAGATCGTATGTTCCGGAAGCAAAGTTGATTCTGGTGGTCGCAGAGCCCACAGTGCTATTTGAGGCAGTCACAATCGCCACAGAGCCAGAGGAAACCTCGAACGGGCTCACTGTGTAGGTCTTATATCCGTCCAACTTCATACTCTCTGCCTCGATGCGCCACGGGTGATGGTCCACACGCTTGGCCGTGTCGGGAATACCGGAGAGGTTGTAGTAGAAGGTGTTGATAGCGTCTCTCCAGATGATCGAATGCCCGGCTTGATAGTCAAGTCGACGAAGGACGTGATTGAATCGTTCATCATCGATCTTTCCTTTGAGTGATTGCCACTGCGTGGGGAATGTCTGCGCTGTCGCTGCGCCTGTGTAATGCGCATCGTAGAAGTGCTGGATGACTGTCTTGCCGGAGTGCAAGCGATGGGTGTAATCGACATGATGGAACCACAGTAGAAGATCTTCCGGTGTAGTGTCAATGTTTTCATATAAAGCGGCAACCTCGGCAGGATACTGCCCGGAGAAGCCCGTACCATTCTTCACAGTGCGATCCATTCCAATGCCAGTGTGGTCTGCGCGGGTCCACTGACCCCATCCATTGTTATCCTGGGAGGCTGGATTGGGTCCGTAATGAGTGTACAGGATATCGGTCAATGTTTGAATTCCCAGATTTCCACTGTACCCCTCGTAGGCGGGCCATGACTGCATCGACATTTTCGTGATCGTGTTGAGCACTTGGCGATCAAGACCGAATGTCAAACGAATCCAGTCTTGCAGCATATCCTGGGCATCATCTGCCGGGTTCCATGCAAGTCGACCGTATGCGTAGAGATTAGACATGGACAGATGACTTCCCAACCATGTCGTGTTGGTACCAACATTGACAACAGCGGCCGAACCACCCAACTTTCGCTTGAAGTGCTTGCCAGTATAGACATCCCGGACGAGAGAGTGCTTCCCATCTATCCGCAAATCAGAATCTAAGATAGTCTTCCACAGAGGAGGCAAATAGACGAGATGAGACTGCTGTCCAAGATACTCCTGGGTGACCTGAAGTTCAATGGCAGTGCTCGTGTTGAAGAGATTAGCGAACAAGGGCGATGCTGGCTCGCGAACCTGGAAGTCGATAGGTCCGTATTTGATTTGCACAACCACATTCTCATCGAATTCACCATCCAATTCTTTGAAAAAGTCCACGGCAGCGTTGGCGCGATCTTCCTTCCAGTTCGACTCATTGAGTTGGTTGTAGACAAAGGCGCGGAACATGACGATGCCTCCGTAGGGCTGCAGTGCCTTGGCAAAGAGGTTCGCGCCTTCGGCTAACGTGCGATTATATTCCTGAGGACCAGGCTGTCCTTCCGAATTTGCCTTGACCAAGTAGCCCGCCATGTCTGGGACATTCTGGTATAGCTGCTGTGTGATGTTGGACCACCAACTGACGACTGATGGGTCGAGCGGATCGAAAGTGTTGAGCCCACCAAGGTCTTTGGGCGATGCGAAATTGAGCGAGATACCAACCTTGATACCGTATGGTCTAAAGACATCCGCGATTCGGCCAAGACCCTTGAGATTCTCGGGTGTGAGCAAAGTAGCGTTAGCGTTTACGTTGTTGACAACCACGGCGTTGATTCGAATCGAGGCGAGCAAGCGGGCATATTGCTTGACTCGAGTCAGGTCGTCGACGATGGCACCATTCCTGAAGAAGATCGAAGGACCACCATAGCCACGCTCAATTCTGCCGTCCATATTATCCCACTGGTTTACCCAGCGAATTGGCGCAGATGGGTTGGTGGCATAAGAGACTGCAGAGAAGTTGCCTTGAGCCAGCATCGACAGATACTCAAAGGCACCGTAGAGTGCACCGCGCTCAGTTGATCCGAGAATACGAATCTTCTGGCCTTCGGTGTTGAGCCAGAAACCATCTTCTTCCAGTTCCGGGATATCATTCGATGATCCACAGGCCTTGCGATATTGTTCCACCGTGCCGACGACAACGGCAGAGGAAGATGTCTTGCACTGGTTCTGGCTGATTTTGGCATGAGATCCATAGATGCGATTCAATCCGTTCTGTATTTCTGCACCTGCAACATAAACGGGACTCGTCTCGGTCGCATTGAGCACCACGATGCTAGCAGGGAGCTTGGATTGGCATTGATGCGAACATGGCAGTGGAGCATAACGTAACCAGCCATCTAAGCCGTTCTCCGCGGCCACAAGGCCTAGAGATGCGAGGAAAAAGAGACTCCTCATAGTGACATCCAAGAAACAAACAAAAGCCCTTGAGAGCCGGGAAAACAGCTCAGGGTCAGGCCATCGGTCCCCTTTATACCGACGCCTGCAGGAACAGTAGAAGATCGGCAGATTCTTGTAAAGTACATTTTCCATGAATAAGAGCTTCAGGCTAAACTACTTTGGCTTGGCCCAAAGTATAGGCTATTTCATAAACCAATTGCGACTATATTGCGGAGGGTGATTACAAGAATTCAGGTGGATACTCTAGTTTCCCCGCAAGCATGGCGTGGGGGTGGCCAGTCTGGGCAATCCGATGAATATCCGGACGACTTTAAGCGGGGGAGGGTAAAATCATGCAGATCACAGGAAATCGGCATGGTGAATTGTCGCTAATTACACGAAAGAATACAATGGAGGCATTATTATATCAACATGAAAGCGGTAGCTCTCTTGAAGAAAGTAAATTTTTGTGATTCAAGACTACTTCTGGGGTCGCCATTAAACCCTCATCCTTTTTTTTCACCCTGAAAACACCGAGTCCGATGCGGGCTTGAGGAACAGGGCCAGCCGGCCCGACGTCATAAGTCGTGACTTTTCAGAATGCAACACTTTCGAGTTGCATTTAAGCCTCACGGCTGAGGATGTCGGAGTCACCGGCATCGAGGACAGCCATGGTGGAGCAGCGGAAGAGCTTACCGCAAGCAGTGCCGAGCTCGATCTGAACAGAGGGAAGAAAAAATGTTAGTGCTACGGTTCGGCTCTCCGGGTTCCCCTTATTTGGAGAATCCCATCGCTGAGCAACTTCACTCTCCGAAGTGGACGGTGCCAACTTCTTCTCTGAGTAGTGGAGCTGGCTGGCAGCTGCGACGGCTCGAATGAGCGTCGACTTGGCAAGGGGAAAAACGTACGTTGTTGCCGTTGAAGTGGTGGACGGGCACCTTGGCGAGCATGGCGTAGTACTCAAGCTCGGACTTGCGCAGAGGAGGGCAGTTACCGGCAATGAGGACCAGCTTGGCCTTGCCAGAGCGGAGGGTCTTCATGGTGGACTTGGAACCCATGGTAACTGGAGGTTCATGTTAATATTCACGATGCACACCATTTTAGGGCTGGGATGTAAAAACTCACCCTTGCCGGACTTCATGACGAGGGCCAGGCGGGAGGCGAGGGTGTCACCGGACTTCTTGGTCTTGGCCATTATGATGGATTTTGGGGGTTTTTTTGGAGTGTTGGGTGGTTGGCGATAGTACGAGAATGAAGAAACAAAGTGGAATTCTGCGACGAAAATGATTGTGGGTGCGAAAATTCAGAAGCACGTGATGTACCGCCTTGAAGTGGGTCCGTACCCTCGATTGTCTGGTTTTTTGCCGAGATTCCTGATTGGGAGAAGATTCCCGCGGGGTTCCTGACTCATTTGGCGGGACAAGTGGAATTTATTTCTTCTCCCCTCTTGCCGGCTCCTCCTTTCCATTCCCCCGTCTTTCTTGCATTCCTCTTCGACAACCTCATTTCACAATGGTTGCCGAATCTAGCAGTGCTCCCACTGCGACCCTCCGTCAGTTTCTTCCCTCTCATCTTCCCCATTGATCTTGACCTGAATGGCTACTAAATCCCGTAGAGAGAGTCGATTCCCAGCCTGAGAACCCATATGCGGCCCTGATTGAGGATCAGTCAATTGCAATTATCCCCTCATTCACCCTCGAGTCCGGTGTTACTCTGTACAATGTGCCGGTCGCCTACACTACCCGTGGTGTTCTATCGCCCAAGGGCGACAATGTCTTGGTGATCTGCCATGCCCTGAGTGGGAGTGCCGATGTCGCCGATTGGTGGGGTCCCCTCCTCGGTGGACCGGGTCAAGCCTTTGATGTCTCCCGATTCTTCGTCGTCTGCTTGAACAGTCTGGGCAGTCCATATGGTAGTGCCAGCGCGGTCACATACAAGGATGGTAAGCCTGAGAATGGCTACTATGGACCTGAATTCCCCCTCACTACCGTGCGGGATGACGTGAATATCCACAAGCTTGTCCTTGACGACCTCGGTGTCAAGCAGATCGCTGCCGTTGTTGGTGGCTCCATGGGTGGTATGCTCACTCTGGAGTACTCGTTCTTTGGCAAGGACTACGTCCGTGCCATTGTCCCAATCGCGACCTCTGCTCGCCACTCCGCGTGGTGCATTAGCTGGGGCGAAGCCCAGAGACAAAGCATCTACAGCGACCCCAAGTATGATGACGGATACTACGCGTTCAATGACCCACCTGCGACCGGTCTGGGAGCGGCCCGTATGTCGGCATTGCTCACATACCGCAGCCGAAACTCATTCGAGTCACGGTTCGGCCGCAACGTGCCGGACCCCTCCAAGCGCCAGAACATCAACGGCACTGACAAGTTGCCCACGCCTCCCAACGAGCACTGGGCTATTCACAATGATGGTCACCGTGGTGGAGTTACCTCCCGATCGGAGAGCCGACAGGGCTCCCCTGTCCCCTTGGCGGATGTTCAGTACATGGACCCCCAGTTCTCCGGCACCAAGACCTTCTCTGCACCTACCCCGACTAAGCCGGATGGTCGCCCACGTCCGCCAACCTACTTCTCTGCTCAGTCATATCTACGTTACCAGGGCGAAAAGTTCGTCAAGCGCTTTGATGCCAACTGTTATATTGCTATGACCCGCAAGCTGGACACTCACGATGTCTCTCGGCACCGTGCAAGCCCGGATTCAGAGAACCCCGTCCTGGAGGCTCTGTCTAAGGTTGAGCAGCCCGCCCTTGTTCTGGGAATCGAGTCCGATGGCCTCTTCACATTTGCCGAGCAGCAGGAAGTTGCTGCTGGTATTCCTGACTCGAGACTGGAGCGTATCGATAGCCCCGAGGGCCACGACGCCTTCCTGCTGCAGTTTGAGCAGGTCAACCGCCACATTGTAGCCTTCTTCCACGAAGTCCTGCCCGACATCATGTCTCAGTCCAACGTTGATGGTGCTGCCGCCGTGGCCAGCGTCAAAAAGCTAACGAAGAGCAGCACCTTCGGTGAAGCCGAGGTGGAGGATATCACTGCGTGGTAAATCCTCACCATGAAATAAGATAACAATGGCGCAGTCACTTGCAGCCACCCCCATGCTCCTGTCCCAGACACCGGACTCCCGCCCGGGAGCCGTCCTTCCTCGTGGCTCACCACGAACGGGGCGCGCTTCCAAGCGTGAGCTCCCATTGCCTGGGCAGGTACCATGGCGTTATCAGGGGAAGTAGAGGTTGCCGATCTTTTATCCGTTTCGCTAGTCAGGGAGATGAGCATCCAACTGCCTCTCTCGAATCTCACCTGGTCCATTGCCACGTTTTCGTTAGCAAAACCTTGTCGAGAAGACTGCCAAAGAAGCATCCAACTGCTCTCCATCTGACCCACCCTCTGGGTCGCTTTTCCAAGCGAAAAATCGTCTGGAGGTTGATGGGTCTATTTTGAACAATCCGATAACCAGGGTTTTATCACTATTCTTTTCGCACTGGTTATCCGTGCGGCGAACGCGTCGCTCTTTTATCTAGTCGTATCAACGCTATAACAACAATCGATGATCTTGTAGACTATCCTTGGATGGTCTGTCATAGATATGTGCACCCTTTGTAATCATTTTCTCTTCGTAGAGACCTTGAATGTGTTGACAGGGTCAGATCTCATTGCTGGCCTAATTTGCACTGCTCCTGAGGTAGACTCCGTCCAGTGCACGTTGACCTACACAGCACTGTGCCTGTTTTTGGTGCAAGGCCAGCTGGAGCTCTTAGTCCGGTCCATGTGTGCTCCAGCTTTTAGCAAGACATGAATAGCTTAGGTATCTCCCGGCCGTATACATAGACTCGAGATCTCCATTTCCACAGGGCTTTTGAGCATGTTTGGAACGTTCATCACCGCCCGCTCGTGAAGGTTGGTCAACGGTATATATTGCCGGCACCCAAGCCCTTGCCCAACCTACGAGATGGCTCTCTCTTCCCAGATTGGCTATATTGCTCACTATGGTACCTACCTAGCCCCCAACCTCGTACCATATATTCTACCTTTACACCAGGTCTCGACTCCGTTTGTACAATGGCAAGAGTCTGAGATATCGAGCGCCCCGGTGCACGGTCGCAGTCATGGAAGATCTGAGATCCCTCCGGCCCCCGGGGCCGGAAGCCTCAAACTACCTAGATCCCCCCTGAAGGTCGCCGTGCGCCACGCTAGTAAGTCACAAGGCTTGAACTTTGTTGATGGGCGGTGCATTTCTTCCCGGTCTCGATCGGCTGAATGATGGATCAGCTGAGTTCTTTGTTCTTGATTGGGGTCTTTGTAGACGCTCATCGAGTATCTAGTATTGTTTTTGTCTTGTCGTAGCCGAGGTATGAACTCGACTCCATGCGAATGGGGACTTAATTCTCGATTTCTAAGAGGTGCTTAGGACGCGAACCTGCGTATTGGGGCTAAAACGCCTCGTGGGGAATTGGAGATGCATGTGCGGCAGGTGAGGAACTTTGGCTTGGGGGCCAGAAGAAGCACTCTGTACTCCATAGTTAGAGTGGCTTGCGTGAGGTGAGGCTCGCGAAATAGGTCAATCCGACGAGCAATTCCTTTGTTAAGTCATGGAGCATTGAGGCTTGTGGCGTTCGGGGGAGGCGGAGTGGTTTGAAGCGAGTGCTACGGTGGTGGTGAAGTCTGGTGGTGACTTAGGACTTGCAGCAGTTATTGTCGCGAGACTAGTAACTCCGGAATACTCCGTGGTTTCAATAAGAGTAGTGAAGCTGGCTTGACTGGATGATTTTGCCGAGGCGAGTTGTAGGTCGTATAAGAACGTAGAACGTAGAGAACATCGTATAACCGTAATCGTATATTGTACGACTATCACAGAGCTTTGCGATATACACTTACCCTGTACTTTCACACGGTCCACGGCCTTGTTTGTGTTTAATCTGTAGCCTCGCCCTTGCATAGACTCGGTTGTCCCGTCAATTATTGAATCAACCATGATATAATGATTCGTACTACCGTGCAACTGTCAACATCGCACTCGATCCCATCCCCGGCTTTTGTATTCTTCATTGATTGTCAAACAATCTGCAGATGTTTCAGTTTTTGATTTGCTCCACCTCCAGGCGCCCGACTGGGTCCAGGATCCTCCAGGGTATGTCGCACCAGCCTTATGATTATAGTTGCAGAATATTATGATTAACGCTCTGTGTTGCAGTGTTTTCGACCCCAAAGATTGGCATATTGCAAGGGAGGCACGAGACCCACCCTATCACTCTGGTTATCCACAGTTCGGCAGGGAGCGAAACGGATGGAGTGTGAGCAGCCGCCAATAATAGAGGACAAGAAAGACAAGCGTGGGGTCTTCAGTGGTCGCCTGAGCAGTTTCCCCCAGCGCAAAGCCACTTGGAATTATTGTCTTAGATTGCTAGAGTGGAAGTAGGGTGATCATATATCAACTGGGGTTATTAACTATCTTACTTCAATATTTCCGAAGATTTCTCTGTTTTCTTTTTCTCTTTATCTTTTGACTCGTCTTTAAGCTAAAACCGGGTCTAGGAGACCGGGGGCAAAAGACTAAAAGGGGGCAAGACAAAGCGACCGATAACAAGAAACTAGCGTGGGTGGGTGTCTTAGACTCTGGAGTTCTTCCGCTCTAAACTTTCTGGAGGTGATTGATCTTTAAAGTAATTATGATGATTCGGCCTTGCTGTCCCTGGTGAAATTATCTTCAACTGAGCTGTGGATCATGTTGGTCCTTTGTTGGCGGCAAACATTGGATGCTGGAATAACTCTTGATACGCCTATCTTTGTCACCTCGAGACGTACAAATCACAGCCCTAACCGACTCTTTATTGCCTCCACGCTAGCGCCCATGACTTAGTTTTTCCGAAGTTTCTACTGGACAGGTTGGTTATCAATGGGCCTGGAAGCGGCGGTGATAATCTTGTCCTACTCAAACAGCCTCGTTGGCGCCGGGCTTTATCTCAGATCATCGTCTTACTGTAGTCTTAAAACTCCAGTCCTTTAATCAGGTCCTCCCTCTAGACCTCCACATGAGGCCGATGTCGCCCGCTAAGAGATGCAGAGACTAAAAAGACCCTTGGACCCCCTCGAGTACATACTGTACTAGTATACTACAGTACTAGTTTAGTAGCCTGTGACTCTGACACTTGTCGAATCCCAGTCCCAGTCGGCTCTCTTGTCTCTGGTCTCTCGATTTCACCCTGTTTCCTTCCATTTCAATTTCTAGCGTCTTTTGTTTCTACTCGTCCTTATTTCTATTTCTATTCCTTGTTTCGCGCCTCCTTCTACTTTTCCACACTTTGATCTGCGTTTTCACGTCCATCATCCCTCGTTTGCTCTGTATACTTCCCTCTCCCCCCCCCCGCATACCAACGCTCGTCGCACGGCCAACATAACCAGCCCACCCTGATCACAACAAGAGTCAATTGAAACATTATTGCCTCCTGGATTTGGATCTCGCGGGGCAACGACTGAACCCCCCACTACCAGATACTTTTGGTCATCGAATACATCGTCCACATAATTGATCGAGGTCCTGTCCCTGTTTAAGGGCTGCGGAGTCTATTCTGCGTCGCCACCAGCATTACTCAGTGGACTTTTCACGGCGCATAGTCGGCGTTGGCAGGCCGTTGCGATTGTTTGCGCCCAAAGTGAAAATAGACTCCTGCACAGCTGGTCATTTCTTGAATTTTCAACTCTCGCTTTTCGTCAACGCCTTGACCGTTGTCTGTCAATATCAGTTTCCCTCATCAACCGGGGGCTCCTCCCACACTCGCTCTGATATCAACAACAAGACCCCCCCCGGCGCAAATCACCCACCATAATGGAGCGCAATCTCTCCCAGAAAGCGCTTCGCATGCGCCAGCGCTTCACATTCAGTCGTGGTCGAGACCGCGCATCCACTATCCCTCCCGCTGGTGCCACCAGTACCCCCAACAGCCGCCCGCGATCAGCCACAACGCCCATCTCGTCCCACACCATCACCACCACTACTATCGACACAACGTCCCACAAAACCAGCAAAGACTGCACTCGCTTTTACCACTTTACAGATGAACCGGGTTACTTTCGTCCTGCGTCACCTCTCCTTGACAGACAGTCTGTCTCGGAGGAACTAGAAGACGACGTCAAACATGCCTGCGCACTGCTGGTTCAGAGCGTGGATCGCGGTTTACCAATATGGCCTTTGGTTCAGGTAGACCATCGCCCGAGCACAACAACCACAACCACGGCAAAAGTATCCAGCCCAGAGGCCCCCTCGAGATTCTATTATCAAGGCGCTAGTATGTCCCCCTCCGCCGTGGATAATCAGATCGAGATCCACACGAACGATAAAATGCACGACTCCGGCGTAGCTTTCCAACATAGCACCAGCGCTGCGTCTGCAACTACGGGACGCTTTTACGGTACCAGGCACTCGTCATCGCGCCATGGAGAAAACCACGACGAAGATGCCCACCGCGGCCGCTCATACTTCCGTTCTCGTGGTCAAAGTTTCGGCACGGATGCGACGCCATCACGTTCACGCTCGCGCTCTCGTTCTCTCAGCCCGGACATGTTCCCCTACAGCCCGCCACAAGTCGACACACTCTGGCCACACGTCAAAGATATTTACTCCGAACCATCAGACGCATTATTCCCAGATACCGAGACAGAAAAAGAAAAAGACACAGAATCTCACCTCGGCGTTGAGGGTATGACCTGGCTCCGCGCAAGTCTAGATATTCCCCGTCTCAACAACACTGAAAAAACACCCGCCAGTATCAATATCAACGTCACCGCGATACCGGCCGCTGCACCGCGCCGCTTCTACAGTACCCGGCAGCAACCGCGCGCAAAGGAGCACGGTTATAATCCTGTCGCTGGGGCGGGATGGGATGGATCGAATAGTCGAACTAGTGTGGACGATGCTGTTTCTCTGCGGAGTTTTTCGAGTGTGGAAGATGATGGGATTTGTCAGGGGAGCTTTCATCAGTTACGGAGAACTGTTTCGTCCCGTGGTTTTGAGAAGCACCTGCAGGGTAAAGATCAATGCCCAGGGCAAGGGCAAGATCCTGTTTATGCGATTGTCTCCGATGCTGGACACCGGAGACGCAGGAAGGCGTCGCATTTATTGAAGAAATTGGCTGGATTGAGGAAGAAGAAGGATGGGGATGCGTTTGAGAGTCGACGTGTTGCGGTTGCGGTTGTTGCTTGAAGGTTCGGGATTAGAGAGATGGTGGTTTACGCTATGCTACCATTTCCTCATCTTGTCTTACGGCTATGGACCTTGACTTCGACTCGACCTGATATGATTTTTACGATATCTCGTTTAGCCCTGTCTTTTTTGCCTATGTCTATATCTGCGTTTGATAGATTGCTGTCTTTGTTTGGTTGATTTGTACGTATACCCTCTCCTGTTACATTTGCATTTGAACATGAACATCTCTTTGTATTTTCCAGACTTCTATTTTTGAATTGCAGATTATGATACCTCTTTTTGTATAAAATTTGAGTTTAGATTGCGATCTGTTTCCTAAATTGAAATGCTAGCCGAGCGGGCGACCCATATTAATAACCCTAAGCACCTCAAGTCTTCAACTAGGTTTAGGTTCGCAGATGAAGATCACCATAGCATTAGATTACTTTATTCCACATTCTATACGCTACGTGTTACCACCACAGACGCGGTTCTATGAAAGCTTTCTGATAAAAGTACATACGAGGAAAACGGGAGTGATTGATATCCAATCCACATTGAGCAAGACGAAAAGAAAAAGAAAAAAAGTAAGTACAGACGGGGGAGATGTACCCAAAACACCGGCAACGATGCAACGTGCGATCAGTAAGACGTTAAGATAAAGGAAAAAGGGAAGAGGAAGACCCCCAAAAGGGGAGGGAGGTGAGATGAAAGTGAAGTAGGGAATCCTCACAAGAGGAGACAAGAGAAAGGAAAAGCAGAAGCAGAAGCAGAAAACAGAACCGAATCAGTCTGGCTGGGCCAGCGCCCTATCCACTAATGTGTGGACTCATTGCCCACGGCGGAGGCGCTTGTTCTCGCCGCCCATTCGTCCCCGAGCGTTCGCTTCCCCCCGGGATTCTCCTCGGGGTTGTTGGGCCGGCCACGCTTGCGATGCGTGGAGCCACCACCGCTCTCACGGTGATGGCCATCACGCTCGCGCCCGCGGTCACGGCGCTCCCGGTCCCGGTCCCGGTTCTCGGGACGGTTGCCGCCTTGCCCCCAACGACGAGAGTTCTCATCATTCGGAAGGGGAGGTGGAGGGGGTGGCGGGGGAGGGGGTGGTGCGCCCATTGAGGACGATGGACGGGGGCGGGCGTCGTTCTCGTTGGCGTTGCCGCTGTTGGGAGGAGCACCACCCATTTCTGGAGGCCCGTCCTCGCGACTGTGTCGGTCCCGCCGGCGCATCTCCTCTCGAGAGCCAGTGTTTCGCCGATCAGCATGGCGTTCACGGTCTCTGTCCTTCTCCTCGCGGCCAGAACCAGCGGCGCCAACATCGCTTCTGCGAGTGCGTTCACGATCAGAGTCTCTACCTCGATCACGGCGTTCTTCGCGTCGGCCAGCACTGCCTGCGTCATCTTCGGCACCGCCGGCACCGCCTCCACCGCGACGACCACGGTCACGATTCTGGTCACGATTCTTGTCGCGATCACTGCCTCGACCGGCTCGGCGATTGTCAGGTGTAGTAGCATCGTCGAGCAGATCACCACGACCATCAGGTCGGTTGCGAGGTTGGCCATCATCTTCAGCAGCGGCAGGCCCGGTGGGCGGACGAGGAGACCCCGTATTTGAGGCAGTCGACTGTCGGTTTGCACCCCGTCCACGAACTGGCGGAGTCACATTGCCGCGTTCAGCAGGGCCGTTAGTCTGCTGAAGCATGTTGTTGATGCCAGCAAATCGCTTATCACCACGTCCACGCTCTCCACCAGGACCACGAGGACCTTGCTGCTGGCCCTGTCCACCACGAGGACCCGACTGGGGTGTCATCACTGGTGAGGGTGCTTGCGGAGTAGAATCGACGATGTTGTTGAGTCGATCGGGGTGAATTCCAGTGGTGTCAAGACGCTCTCCAGAGGCAGCCGGCGTAGAGGGAGGTTGTTCAGGTCCGCCACGTCCACCAGCACGACTGGGACCCGATGGGATTTGTCGTTCAGGAGTAGGTGCTTTGCCGTTACTTGGGCTTGGGGCAGGTTGCTGCGCGGAGACATTACGACCGCGATTCCTTTGCCGAGGACCAGATGGAATGTCCGGTGACTGATCAGGTTGTCGCAAGCGCCCATGATTCATATCAGGGCCCATCGGGTCATGACCACCAGCACGGGGTCCTCGTGGAATCTCACCCGGGATCAATCCAGGCTGGTTGAAGCTGGCAGTTCGTCGGTCGTCTGGGAATCGCTCTGGACGATTGGGCAAGTCGACCCTGGGAGGAGATGGACCACGTGGTGGGTATGGACGACGGTCATCCTTTTCAGCGCGCAGCGGTGGTTCCCCACGGCGAGGGTTATCTGGTTGCCGTTCAGGGAAATCAGCCATAAGGTCACCGCGAGGCGGGCCATCGCGACCATGGAAGGAGTCATGGCGGGGACGTCCCGAACGGTCACCGGGCCAGTCGGCATCTCGTGGAAGCCTACCACCCTCACGATAAGGTGGACCGCGCATTGGTTCATCGAGAGGAGGTCTCATCGGGAAGTCACGGTCCCGATCAGGCATGCGCCCATGGCCTCGATTGTCGACCTCAGGGCCATCGAATCGTATGTGCTCGGGAGCGCCATGGCGAGTACGAGGATTGAAATCTGGATGTCTATCCCGTCGGTTATCCATCAAGTCGGGGCGAGGAGGTAGTCTATTATCCGCAGCAGTGTGCCGTGGTAGACGAGCCTGTTGTCGTGGGTTAATGGCGGGAGGTCGCTCAACGTCTGGTCGCTTCGGGATATCCGGAGCCCGAGGGCCAAGTCTTGATCGCGATGATTCCCTTTGGCCACGTTGGTCGAGAGTAGAAGGTTGCAGACGATCACCATCCGCACTGGTGTCCATGGCGGTAGAAGTGGTATCAGTGCCTGTCGGTGTCGGCATATTCCGAGGCGCCGCAGACTTCGCGTCATCAACTCCCCTCACCGATCCAGCATCAGTCATCTTGGCATCTTCAATTTCACCATCCTCAACTTCGGCTTTGCTCGATGCTTCATGCTTCGAGACAATCGCAGGACTGATAGATAGAGACGTTAGTTGTCGAGTCAAATTAGGGCGGTATTGTTTGAACTTACTCTTGGGTCCCGGGCTTGAATTCCGGAGCGGAAGCACTCAAAGCCGTAGGCGTGGCAGATTGAGGCCGTGAGAGATCAGCCCTGGTCGCTCGGTCTACTGGGGGCTGGGAGCCAGCCTTTTCTTGTCCGGCATCGGGGACATTGCTATTGTTGAGGTAGAACTGTTGCGGAAGCATCCACTTCTTGGATCGTCGGTTGAAATCACCGATGAGGGAAGCAGCAGGGATCTTGACATCGTCTCGCTCGTCGTTCTTGCTGAGGAGATTGACAGTCTCCAGCAGCTGTGTACCCATCCAGTTAACAGCAGGGAAGGATGGAACAATCGCCTTGAGGATACTGATGGCGTTGCGAATGTGCATGTACTCGCCTCCCTTCAGACATGTCTGAAGTGCGTTGTTGACCAGTCGGTGCCACTTGTAAAGAAGGCGTCGGAAGTCCTCATAGTCGAGGAAGACAACCGGGACTCCTTCAGGGTCAAGCTTCTTGGCAAACCCAGGCAGATCTCTCTTGGATCCGAATGCCTCCTTCTCGTAGACAGCTTGGTCGGCATGCCACTCGCTCAAGTCACCCAGAACCTTGCCGAGAAATTGTCCCAGGTTATCTGCTTCCTTCGAGGTGCAAAGGAAGATGAGGGAGACGAGTCGGTGTTCACGGAAGAGTTGATCCAGCAAGCCCATAGTCCGGAAATTGGGGGTTCCCGAGTTGTGGAGGAACTTGAGCATCTTGAAGGAGAAGAAAGCGTCAAGTGGGGAGAGGAGGAGCCGAGGAATGAAACATTGCTCCAGAAGAGCAACGTTTAAGGGGTCGTACTTCAGTCGCATATGAGCGAACCACCGCTCCTTTTCCTTCTGCAGTCTGCCGCGAGTTTGGGCATATGCTTGAGTGTGAGCTTTCAACTCTGACAGCAACTGATCCTGAATTTGGTTGAGACTTCTTCTCGTTTGGTCCTTTCGTTGCATACCGACCATGCTGAGATCAGATCGGTCATTGTTCAGTGCTGTGACACGTCTTTGCAGTCGGCGCCTCTCTTCATCGTAGTATTTTTCGGGAACGTGGACATCATAGAGAGATAGCTGCCAGAATGTGGCATAGAAATGCGCACCCACACTCTCCCACGTCTCAGCAGGCAGCGAAGATATGATGGTCTCGATCAGATCCTGCATGACGGGGTTAGCAGCCAAGGGGCCAGGGGTGGCGACAGTTGGAGACGCAGTAGCGGACTGCTCTGTTTTGTCGACATCCATCGCAGTCTCGTCTGTAGTCTCGGCTGGCACTTCACCCTCGTCGATGTCCATTTTGTTGTCATCGTTGGACTGGGCGCCGGTGGTTCCGTTGTCAGCACCCCCCTTCGTAGACGGGGCTTCAGACTTTTGTTTTGAAAGCTCGCTCTCGGCAATCTTCTTCGAAACGCTAGGACGTCTAATCCAGAATGCGATCTCCGGTTGAATGCCAAATTCCTTGACCAAGGAGGCAAAGTCGGGCACGAACGAGTCGAACTCATCAATCGACAGATTGCTCCGCAAAAGGTCGAGATACTGAGTGAGGATGCGGTGGATCTCGTCAAAGATATTGCCGAGAAGTTTAAGCTCCGAAGAGGACTCGTTGAAAACACAAGTCATTCGTTCCTGAGCAATCGCAACCAGCAGCTGACCCGCGAGGCGAGTATGCGTCAATGATTTCAGCAGCCGCTTGGATGTGGTCTTCGACTCGTGGCGCTTGTCCAAGAGCTGGAGAATAGTCTGAGCCTGGAGTACCTCGCCACCTGCCATAGCCTGAATTTGGGCATCATTGAAGTTTGTGTCTGTGATGATACCAGCCATGGAGCTGATCATCTGCTCGAGCACGATGAGGTCGGTCGAGTTGTTGTGGCGCAGCTGCTCAACGACGTACTGCAACAAAGGTGCTGGATCCATGACGGAATAACGCTTGAAAGTTCGGCCAGCAAAAGTGGACAGGGCATTCAACCATTTGCTGGTAAGAAGACCACCCTCTTGCACGCGGCTTCTTCCTTTTTGTCCAAGCGAGTTGATAAGGGACCAAGTGAGAATATCGTAGCCCAGGTTCGTGAAATAGCGAGCGCACTCCACGACCACTTCAATGAGATTTTCATACGACTCGATCTGACTCATGGCGACATTGATGACGATACCGGGATTTGCGTAGGCAATCTTAGCCAGAGCACGAGCCATCGGTCGAATGTTGGTCTTGCTGAGACGCTTGAGGACGTCCTTCGTCTCCGCTGTCGCCTGTTTGAAAGCAGACTGGATGTCGGGAAGTCTGGAGGTTTGCCCGGAGTACCACTCGGCATACATGTTGTACCGAACCTCACGGGGGAACAAACTGACCAGATTGAACACTTCATTGACCACACCAGGGTTGGCCTTGGTCAAGCTGACTGCAGGCAAGAGAAGGCGTTTGCAGAGGTCTCGCCAGCGAGTCTTGTTGGCTTCTGAGTCGTCCTTTGAAAGACTATCTGTACCGATGCGGGCAAGCTTTGAGAGGAGGCTCGCGTCTTGGCCGATCTTGTGGCCTGAAAGGTTGAGGAAAGAAGAGCACAAAGCGAACACGTCGTCAACCGACTGACAGACTGGAATGTTATCTGCCCAGTCATCCCAGTAATAGCGGTAAGCAATACCCTCGTTCGTGTCTTCCGTGTCAAGCTGAGCCCAACGCAGGACGCGTCTTGGGAGTGCGTCGGTCAGGCGAAGCTGGCCCTTAGCGACTCCGGACTGATCGGGGCTCAGGATTTGCTGGTTGCCAGGGATATCCTCCATGGAGGCCAAAGGTTGAAGCGGGCTGTACACCTTACTCAGAGAGTAGTGGAGGATGCGGTGAATGAAGTCGGGGAGTTCGGGGTAGGCATCCATTAACCAAGGGAATCTGCTCATGACAAACAGGGACTCGGGGATTGCGCCAATGGCGAGTAGGCTCTTTAGGAGCAGGACCTTCTGGTCTGAAGGGTCTGGCAAAGCATCTTCAGGTTTAGCAGTTGGTTGCTTGTCGGCATCCTGGTCTCGAGCTGGAGTTGCCACACGAGACTCAGGCTCGCGAAGACGAGAGGGAGGCGGAAGGGTGTCGTCAGACAAAGCACCGGCTAGCATCAAAGCATTGACACCGCCGCCGGGTCGCGCGGCCTTCTCTCGCTCTGCCTTCTCTGTCATTTTCTCCTCCTTGAGAACGTCCATTGTATCGTCAGGTCTCCACAGGTGGGCGTAGAGGTCACGTAGGGAAATGAAGCCAACCTTGATCAGCAAGGCGGCTAGGTAGATGAGGTTATCAGGCAAGGTGTCAGACTTAGCTCGAGCCGAAGAAGAGTAAAATCGTAGCTTGAAACCAAGCAGCTGCGCGGCAACCCGGTTGCCCTTGGGTGGCATAGTTCCAGTCTCTTCGACCCACGCTCGTGTGGCCTCCTGTTCTTCGGAGAGGTGGTTGGTTTCTGGAAAGGCCTTTTTCTTTTCCTCTTCCGAGAGAGGTTTGCGGCCAATTTCGAAGAAAGCCTGAATGCCAATTTGACGCACTCGGTCCCAGAACTCTCGGTCACGCTGCTCATTTGACTGTAGAATGATAGCTCGCTCTTCTTCGGTGGTATTCCAGCCACCAGACCCGGGAAGTGCCCACTGTGGCAATCCCGATGCCCGTGAGATTCCCTCCAGGTTGTGGAAGAGTTCCTCCTTGGGCCACCAGGAGCTCGCGCGTAGCAGTTTCACAAAGAAGCGGTACTGCTTGACAAGCACTGCAGCAAACACATCCAGCGTCACATCCAGCACTCGCCCAACATCCATGTCGAATGCGCCAATCATGGCCTTGACCCGTTCGAAAGTATCTTCGACTACCTCACTTGATGGAGGTTCGTTGCTGCTCGTGGTGAACAGCTCCGTCAGAAGCTTTGAGTATCCTTCAGATTCTTCTCTGAGAAGGTTGTAGTTGGACTGTCGGTACAGCAAATTGGTTTGCTTTCGAATGCCCATGCGCGCGAAAGTGTCACGAACTAGTCCCAAGGACTGCAACAGGGGCGTATCAAGTTGTAGCCGCATGAGTTCTGGGGAGATGGCGGTCGCAAAGACGAGTGGTTTGAGAGCAGGGTTTGAGGTGTCGGCATCCATAAGGATTGAAAGAGTGTCGAGGAACAATGAGGAGGAGTCGAAGTCCAAGGTTGAATGATTTTGCGCATCTCGAGACGTAGCTTCTTCACCAATGATCTCCTTCACAGCGCTTCCAGCCTCCGAAGGAGACAGTCGGCCGTAAATTGCGGACCGAATGAGTTCTTGATAGACGGAGGCCAAACGGGTGAGATCTTGGTCCAATCGAGCCGCAGTTCCTTCCTTTACAACGTTTTGCTTTCCGGCCGAGAACCATTCTTGAACAGCGTGATCCGTGACAAATTCATAGTCGTAGGGAAGAGGAGGGGCCGAAGGGCGGGCAGTACTCGCCTCGGAGCCAGCCCTAGATGCAACTTGCAGCTGCGGCTGTGGAGCAGGGGTGATGGGAGCTGGAGATTGTGTCGTTTGGGGAGCTGTGGATTCGCCACCTTTCTGGGTAGCCTCAGGTCCGTCCCTGGACTGTGCGCGAGGAGGGGGAGACATTGCGCCGGAGTCTCTCTGCTGTGAACTTGAAAAATTTTGACCTTCAAAGGAGCCTCGGCCGGAACTGCCGCGACCGCCGCCTTGGTTGCCGGACTGCCGACGAAATCTGTCGCGCGCCTCATTTTGGTCTCGTTGAGGGCTGGGGTGATGCCCCGGGTGGGAGGGATGTTGGGCCATGTTGAGCGTCCCGGGGCGATGAGGAGAGGGTCGCAGCGCTTCGTTGCTCGCCGAGTCGCCCGACCAGGAGCGCTCACCGCGCTTCCTTTTGCCGCCCTGCCCGGGGGCCATGGAGGATAGAAAGCCGGTTTAGACTCGATGGGCAGACACAGTTGTTTCGGTTGCGGTGAAGATGTTGCTTAGGATGGGTTGAGTCTGAGTGGACGGCGGGGAGCGAGTGCCAGCAATTGAAATCGCCGAAAGGGAGGATTTGCCAAGAGCAAGAGATGTTGCGATGCAGCGTACCAGCTGAGAGGGTTCCAGGAGAAGAGTGAGAGTGTGGAGGGTGGAAAAGGGAGGAGATGTGGATGGAGGTGAATGGCGATGATGGCAGGAAGCTTGATCGGAGCAAAAGATGGGGGCTCGTGTTGCCTGAGGTGTCGAGGGCCACCCTCATTATCTTGGCTTATCTCTTGGCCGATTGTTTAGGTAGGTAGTCTCGGGTGCCTTGATGCCGCCCCAGGCAGCGATTCACGTACTGCCGGCCTCACCTGATTTGTACTCAGTCTGCAATTGTTTGCTATCGGGGATTTCTGCCTTGCTAATTATTTCTACATTTACAATGAATCCCACGTCCTATACTGCGTCAAATGCTTCCTGCGCGTCCTGCTATCTGATATGTGGAAAGAGATGTCGAAAGAGATTGAATTGCGGATTATTCAGTAGATTTTCAAGGAATGTTGATATCTATTTTACAGTCTTTGCTAGTACCCAAGCACCTTTGCGATGAAAAGTTAGCCCAATGATGTTCACACAGGTAGGCACCTCACTAGTTAACAGAGTCGGGCATAACAAGCAGACATTATGTTTCTGAGAATGACATTTAAGCGTTACATTATTGTGAGACTTCAATAACGTGATATCCGGACACTTTTGTACTTTGATCCAAAGAATAGAGAGAAAGCTATTTCCACAGGAAGATGGCAAACTCCTCAAAGCAGGCCAAGATCCTTTGCCTCAAGCGCAACAATATCTGGAATCAAATCAATCAACCTCGGCTTCTGGGGATTCCAAGCCAAAAGCTTGCGGGCTCGAATTGCATGTCCACGAGAATTAGTACCCCAGAGATAGGGCCCTGCAGGATGAGCCTTCTTGGCTTCCTCAATATCTAGCTCCTCCACGTTAGGCGAATCGATGAATTTCTGCAGATGAGCCTGCTTAGCAACCTCGCGTTGAATATCTCCCCAGACAAAGGATCCATTTTCGGCCAAATAGTAACCCTCGTCGTTCCAGGTGGCCTTGCCACCTCCAGCCGCAGCAGCCTCACCCAAGGCGAGATAGACGTTGCTCAGATCCTGGACGTGAACCTCATGCCAGATATTCTCGCCCTTACCGATCAGAATGCCGGAGCCGCGAGAAAGGACGGCGGTGCTCAACTTGTAGGCTTGGACACTCTTGGTGTTTCCAGGGCCCCGGCCAGGACCGTAGATTGTTGGTGGGCACACGATAGCTGTATGGACGTTGGATGGGTTACTCTTGCCAGCATTGATGATGATCTCATCGACGTTTCGATGGAGGGCGTCTGCCGGAAGGTTGACTAGCTCGCTCACTCCTTCCCAGTCGTTGTATTCCTTAGGACGCTCGATACCGATTGTGTTGGCACGCCTGTCCTCAACGGTCAGGATGCCCGTGCCCGAGGTGTGGATCAGCCACAGTGGATGGTCTGGGGTGTGCTGCTGAGCGCCCTTGGCGATGGCTTGGGCAGCTGCGACATGATCGCAATCGGCAAAGTCTGTCAAGAGAGGTTAGCACTATACTGGGGCCGAGCTGATGGGCTGTTCTTGGTGATACTGACTGAAGACAATGTCGGCGTTTTTGACTTCCTCTTCGATGATATCCGCGGAATCCAGATCTCCGTGAACAATACGGATTCCTGGATACTTGCTAGAGACTTGAGCAGCTTTCTCCTTGCTACGAACAAGGGCCGACAATTGCCAGTCCGGGTGAGCGGTGGCGATGGCGTACAAGCCGTCACCGCCGATGTAACCAGTAGCCCCAGTTCTATACCTAACATTAGATCAAGGCTGCTGCGTGGAGGATATGGCTGCTACTTACAGAAAGACCTTTGGAGGAGCCATTTTGTACAGAGAGTTAAACAGTGATAACTAAGAGAGATTGAGATAAGTACAAGAGAGAGATTGAGTTGACTCCGGACAATAAGGTTGACAAGGGTTACATGCATGATCAACGTTTGCTTTGAAATCACCTCAATAAAGCAACTTGGGCCGAGAGAAGGCTCTCAAAGTGGGGGTTTAGTCAACTATTCTCCGAAAAGCCGACTTGCTGCGAATGATAAATGAAGTCATTGGTTAATTGAAACTCCGTTATCTACAATTGCATCTCTATTCAATGGCCTTATTCTGAGCATCTACAGCATGAATTCCGATCTCTTGATAATTGTATGATTGTAAGCCGATGCTCATCCTACAAGCAGCCCCGCATGGTGATGATGTCATGCCTCCGCAGCGAAAGAAGCACGCATTATTACTTACAAATCACAACAAGCAACAATAGCAGGGGCTGCTCTAATATGAGCATATACGAAAACAAAGTCCCTAATCCATAAAGTCACCTTAAAGTGACCTACTTGCTCAATGGTGTATGTCTGCAGGGTTTGAGGATATGCAATCGCCGGGGCACCAGGGACATAGGTTGAGGATCAAGGGGCTATCACGATAGCTCAAGGAGACTATCAATTAGAGGTAGATGAATAGAATTTCTACCATCGATCGTTGAACTCAGATCTGATATGAAAGATTTCATTGCATGCCATTCCTGCTCTTCGGAATGACCTTCCGTGTTGACTTCAATTGATCCCCGCATGCCTTCGAAACACCGTCGGGTCCTGCACCCGAACCCCCAAGTACCCCCACCACCACAAGAGATGAGTCTTAACATCTTCCAACAACTTTCCACAGTCTGAATCCTCTTGGTCCCCATCAATTGAGTTCCTCAGAGCAGGCGAGTCAGCTTACAACCACATATCAGCACATTCATAGTCCCTTCGTGATGGATCTCGCTCAGAAATTCGAAAATGGCAGCGCCGGAGAGGCTATCAAATGCATTGACATGCATACTACAGGAGAACCTACGCGTATCATCTACTCGGGGTTTCCCCGTCTCCAAGGCACTCTTTTGGAGCAGCGTGACCAAGCAATGAACCAATATGATCACATCCGGAAACGCATCATGTTGGAGCCACGAGGCCACTATGATATGTACGGTGCCATCCTTACTCCTGAGACCGAGCTTGTTCAGCAGGGACAAGCACATATTGGAACTCTGTTCACACACAATGGAGGCTTTTCTACCATGTGTGGCCATGCCACGATCGCGCTGGGAAGGTTCTTGGTCGACACGCATGACTTGACCGTGTTTCCTAAACGGAATGAACTCGAATTCAACCCGACAACGTGCGAATTAGCAGTTAACATCCACGCTCCATGTGGATTGGTCCGTGTGACAGTTCCAACCACCGCGAACGGCCAGGAATCTGATCCATCTCGCCCAGTATCATTCCTCTCTACGCCTGCATTCGCTGCAGGAATTGACCTCGAAATCCCGATTCCAAAGGAGGTTCGGTGGCCTGAATTGGGCGACCGGGAATCTATCAAGCTCGATATCTCCTATGGAGGAGCATACTACGCCCTAGTAGACGTTCATGAGCTTGGCTTTTCAAGCCTTAAACAATTCGATCTGGGTGCTATCTCGAACGCGGCAAGCAAGCTCAAGGCCTACCTAATGACCCATCCAGCCGTTAGCTCAGCCTTGCAACATCCGGAAGACAGTCGACTGTCGTTCCTCTACTCTGTCATGGTCGTTGATCGAGATGTCGGGTCAAGGCCTGAGAGAGTCGAAGGCACCGAGACGGGTCTCTGTTTCTTTGCAGACGATGAGATTGATCGATCCCCAACGGGATCTTGCGTGACGGCGCGTATGGCATTGGCTCATGCGAAGAAGCAGAGGTCCGTTGGCCAGAAGTGGGCTTACAATTCGATTGTCTCGAACCGCTTTGGCACTGGGGCCTTTGTTGCTTCCATTGTGGATGATAATGTGAGCGTGGGCGGCAGTAAAGAGGCGGTCACAGTTCGTGTCGAAGGCAAGGCATACTATACCGGAACGTCCAACTTCATTCTCGAGGAAGGTGATCTCACCAGTACAAGTGGGTTTACCCTGAAGGAATGCGCACAATAGAGTAGTTGGCAGTTACTTGAGCCAAATAACTCCCGAAAATGCTTATTCTCAATTTCGTGATGAATGGCGCCAGATGTCGAATTAAGCATTTGCAGCAGCTATAGAGATGGATTTAGAAGGCTACCATCATACCCAGCACTAGCCAGTGAATAATGTTGTGGAGAGTGAGGTACACTGTCACAGTCAAGAAACATCCAGTCGCACTCTGAGTAACCAATAGAATATAATCCTCGATGTAATCCGACGATCGGGAGATCCTGCTAAATCGCCGTGACAAAAGTGAATGGTGGATCGTCATTCTCGCCATGACGTCAGGGCCGTTGATCCGTGGAACCACCCTGGGATTTCCTCTATATCCTTGCAAACCGGTTGGCCCAGATCCAGAGATCCTTCAATCTGGATTCGGTGTCCCTGAATTGAATCAATCCCTCGGAATTACATCGTTTGCTCCATATATCTTGAGTCGAAGGCGTCTGCGCCTATGACGCCACCAACTTTTTTTCCCACTTTAAAACAATTCCAACGCGGTCTACGTCAGTCATTGCATAGCAAATGAATCTCACACCATTTATGCGTTTCATCTCTTCTACTCTAGTATATCTGCCTCACAAAAATTACCTCTGGATTCTTTGCAAGCCTCATGACGCCCGGTCCAAAAGGAGGAGGCCGTGATGGCGGTCCACGAAGATTTGCCTACAATATAGACGCCGCCCGGGAGCGGGAGATGCACCTGTATGGGATCGACTTTAACTGTTCAATTTGAGGTGTTCAATCTGGTTCTAATCTATTTCACCAACTAGATATCTTCCATATTGGGGCTTTTCCGAGTCTGAGAAATTCGAGCAACAACCCGTCGGCCACCGTCCAAACGTTTCCCGCGACAACGTTTTGACGGTTTTTGCGCAACTCGCAACTCTACGACTAGATGCAAGTCGAACTATTATCTCACTATTCGACCGAACCACACAACATGTTATCGCAGAGGCAACCCCACACCTCGCTCTGCGAAGCCCTAAGAGCGGCCAGCGATCCGAGTCCCTCTGGCGTGGAGTGCAGCGATTGCCGCGCGAACATATCCCCATGTGCAATCAAGCGATGACAATGTTTACGAAGGAGAAGGCGGACATGTTTGTTGTTCCAGATTTAGCGGCTGATTCTCGTTTTCGATCACACGAATCTGTAATCGGGCCTCCGCATCATCGATTCTACGTCTCCGTTCCTATCAAGTCGCCAGATTCATATGTCATTGGAAGTGTTGCGGTCTTGGATGATAAACCTCGTGAATGCTTATCAGACGAGCAAGGCCATTTCCTGAAAGAGCTCAGTGTAACTGTAATGGACCACTTGCTTTCTCAACGGGCCATGCGCGAGGAATATCGTGAGGAGAAAATGGTTCGCGCTCTGGGGCTATTCGTCCAGGGAAAGTCAGATCTCTCTGAAGGGATTGACAGCCGACGTGGGACGGACAATAAGCTTGACCATGTCAATCAAAAATTGGAACAGATCAAGTTGTCCAGTGGAAGGGAAAGCCAGGAGGCAGGCGCTGGGAGAGGAAGACCGTCCGAGGCATCGGAGGATGTCCCAGTCGACGGAGAAGTTGAGAATGCGGAGCTGGCGCGAAGCCGTTCGCCAGTCCACAAGTTCAAACGGGATGAGAATGAACCGGATCAACCACAAGAACAGAAGGAGGAAAACGACCAACGGCCTGCATTATCTCCCACTACGAGTCATCTACAGAAGTCACTGGCTCCATCTAATGTCCAATTCGTTCTCAACCGAGCATCATGCCTTATGGATCAGGCCTTAGATGTGGAAGGAGCCATGTTTATTGATGCGACTGTATACGCTCGACGTCAGATGATTGGGGCCGATGGTGGCGACCAAGAAGAGCCAGCTGAGTCCGCTTTCGAGCAAGAAGGGCAGGAGTACGAAGATGACGATGTCAATGGGCCCAAAAGCTTGGTCCTTGGATATTCAACCTCGTTTGCCTCCAGCAGAGACGATAATCAACAAGAGAGCCATTATGTATCTCTTCCCGGAGCCTTTGTCACGCACCTTATCGATCGATACCCTCGAGGCAAGATCTTCCACATCGATAAGGATGGCTCGGTTGCATTGAGTCATGAGGGCCTGGCAGATGAAGTAAGCCAGATGTATGTTGGTGGTTCCAAGTTGGTCAAGGACGGGTCGCCCAAGGAAAAGGATCTCCGAAAAGAAACATTGGAGATCAAGCAGCTTCGCAAAATCTTGCCGGATGCACGCTGCATTGCGATCTACCCAGTATGGGACTTCCAGCGCAGTCGCTGGTTCACCGTGAATCTCGTGTGGTCTAATGATCCCGGTCGTGTACTTTGCGAACCAAAAGACTTGACATACATGGCTGCTTTCAGCAATACTGTCATGGCTGAAGTCTCACGGATGGATCTAGAGGCTGCCGACAGAGCTAAGAGCGACTTCATCTCCTCGATCTCTCATGAACTTCGTTCGCCTCTACATGGTGTTCTGGGAACTGTGGAATTACTTCAAGAAACTGCTACTACGTTCACTCAGCGAGGCCTGGTCAAAACCGTGTACAGTTGTGGTCGCACACTGTTAGACACTCTCAATCACTTGCTGGACTACGCAAAGATCAACACATTGATGACCGGGCAATCTCCAGGCCAGGAAGATCAACAAGCTTCAAGCCCTGGATCAGACGTTGCTGTCCCTGGTCTTGTTCAAAACGAAGACCTGAGCGCGTTGGTGCAGGAGGTTGTAGAAGGATTGCTGGCGGGCGCCGAGTTCTACAATCGAGAAACCGATTCAGCGCCAGAACTAACCAAAAAAGAGTCTCGCAGGGTCTCTACTTCCTCAATGGGAAGTGAAGATCGCCGCATCATGACAATTGTGGATGTGGAATGGCAAGATAGCTGGAGCTACCCAGTGTATGCCGGAGCATGGCGTCGCGTGGTCATGAACCTCTTTGGTAATGCCTTGAAATACACCCAAGCAGGGTATATCAGGCTGTTCATGAAGATGGATACAATGAAGACGAGCAACAATAATTCTGTGCCTGCGGTCTGCATCACAATCAGTGACTCTGGTCGTGGAATGTCCCAGGATTTCCTTCTCCATCATCTTTACATCCCCTTCCTCCAGGAGGATACCCAAGCTCCAGGTCTAGGAGTCGGTCTTCACCTGGTTCATCAAATTGTGAAATCCCTTAACGGAAGAATCCATTTCAGAAGTGAAGTTGGCAAAGGAACCGATGTCGACGTGATCCTGCCTATTCCAGAATCGAAGCCCACCCAATCCCTACCATCACCATACATCGATTTACGTGAACGGCTGAAAGGCATGACGGTCTCATTCTTCACTCAAAGCTTCACACGGGACAATCTCGGAATGCGCCCCGAGGTCTTTGACGAAATCCGTTCCACTCTCAGCCGAATGGTCGGTGAATGGTTTGGACTTCGGGTTCTGAGCCAAGATGAACTCCAGCAGCAGAAAGCAGACTTTTTGATCGTGACTGAACACGAGTACCGGTCCTTAGTTCATCAATCAATGAAGTCTGATGTGGGAAGTTTAGTCAAGTCTAAGACATCGTTTCCTCTGATTGTTTTAAGCGCCCAGGCAAGCAGTTGGAAGGTGGTCAAGGAGAGCAATCAAGACCGAGCCATCTTCTTATCCCAGCCGTAAGTGAAACAAACATATTGGAATTATTGAGGAATTGGCTAACACTATCTCGCAGCGTGAGCCCCAAGACATTAGCCACAGTCCTTGAGCATTGCCTTGACCAGCAAGGCGTGCAAGATACCTCGGCATCTCAAGATCGTGATCTCTCTCCTAAGTCATCCAATGGAGAGAATACTGAGATCGCTGATGGAGAGAGCGAAGTGGTTGACGAGGGAATTCCCAAACCCCCAACTTCCCAAGAAAATGGAGAGCAAAACAAGAAAGTACTTTTGGTGGAAGACAATGATGTCAATCTGAAGGTACGAAACTAATCACCTTCCATATCAACAACATTCCCTAACCTTTCATAACCGTAGATCATCGAGACTTGTGTCAGGAACGCAGGTTTGACATATCAGTCTGCCACAAATGGCCTTCAAGCACTCGAGAAATTCAAAGCCGAACGATTTGACGCTGTCGTGATGGGTATGTGGCCGTTCAACTATCGCCCTCCGAAATCTACTTGCTAACAACTCCCAGATATCTCAATGCCCGTCATGGACGGCCTCACGGCCACTCGAGAAATCCGACACTTCGAAAAGACCTCTGGTCTACCACGTACCGCTATCATTATCCTAACGGCTGTCTTATCCGCAGACATGCAGCAAGAGGCCCAAATGAGCGGCGTCGACAAGTTCTTGACGAAGCCCACACCGCTGAAAAAGCTGAGGGATTTGCTTCTGAAGTTGCCACAATTATGATTTTTGTAAAACTACCAACTTGTGTTTCTAGCGATGACTCTATGATGGGGGATGGTTGTACAATGTATGATGATCTACGAATTTTGTTTAGAACAAGCAATACGCGAAAATGAAGTCACAAATTTATTACAGATTACTGTGATACTTGTCTGGCTGGTAGGAAAAATGACGCCTACTATGGCCCTGGAACAGCTTTATTCAGCTAATGATTGACATACAACCAAATAAATTGATTTCCCGGCCCGGTGTGGTCGTGCCTGATTTATAATGAACACGAGCTAGAGTCCAAGCGCATCTATAAAAGCGGTGGCAATCCAACCCCAATCCGTTATGACTTCATCCTTGGACCAAATTCATCTCAAGTTTTTCAACCCATCTTGAAGAATTTCCAACCTCTCAAACACACATATCAGAACCTCACGATGACCGCTGGAAGCTGCGCATGCAATTACATCCGCTACACCATAGTAACCCCTCCAACAAACTTGGTATACTGCCACTGCGTGGAGTGCCGTAAACAATCCGGTGCTCCCTACCAGACATGGCTGGACTTTCCAACCAATTCTATCAAGTGGAATATAGAACCTACTGTTTGGAGATCAAGTGATACTGCGACACGCACATTCTGTCCGCGCTGTGGGTCAACCATGACGATGTCGTTGGATAAAGACCCGTCCACTACGGACGTTGCTGCGGGGACGCTGGATACTGAATCGGAGCATTTAGTTTCTGGCCCTGGAAAGCATATATTTTACAAAGAGAAGGCAGCTTGGTTTGTTGCGCCGGATGATGGGTCGAGGAAATTTGATGGATGGAGTGAGTAGTTGAGGTATGCATGGATATTGTATCCTCATTCGCCTTGAAACGAGGAAGTTTGTTGTCTTGACAGGGAGGGGAGTCAAATACGATAATAATTGTCATGTTTCCTATCTCAGTAAAGCATATTTGCAAACAAAAACATAAAATGGCTCAAAGACTTCAAGTTACAACAATCACTCGAGACACGAACTATAAAGGCATCAAAGGGGAATCACGATGTCGTGTCCAGGCTACATATACAGAATCAATGAAATCTGACCGGCCTACTCGGATCAAAATGTGCTAGCAGCCAACCGGCTGGCCGCGTTGCGCGCATCCAGTCGGTCATCGTCTTCCTCTGCAATCGACCCAACCTGGCTGGTGGCACGCGCGCGGCCCTGGCCAGACTCTGCCTGGCTGTCCTCCTCGCCCTCGTCTTCATTGAGGCCGGGAGCGGTAAAGCTCCCGCTCATGCTGCGACCCAAATTGTCAGAACGACGGGGAATACCACTCCAGGCATCGCCCTTGGGGCCCTGGCTAGAAGCCATGTTCGACCGTCGGACCGCAGGGTGGGCTTCGCGACCCAGTCGGCTCAGGCCACCAGAAGCGTCGATGCTACGAATATCGGGTCGGACACTCTCCAGGGTTGCCAAGGTTCGCCGCTCTGCTTCAATTTGACGCAAGGTATACTCGCGCAGGCTGAAAAGGAGGTCGTTCGTCGTCCGATCGAACCACTTGCGCTTCTCCTGAAGCAAATTCGTCGTCACACGCTGAGTACGCTTTGTCAGGTAGTCCTCGTGGTTCTTTGCCTCTTCCAGAGAATTGATCGCCTCATCCACTTTGTCCGGGCGGACAGAAGAGCTAACTTTCAATCGCTCTGCTGCGGCTTGTTTGCTTCGAGCACTCTGTTGAGCCTGGATGAGTTCTCGCAGCAAGATATGTCGGTTGGTCAGGGTTTCCTTGACAATGAACGCGTCGGATGAATGATAACTCAAGGGTTCGCCCAGAGTAGTGGCCTCCGCGGTAGCTTGAATAGCGTGATAATCACCCACAGTTTGAATGATTTTGCCGAGCTTGCGATAAGCCATGCCCAAACCAGGATGAGTTTCTTGCACGGCCATCTGACCAAGTTTGACACCGAAATCAGACTCGGCCAATCCCACACCTAATAGTGTCAGCTTCTGATCAGGTGCGCTAAACCAAGCGGGATCATCCCAGTATCTTACCTCTGCGAGACTTGACAACGCGGTCAACCTTGTGGCTAGTATCCATTGCTCCCAGGTAGAACATCTTCACAGCCGGGCGGGCCGCCTGGAGTTCAGGGGTGTCATCAGGTGGCGGCGCGAACTGCTTCAACATCTTGCGTCGCACTCCCGTAGCAGGCTGCTTCATACGAAGGACGGGGCTGTAGCCGAAATCGCTTTCCACGAACAGCATGACCTCATCATCTTGAATAAGAACCTCGTTGCTCAGAACAGTGTTAAGCCAGCGTTGCATCGAAGCCTTGACGCGAATTTCATCTTCATCGGTTCCAGCACCAGCAGGAGTAACTGGCGGTGGAACTGCGGGGACTAGAGCTTCCGGGTTGGCCGAGATCAAATGGTCGGCGAGCTTAACAAACTCAGAGTGAGTACGGCGAACGTCGCGATATTGAGTGGTACGGAATTTGGGGATATTAGTCTGTCATCAGATATTGGAGCAAGGTCAGCCACCAGCGCAGCGCATCTCGTCAGCATCATTGAAGAGTCGACCCACGTGAACGTCAAAGCGAAGGATAGGATCCTTCTTCCCAGTCCTCTCAAGAGCAGTGATCTTGGCCTGGATCTTATAGGCAGGCGCCGGTGGCCGAGATGCCTGTCTCATTCCAGTCTGGTGGCGTGCGGGGACTTGCTGTTGCTGCTGGTCGGCGGCTGGCGATTGATGCGCAGCAAACGGGGACGGGTGCTCGCCGTAGTCTGGGTCACCCAATTGAGCACTCTGCAGCTGCGCTGAGAGGTCGGCTGCCTGAGCTATAGCATCGTCGTCTCTGTCCGCGGCCGCCGACGAGTGGTCCTGGCCGGGTAACGGGGATGACGGGATGTCGCCGTTGCCGGAGGTGGGGAAAGAGGTTCGGTCGGCGCGCGGAGAGCCCCAAGGCGAGGCGCCTGTGTGGTTTTCTGGATCGTTGGAGATGGCAGAGTAGTCCATCTTGGTTGGGATTGGAAGTAAGGAGCGCTTTTATGAGGAGAGTCCAAGGGGGAGGAGCTGCTAGTGACGGAAGGCGTCAGTATTAATGGCTGGGGATGAACCCCACAGTAACGGCCAGATAGCTCCAAATCAGGGCGAAACTTACCTCGGGCAGCTTGTTTGAGATAAGAGGAGCGCTCTTAGGGGCGCATGTCAGATGAACAATGAAAGCAGTGCGAAAAATGAACCCAGCAGAGTAGTGTGAGATTGAAGCAGGAGGGTTGGAGAGTGAGTTACGTATGGACCAGCAGGAATGAGATGCGTGCGCCAAGCCCGCCGCCAGCTCCGCGATTCGCTTTTTCCATTACCACGACTACCACCTCCAAGCTCGACGCTTCGACCTTTGAAAATAACACCACCATTCCCATGCTTGAATGTGTATAAATCTCTAATAATTTATCCAAATTGGATGAGAGGTCTCCTTGAGAATGGTCGTGGCCCCATTGTTGCGCCTCCCTCAGCCGGGGCTGCGGTGTATGGGTTCGACGGTCTATAAGAGCCAGGCCAGCCCCGTGAAGAGCCGCATCTACTCCCAAATTTCTCGTCTCGCGAGTCAAATAGCTCCATGCTTCTCGACTTCAGTTTCCAGATGGCAGAGCGAGACTCTGGACCGAACACGAAACATCGGAATCATTGCCCATATCGATGCTGGCAAGACCACCACGACGGAGCGCATGCTCTTCTACAGCGGCTTCACCCGGCGCATTGGTGATGTGGACGAGGGTTCTACGGTCACTGATTTCTTGCCCGCTGAACGCGCACGTGGGATTACCATTCAATCAGCTGCTATCACGTTCCACTGGCCTCCTGGAGACGGAGCAGAAAGTCAAGCCTCTACACTGAATCCCTCTCTGCCCAAGTCGTCGGTGTCACATACGATCAATTTAATTGACACACCGGGGCATGCTGACTTCACATTCGAGGTCTTACGGTCTTTGCGCATTCTTGACGGTGCTGTCTGCATCTTGGACGGTGTGGCTGGCGTTGAGGCGCAGACGGAGCAGGTCTGGAAGCAAGCTAGCACCTATAAGATCCCGCGAGTGATTTATGTGAACAAGCTGGACCGTGACGGTGCCGCTTTTGGCCGGACAGTCCGAGAGGTCAGCTCTCGTTTAGCTGTCTACCCAGCAGTCTGCCAGATCCCTTGGTTTGAAGGCGGCAATGGTGCTTTCGTCGGCGTGGCAGATGCCATCAATCTTCGGGGACTGCGGTGGAAGGAGGGTGAAGACGGACGCGCTGTCAAGATGATGAATCTCGAGAAACTTGATGCTGAAGAGAGTTTCCTGGCACAGGAACTCCGCCGTGCGCGTATTGCGTTAGTTGAGTTGCTGAGTGAACAAGATGAAGCCATTGTGGAGAAATTCTTCGAATGTGATGAAGATCATCTGGCCGTGCCTCCTATGGACATTATCGATAGTCTTCGACGATGCGTTCTTGACCAATCAAGCCGTATTGTGCCTCTCTTCGCTGGTGCAAGCTTCCGCAATATGGGTGTTCAGCCGTTGCTGGATGCCGTGGTAAACTTGCTTCCCAGTCCACCCGAAGCTCCCGACCCAGAAGTGAGCATCGGTGGTGTCAAGGGAGGATTGAGGCGACTACTCTCCGGGGATCTAATTGTGGAGCAGAATGAGAAGGCATCTGCTCCGGTGAAGGGCAAGAAAAAGAAGAAGGCCGCACTCCAAGCGGACCCCAAGGACGCCATTTCCAAGCTCCAAAGCTGTGCGCTTGCCTTCAAGGTCGTCAATGACCCCAAGCGCGGTGTATTGGTCTATGTTCGAGTATACTCGGGCTCGCTGGATCGCAACAGCCTCCTCTTCAACACCAATCTACACCTCTCCGAGCGAGCACCGCGACTGCTCAAGATGTACGCCAATGACGCCGTTGAAGTGGACTCTATTCCAGCTGGTCACATCGGCGTCGTTGTTGGGCTCAAGCATGCTCGCACCGGTGATACGCTCCTATCATATGCTGGAAACAAGCCCACACCACCCGAACCGTTGACCAGTCTTCAACTGCGTCCAATCGATGTGCCTCCGCCAGTATTCTTCACCAGCGTCGAGCCGCATAGCCTCAGCGAGGAGAAGCGCATGCAAGAATCACTCGCGCTGCTCCTACGAGAGGACCCAAGTCTGCACGTCAGTGTGGATGAAGAATCCGGGCAGACACTCCTGAGTGGCATGGGCGAACTACACCTCGAAATCGCCCGCGATAGACTCATAAACGATCACAAAGCCAAAGCATCCATGGGCCGCATCGAAATCGGCTATCGCGAGTCCGGACTCGGCACCTCAAACGCCATCACAAAGATGTTCGACAAAGAAGTCGCCGGCCGCCGCGGCATAGCCGGCTGCACTGCAATCGTAGAACCCATCGATGAACAAGACCTCTCCGAAATCACAGATGATGATACCCTCCTCGCCGAGACTATCGAGGGCAACCAAATCATCATCCGCGCCCCGGGTCTCCAAGTCGACCGCTTTTCCCGAAACGACGAAGAAACAAGCCCATTCCTCCCACCTGGTCTAGACCCGTCTTCTCTCCGCGCAGCTCTCCAAAACGGCGCGCTGGCAGCGCTCGCCCGCGGCCCTCAATTCACTTTCCCAATGCATAATACCCGGGTTACACTCACCGTCACTCCGGAAGAACATCTCTTCGGCAACGATACAACCACCTCGGCCTTATCAGCCGCCGCCCGCCAGGCTACATCCGCCGCTCTACGAGACCTTCTCACTGGCCCTGGAACGGTAATGATGGAACCAGTCATGAACGTGATTATCAGCGTCGACGAAGCTAGTCTCGGCTCCGTCGTACACGACATCTCCTCTTCACGCGGTGGCCATATCCTCTCTTTAGACGAGGAGGTGCCATTATCAGCAACAGACACTTCTGGATCTCCGGCAGAAGATAACCTACCCCCCATTGACCCCAACCGCGTATACGCTCCGCCGGATCCATTCGAGACGCCTTCCGTCAGTGCTGAAGTGCCAGTGTCCGCGTCGAGACCCCGGAGTATAACTGCGAAGGTCCCGCTGAAGGAAATGGTTGGGTATCTGAAGCACCTGCGTAGTTTGACCGCTGGGCGTGGGACATTTGTTATGAGCGTGGATCGGTTTGAGAATATGTCTGCGCAGCGACAGAAGGCTGTGCTGTCTGAGTTGAGGGGTGGATTTTAAGTGTCGAGCACTGATTTTGTACACTATCATGTATGTATATTGGTCATTTTGGAGTAATATAGGGCACTCTCTACAATGTATTAAACCAATGAAACTTCAGTACATGTACAGCTTAGGGCGTGAAACCAAAACCAACGCGCCATCATAAGAGAAACTCATTTCAATGGACAGAAACAATGCAAAAATGTATATATACTCAACAAACTACCAATTATCATCCCACTCATCCTTCCCCTTCGCCGTCGTCGACGTCCCAGCACCGCCACCAATCTCCCCATGCTCCTTCCCAGCAGCAGACGTCGTCTCAGACGAAACAGGAGTCGAAGAGTTCGCCAACGACGACGCCGCAGGACCCTTCCGCATAGCAGTAGTCCCGATAACATCAGACCGCGAGCCACTCCGCTGATGCCCATTCCGCTCTTGCGAGCCCAGAGATGAAAAGTCGTCCCAGAAGTCGCGGCGTTCGGGCTCGACGCGTGAGCGAGCACCACCAGCACCGCCAGTGCGGTTGTCGTCGGGTCCTTCGACGAAGCGGTTGAATTGGTCTGCGGCGCCGCGGACGCCGGTTTGCAGGTTTTGGCCCCATGTTGCGGCTTGGGTGCGGGCTTGGGCTGCGAAGTCGGATTCGGCGAGCTATTGATTTTGGATTAGCGTTTTCATTCATGGCATATATATGTTGGGCTTGGAGGGTGATGAGTGAGTGGTTTGCTTACCTGCTTGGCCGTGGGTTGTAGGTATGATTCGTTCACTTGCTTCGCACTCTTCCCCACCGTCGACGCAAACCATCCAAGACCCTTAGTCAAAGTACCCAATGGATCTTTCTGCAGGTCCTCAAGAGCCGGTCCACCAGCACTAGCACCACCGCCACCACTACCACCCCATCCTCCAAACCCACCAAACGGCGAAGCCCGGCGTTCCCCAGCCGAAGAAGTAGGCACACCACCCCCAAAACCAGTAAACTTCCCACCCTGCGACGGCGGCAACGCATCCGACCTCGTCGCATTCTCACCCCCCAACTTCGCAAAATAAGCCTCATTCAGCTCTTTCTTCGTCGCCGCCCCGCCGCCATGCTGGCTATCATGCGAGCGAATCGACGATGCAGCAGGCGATCCCGTGCGCGCACCACCGGTAACACCAACACCACCACTCAGACTCATGGGCGTACCTGACCGCGAGGCAGGAGCGTTGTTGTTGTTGATATTCTTCTTCTCCTGACCGGGCACGTACTCGCGACCCTCGACTTTGCAGGATAATCTCTCCTTCCATTCTTCGCCTGCCTCGCCCTCATAGCGCTCTTTGATTGTGGAGTCTTCGAATGTGCGGCCCTCGGAGATGGTTACGGCATGGGCGTCGTAGAATGTTTTCCAGGGCTCGTTGCCGCCTAGTTCCATGCGCTGGATCTCGGCGTGCTTGAAGGCGTCCATGGTGATTGAGCGGACGAAGGAGATGTGTACGCCTAGACCGCGATGTGTCCCGGCGCAGTTTAGGCAGATAAAGGTTCCGAATTTGGGGGAGGCCTATACGTTTGAAAGAGACCAAAGTCAGCGTTAACTCGTCATTCTCTCGAGGTTTGTGTGTGAGGGGTTCAATGAAGCAGCGCTTAGTAGTGTAGATTCAGGAGATAAGGATCTCTACATACCCATTGGGGCGAGGGCGCGCCGCAGTCGCAACACCTATCATTTCCATTGGTTTTGGAAATCTGGAGGAGCTAGAATACCGGGAGACATGGTGTCAGTTCTGAGTGAGTGCAGGCGCATATGGCCATCCACAGACCAACAATGGGGGAGAAACGTACCTTTGTCTTCGTCTCCGGGTCGACCTCCCACATGCGAGACGACATGGCGGGCAGTATTTATCAAAGCAGAGCGAAACGATTGAGAAACACCACGTCACGGCTGGTCGCCGGGCTCAAAATAGTTGTGTGTGGTGTGACAGACTGGCCGAACTCCACGCCGCACTTGAATTGGAGGGGGACTCTGAATGTTTTGGTGCGTGACCCCCTCTCTCGCAGGCAGTATCGATGACTCTACCGGTATCTGTAGAGATAATTGGATCGAGGGTAGTCGGTATCCAAAGAGTAAGTGAATTGACGGGGAGAATGGAGAGATTGAGCGAGTTGAGCGTGGGAGGGACTGTATGTCAAGTCCGCTGATCGGCAAGGGTCGCCCCAACTTTAGCGTCATCAGGGTTGGCGCCGCTACGAAGCTTGAACCCTGTCTCCATTCAATTCCTCCACTTTTCGAGGGGCTTGGTCCCTTTTTACGGTCTTTCGAGGATTCTTTCGAGTCCCCCTAAATTGCCTACTTTCTCTACATATCCTACCAACGGACCCCAAGGCAGATCGTCATCATTTAGTTAAATGGGTGCTAAGATACAATACAGAAGACAAAGGTCGTTAAGGACGGAGACATCAGCAAGGATGTAACACTCCAGCATGGACAAGTGTTCCATGACATCCGATAAAAAGGGAAAAAAAGGTCATCACACCCTTCGTGCCCACAGATTTTCGCCTTGAAGGGACCACTTGTCGGGCAGCTAAGATACTTCCAGTAGTTGACCAGCGGATCACTTATGGTCATACCCTATATTCCATACGACGAGCCCATTCAAAGTTCCTTCCAAACGTTCGTAAAGTTCATTAGCAAAGGATTATCTGTGGTCGAATTGAACTTGGCAAATAAAAATTTAAGCAGCCTCGGCGGGAACAGCAGCGGGGGCCGCGTTCTCCTGGGCGGGGGTGTTGGCCTCCTCGTACTGGTCGGCGGCAGCATTGACATCGTCCTCCTTTCCGGGGCTGTCGATGGCGACCTTGACCGCAATGGTGCGACCGTCAATGTCCTTGCCGTTCATTTCGCTGACGGCCTTGGCCTGGAGCTCTTCGGAAGCCAGGTTGACGAATCCGAAGCCACGGGTCTTGCGGCGCTCGTTGCGAGCCTGCAGCTTCTTGATCATGAAGCGGGGGATGGGACGAAGGGCAACCTTGGCCGAAACGGGAGAGTAGTCGGCGAAGATTTCCTTGAGCTGTGAAGGAGAAATAATGGGATCAGCACAATGGAGGGTTTAGACCAGAGGTGATACTCTGGTCCGAGCTGTGGCTTCAAAACATGCACGTACCTTGTCCTCCGTCAGGTCGTAGGGGAGGTTAGCGACCATGACCTTGGTCTTGGAAGGAATACCATCCTCGGGGGGACCGCGCTGCTTCTGGGGACGGGGAGCGCGGGGCTTGCCCTGCTTGGCACCCTCGGTAGGAGCAGGCTCGTTCTCGTTGGTGGTCTCAGCCAGAGGAGCGGGCTCGCTGGCGTTGACCTCGGTGGACTCCTGTCCGTCCTGGGTCTGAATTGACCATCGAATCAGCGGTGATGCTCCAAGTCGCAGATTTGGGTGGAGGGGGGATGGAATCAAGTATGGGTGAGTACGTACGCGTCCACGAGCGACACGGCCACCACGACCGCGAGCGCGGCCACGGCCACGACCACGACCACCAGTGCGCTTGCGACCCTCGTTGCCGCTGGCACCCTCACCGCCACTACCGGCACCCTCCTTGGCCTCCGCGGGCTCGGGCTTGCGGGCGAGCTGAACGGACACCTTGCGCGCCAGAATCTCCTTGCCAGAGAGGCTCTCAATGGCTGCAGTGGCTTCGGTAGCGGTGGCAAGGTCCACGAAAGCGTAGCCAACGGGACGGTTGGTGCGGGGGTTCACCGGGATCGAGGTGCTCTCGCTATAGTTTTGAGTTAGTATTGTGTTGATAGACCGCATGATCCCAAGATGAGGGGTCACCTCAGATAGGTGCTTGTGCTTCTCTGGGACGAGACAGCTGCCACTAGCTCCAGGCAGGTGCAGATGGGGTCACAACTTACATGGTGTATTCCTTGAAGAAGTCCTTAAGCTCCTCCTCGGTGGTCGCGTAGGCAAGGTTGCCGATGTACAGGCGACGACCCTCATCAGCACTGGCGGCAGCAGCATCAGTGGGCTGCGATGCCGCGGGAGTACCGTTGGTGTTGGGGGTGTCGTTAATGTTGGTCGTAGCCAAGGTGTTGGAAAGGGCGTCGACAGCAGACATCTTGAAGGCGGGTTGAATCACGGGTAAGGTTCGAAGGGAGATGGTTGGAGCTCGAACGGTGATGTGTCAAACAAACTGAGGGGAGTGTTTGTTTTGCCTTGAGAGAGGATGTAGGCGGTGGGGATATTGCCGAGAAGGAGGGATTGAGGGGAAGGAGCAGGGTAGCTTGGTGCCCTAGATACCGGTTGAAAGAAAAAAAGGAAGAGATGGGATGGGGGAAATCAGAAGTAGTTGTTGACTCTTGAAGAAGAGGGAAGGAGGAGGGAAGGAGAGAGAGAGATGAGGAAGGGAAAGGAGGAGGAGGCGGTGAGGGGACTAAGCCGTGTTTGGGACCTGCGCTGGTTGGCACCTGGAGGAGAAGTCAGGCAAGTCAGGCGGGGTCTAGCCTAAAAGAGAGGGCAGTCAGGCAACACCTTGGCTTGCCTTGGGCTTGTCCTTTAGGGACTAGACCACCGAGAGCTTAGCGGTGAGTCTTGCCTACGGGACTTGACCTTCACCCCTCTTGACTCCAGTACCACGGAACTGCCCGTCTAGTGAGGCCACCACATTTGATGTCATTCTGGAGACCAGACCCAGTTCGATGAGCTACTATAAGCTTCGATTTAACCTGATCCTCCTTCTTTAATCAACACAATGGCTCATTGAACACTCAATCCTGAACACTTCTACTGATTAATGCACCATACATCTTCTGACATGAACTAAATATAAGCTTTCTCTAGACTTGCTTATTCCTCATATCCATCTGCACGAGCTGAGTTGCCTAGAGTAACGCCCGGTGGTGACAATGGTTGATCTTCCACCTCAGCCGGCTCCACTTTTCCCACCATCTTTCTCCACGGTCCCAGACTCTGGATCTGGGAGATCACCAGAGCTTACGCCACGGGATGGTATAATTGAAGTTCCCGAATAAGAGGTTTAAAGCAAAAGATGTGTGTAATAGTAGAGGCTGAAAGGGGGAAAGACCTCTAATCTCATAACTCAGCCTGACTCCAACCAATTTTTTTTTTCGAGATTACTATATGTCTACTATCTGGGTACGAAAAGTAACAGAAAGTAAATCTTCAACATAGTCCCGAAAGACCCCAACAGATTGAGAGCTTCTCTCATCCAACAATTGACACAATGATAGAACAATATCCTAATCGCAGAGAAATCACAATGAACTTTCTCAAAATACACCCATCAAATCACGCTAGATGTAAATCCCAAACCCACAAGTTCTTCAAACACCTCTCACAACCACTTGACAATTGAACCGACAAGACTTCATCCTACTCACACTTCCAGCATCACTTCTTTCCTCTGCAACGTCTCAGCCCAGGCTTCGCACAGGCCACCTGGTCCAGCTCTTCCTCCTCCAAAACCTCACTGAACCACCCTGCTTGCATCCGCTTCTCAAACTCCTCGTCTGTCATCCCATCCCCCTGTTCTGGTTGGAGATGCTCCACGGGCTTGGAGATGTGATACCCCTCAATCCAGTTTGCAACGGGGATAAGTCTTCCAGAATAGTCTCCACGAACTTCCACGCGCTCACTTGTCGGGTTTGCCGGGTACTCCCCCTTATTCTTCGGAGCCGCTGCGGCGATGTTGGCAGTTGGTTGAGATGGGAGTTCCTCGTCAGCAGGCTCCGAAGAGGGGTCCAGAATATCTAGACTGCTTGGGGGCGAGCTTCTCTGCTGGGGCGGAGAGCTGAAGATCGATGAGACGCGGGTATCAGATAGCGGTGCAGATTCGAGTGACTCGGGGGTTGGCGAGAAAGAAGAGGAGTGTGTCTCTGAGGTGCTGCCTGGGATGGTGATGATATTGTGGGCAATTTTCGCGATAGTTTCTCGCCAGTCTACAATCAGAATCTGGGCATGGGCGGAGACAGACAACCCAGGAATTGAGGACGTGCAGAGGAGTCTCAGGGCTACGGCACGCAGGGCATCGAGGGCATCGTTCGTGCTACAGTGGTATGTCTCTGCAAAGCTGTTGATGGGGAAAGTGTCCTGGATCACCCCCGCCATCTCCGCGAAGAGGGCGTCCGTAAACGGGCACTGGGCTAGAGTGGAAGTTGCCGGGGCCGAGGGGTTGCTGGCAAGGTCGGTCTTCTGCTTCTTGTGTTGTGGCTCATTGGAGGAAGCAGTTTCAACTGATCTGGACCGCTTGTTGGCCCGGGAGGAGGAGGGTTCCGATGTATTGTTCGTCACTGGATTCATTGCGGACTTGGTCAGCGTCGCCGGATCTTTTGAGATATATGCAGACAGAGACCAAAGGCGGGGGCCAGGCATATATGATGGCTATCTTCAGAGATGAAAGCTTGGAACCTGACTCACTCTTCGAATGTCTCTGGTCTTTATTCAAGCTGTGTCTTCATCAAAGGAGTGGGTTAGTTTTACTCTGTAACGGGTGTTTGAGCGTGGGTAGGCACATAGCTGTCTTGCAGCTGCAAGCATAAAGATCAATGAGAGTTGCGCTGAGGATGAAAAGGAGAGAAGGATCGGGCAAGACGTGGGGAGCTGATTTTATATCCCACTACCAGCGAGGCAATGAAGACGGAGATTTCCATGATGGAAAACCTTTGCCATGGACAGGCGGATTGAGGCACATTTCTTGTCGGGCTATATATCTTTTGACTATGGAATACACCCTTTTTGGAATTATTTGAGTCTGTAAAAAAAAATAAAAAAAATTCTAGATATTATAGAGAGATTTTAGAAGCGTAATTCCTGATCTCTCAGGCCGCATGCCAGGTCAGGATATAGTTGAGTTGGAGGTGGGATAAGTAGATGCCGTTCCCTGGTGATTCTTCAGTGTAGTCAAAATCATTACTAAAATAGTCTAATACCTAGCATTCAATGAGATTTTACTCAATTAGACAATCTTATATTACTCAAGTGCAGAATAATAATAAGTCTGTATCTAATGTTGTATACTCGGCAGAGTCCGAGCTGCTCCACAGGTTGGAGTGGGCCAGGGGCGTCATCGTCTGGTTGCACACTCCTCCGACTCCACCTAGCCGGCTAGCGGCGCTATCTTCCCCCATTATTGGATTCCATAATAATCAACTGGTATTTGCCACTGCCAGTTTACTGTGCCCAGAAAAGTTCCACTGCGGTGTAGTGTGGTGTAGTTTAATTGCATGGATATCCAAGAGGTACGTCGAGGTGCATGACACTTATGTACAAGGGTTGCTTACCACCACAGGGATCCTGCTGATGGACTGATAAGATGGCGAGATCGACGTCTCATACGTCTGGGCTTCGGTCATCTCCACTTCGGTTGGGATCGACCGCGGAAAACAAGATTGGGCCCAGCTGAGTCATCTTTTGGGGACGCTGTGCTAAGTGCTGACTGGGAGATTCCTAAGGTTTACGAGACTTCCAGCCCCAAACTCAAACTCCAGGACCTTGCTTCTTTCAATCTCGGGGACTTCGCTCGATTTTTCTCAATGGCCTAAGGGGGAGGGCTCATCATCAACTGTGTACCTGGACTGTTCATCACAGTTGCTCCAACTCTTGATCTGATTCAAAATCCCCGCCTTCCCCATCCTCAGGGTCCTGCCCTTGCGACCATACGCCATGGATCCCATCGAGCCTGCGGAGGGCTCAACGGCCCCCGGCAGTATCCCGGACCAGTCGCAACCCGCCGAAGCATCGTCCTCGCGACTAGCACCAGCGACATCGCGCCCACGGGCTCCTTCAAATCGCACGCGCCGACCTAGTATCCGTCTATCGCGCTTACCCTCGGTATCCTCGTTGGACACGGTCAATATCCAGCCACAGCAGGAACTTTCCGACAACCAGCCCGGTCCTTCTCTGACCCGCCAGGTATCCGTCAAATCACCAGTGCAGGAGGAGGATGAATCATGGCAGGGGAATCGGCGACGCAGCAACTCCGAGCCTCGACCAGGACGATGGTCTTCTCCCAATCATAATCCTCTCGCGCGAGTGGCAACACCGATGGGGTGCTTGACTGAAGAGTCGTCTCACCAAAGCCCAATGCCGGTATCTCCAGACGAGCTATTCACGGTGAAAACTGCGGAGGAACAACTTCAACCGCCACCGCCGGCCCTTGCTCGTCCGGCATCGCGGAACGTGCTGCGCCGAACTAGTCAAGCCGCCTTGAACCGGTTCTCCCGCAATCGCGCATCCACGGTGAGCGGAGCGCAGCCAGCACTCGAGGCGAATAAAGAGCAGCCAGTGAACGAGTACGGATCTCACGTGGTCGACGTGCTGGACGTGATCGGTAGGTTATCGTCGGACAGACCGGGAGCAGAAGTGGCGAATATCACAACTAACATGATACTATTGATCAGACCCCGAGGTCTCGGCCTTGTCGACCCTTACCAATGTGCAGAACTCACTGTTCATCCCTAACCTGGGTGGTTTCATCAATCGCATGCCCACCTATCAAATTTCGAGGGCGCCTCCATCCGATGAAGAGCAAGGAACATCCACGGATGAGGCAGAGTCCTTGGAGGAAAGGCAAAAGAAGGACCGGCCGAGAATGGACCAATTGCGTCCCTTTTCAAGCATGTCGTCTGTGCTTCAGGGTCCTCGGTATGCCGTTCTTCCCGACAACCATGAGCTCGAGGGATGGACGAAGGAGGACTTTGCCGAATTGAACGATCATGTTCGGCATATGCTGCACTCCCGTCGATCCAAATTCAAGCGATCCATGAGGGGCTTTGGCCAATATGTACGGAGGCGTAAGTATATTATTTGGATATTTGGAAAATGAACGCGTGAGGCTAACATTTATGTATAGCACTTGGATTCCTTGTCACACTCTATGCAACTCTTATTACCCTATTCGGTCTTGCGTGGGTTCTCTTCTTGATCGGTATGGCGGCCCCTTCGTCGCTCCAGAATTTACATGTCTGGTTGAAATACTAACCTCGTGCTTGTTTATTCAGGTTGGATCAATGTTGGCGGAAAACAGCTCTACGTTATCAATGTCATTGATAACGTCCTTGTGGCTCTATTTGCCATTATGGGTGATGGGCTGGCTCCATTCCGAGCTGTGGACACATACCATATGATTTACATTGCGCATTATACAATGTTGACCTGGAAGATCCGTGAGGAGCGGAAGCTCCCCAATCTCAAAGACAAGAACGATCTCCCCGCTCAGACGGAAAAGGATGCGGACGTCGACTTCGTCGAACCTCCCAAGGAAGAAGAGCATGAGTACTCTGTTCTGGATGAGCGCCAACAGCAACGTCTGATGCACCACCAGGCCAAGTTTGCCAAGTCACATACCTTTTATAAACCGCATGAGACGGTGACCCACCATGCTTTTCCTCTGCGCATCCTCATCGCCATTGTCGTTCTTCTTGACTGTCACTCTTTGCTCCAGATGGCGCTGGGTGCGTGTACCTGGAGTATGGAAACTCCGGGAGAGCGGCCCTTTGCTCTGACTACGGTCATCCTGTGCTGCTCCATCACCTGTAACATAACCGGTGGTGTGTTGATCATGATTGGTGATCGTCGCACGCGCAAGAAGGATATCGTGGAGCGTCTCTTCCGTCAAGAGCTGACCGAGGAAGCCATGAAGAAGATCGAGAAGCGTAAGGAGCGCCAAAGCATGCAGCTCGAGCGGGAAGAGCGCAAGAGTATGCAAGTCGATCGTGAAGGGCGCAAGAGTACTCAACTCGATCGTACGGAGCGCACTAGCATGCATATCGACCGCCAAGAGTCTGAGCCCGAGAGTCCCCAGCATGAACGCCCTGACCCGTTTGCCAGCACCTAAATGTTGCTAGTATATCAACATACCATCCTGCCAGCCCACGACCTTCACGAACATCATGAAGACCTTCCGCAATATACGCGAGATCCATGTCTTCTTCTATCCGATTGTACAGCCTTCTTGCTGACCTGCACTGTTTACTCCCCCGGTCAGCTAGGTTTATAACCTGAGCACCGGCGTTGTTTAGGATTCAACTTCATTTTTGAGGAGGCCATCCTTTTCCCACGTCCTCTATTTTATGAATACTGCTTTTGTAATTGCTGCCCCTGCCATCATGCCTGTTTTACTACCTACCTTAGGATCTTGATACTCTATTGCTCTTTGCCCTTGCTGTCTATCCTGGAGTGGAAGCTCTATTGCTGTCATTATTTTGGATTTGCTTTGGAGCTTTGTTTTGCTTTTGCTTCTGTCTGGCATTTACTTGCGTCGAGTATAGACCCCTTGCATGAACAGGATTGAATTGATAAATAACAACTTTCAAAGCATCAACCTATCTCACTCTATAAAACATTAACCTCCAAAATTCCTAACAAGGTAACAAAAGGAAAGTAATCAAGCTCATCCCTTCACAACATCCAACCTCCCTCACTACTTAGTAAGGATAACCCCCTCACCAACCCACCTATCCCCACCTCCCTTAACAACCTCCCTATAAATCCACTCCCCAACCAAAGCCCTTCCAACCGTATACCCAACCTCAGGCCTCCTCTCCGTCCCAACCCTCAACCTCGCATACCCCGAATCCACTCCCGGCCCAGCAATCCTATGATCCCCACCCAAAAGACTCGGCCTCACAATAACATGACCCCCACATAACAAACTCTCCTTCCTCTCCTGCTCCAACGTCAACAACCTCTCCATCTGCATCTTATCTTTATGCGGCACTTCCAACGCCGCATACAGCGGCTTACAGAGCATCGGCACATCACGAACACCCTTTTTAATTCCTGTGCTGGAAATAATAGTCACACGTGGTGCTACGGCGGCGTACTCGTCAAAACAGGTAAAACGTTCGTCTGCGATACGTCCCAATGCGGCTAGTAAGGCGCTCGTGGACTCCTCGGTGATATGCGGATTCGGAATAGATATATGTGGGATCGTCGGAATCCGAATGGGGATTTGAGCACATGGTGAGGGTTTGCTGAGGACGAATTGTCCTGTACCTCCTACACCGGAGATGACGTGGGTGACCAGGGTTGTGCTTTGCTCGGTTGTCGAGACGATGAGCGTTTTCATCACTGTTTCGATGTCCCGGGCGTCGCCTTGGATGACGCGGAGGTGTTTGTCCAGGATTGATTGGGTTAGGCCTGGCTGGGAGAGGAGTTGGGTGGTGAGTTTTTCGGGGTTGCGGGCGAGTGCGATAGCGTTGTGCCCGTTTAGGAGGGTATAGGAGAGACAGGCGTTTGTGCAGCCGCCGGTTGCTCCGAGGAAGGCGATTGTTTGGGCGGACATTTTGGTGGATGGGTGGTTGGATGTTGGATGTATAGAATGAGGTACAGAAGTTGAAGTATAGATGTGGATAGATAGATGTAACTCGATCTGATTGTAGATGGAATCTGTGATAACGAAAGAAATACTTCCAGCCAGGAGATCAAAGCCTTTATATCCCCCATCCATACCTCTCCTACGCACCCATCTCACAGCCCAGCTCTCAGCTTTACACATCCCGGACAGATACTAACCCCCATCACCATGTAAATCCATCCACCCCCGACCCAATCAGTCCAGTCCAAACATCTAAATCTTGGAGCTTAGCATCAGCCCCCCACCGATGAGGCTTAGCCTAGTAAGGCTGAGATACTTTTTAGGTAGATTCTGCGCCGCCTACATGGCCCCCAAACGGCATCTTTGCATTTAGTGTCTCCGGATTGTCTTCCAATCGGACCGGTTTGTGGTTCTGACAGGTGCAACTGGGTGGGTTAGTCCTATTCGGGTTAGAGTCGGGGGAATTGGGGACCGGTGCGGAGGAACTCGAGATCATCAAAGTACCGACTGTCTGTCCGATCGGAGTGCTCGAGTATAGGGAGAGATTACTTTTTAGCTATGTTCTTTCTGCTGTGGGAATTTAATGCTAGGAACTAGTAATTTGTGGAGTTTACTTCCTTCCAATTCAGTAGTATTTTCTTCCAAGGTTGATGGATGATTGTCACATTCACATCCATGTGTCCAAGTATCGTTGGTCCAAAATATATATTCCACTCCACAAATACAGCAAGTACACAGGTTTCCATGTTAAACGGCGCTATACACCTAGCGATTGTAGAACTTCCTTGATTAACTTGGAGTTAACAGCGCCTAATCGATATTGAGGTACGATACTCAGTTGAAAACAGATTATTTAATTTGTGTATAAGCTGCAGAAAGCTGATAATCGGCGCGTTATTCTTGATTAACCTTAGCTATTCCCGCAGTCACAACCCGCCCGCCTACTCAAGCTGGAATCCTGCCCGATGACCAATGTCCAAACTACTTACAAGACTATACAATAACATGATCTAGACAAACGACATTCTAGCACTACAAAGCTACACAGCTGAGAAAGCTGATCATACATTTCCCAGAGAAAGATCCCCCATGCTCATCGCAAGTGTATCGACAGGAAGCGGCGTTCCTCTTCCTCACAAGGGGCATCCGCCCTGTCCACAGGCTGGTCCCCTCTACAGGTACTGTGCTGCAAACCTAACTCTCCCTTCTCACACATTTTCCGTATACATTACCCGAATCCTTTCCTAGGCCTTCAATCCTTGGGATCAGATTCTATACTTCCACTCGGACCAAGTATTGTGGAGACATCGCAAGGTCTAGAGTGGACTTTAAATCCTTCCAATTCAGGGAAATGGACGATCCGTTCCTACGCATTGAGGAGGATGGCTTTAATTCAGGGAGAGTAGTGCAGATCGTGCCCGTCGCCCAGCGTTACGAAGGAAGATATTCGCGAGTCTACCCGTGAAATGATGAGATCGAGGAGCGATCGAGGAGCGATCGAGGTTTGATCGACAGGGACGAATCGGATGGACTGCTATGCGACCGGAAGAGACTATGGTGAGCGAGGCTATAATGACCGAGTATCCACTAAATCCACATATTGATGATTGTTGCTGTTAGGCACTACGTTTTTAGACCACTGGAGGAGGAGGAGAAGGAGGAGGAGGAGTCTGTGAACCGAGTCATGTAGAGCGGTGCCAATGGGAGAGTTGTATACTTGAATGCAGTATTTAGATGGAGCGATTGAAAAGTCAGTAACAATCAAAAGATAATTTTATCTGTTTTGTCTTCATTTTTTGAGAGCATCTATCTCTAAAGTAGTGCATTTGTCGTTGATGAAGCTATTGTGTCGTGTGTATCATAAAGTCTTTGGTTGTTGTCGTCGCTAGCCATACATTCAGACAGAAGGGCCCTGAATCAGGGATAGATACAATTGCAAGTATTTTGAATCCTCATAGTAAACTATCGCATTGGAAATGTGATTCGGACCCAGATTCTCTCAGAGAGGCTTCATTTTCCAACAGACACTCTTACAATGACTGGCTATCCCGAAAGCACAATCTACTAAGGATTGTAGGGTTGCTCTTTTGGATACCACTAACACGTTGGAATGCAGGGCTTTACACCTTAAGGAGCAAAGGGCGCTCTGATTGACTGCGTAAAATTCCATACTTCCTCGTCTGCCAATAGAATACCTGCGAGGGTCCGACATCAGGGGAGCTTAGCGACGCACCCTTGCGTAGGGCATTCCAACCACGAAAAATGAGGATTTGTTGATATACAATACTGAGGATGATGAAGGATAAACCATAGCACAAACAATCTGATCTTTGAAGATAAAAGGCTGAGTTTCAATGCCCGTTCAAGCTTCTTCATCACACATTCTCCTCGTCTCTATCTACCTCTCTTCCCTTCTATACCAAAAACCATTATCTTTTATTAAAGATTAATCTTTAATCACTCTCCATCATCAAAATGCAGTTCTCCATCAGCGCCGTTTTCCTTGGCCTCGCCACCCTGGCTGTCGCTCTTCCTGCCGACCAGTCCACCAGCGCCAATGGCCTTCGCTCCCAGCACGAGGATGGCATCCGCTGGCACGTTCCCGGCAGCATGACCGTCAAGGAGGCCCAGTCCAAGTGCGGTGACCAGGCTCAGCTGTCTTGCTGCAACAAGGCCACCTACGCCGGTGACACCACTGATGTCAACTCCAGCCTTGGTAGTGGTCTCCTCTCCAACCTGATCGGCTCTGGCTCCGGTGCCGATGGTGTTGGTATCTTCGACCAGTGCTCCAAGCTCGATGCTCAGGGTATGTTTCTCTCCTTGAAAAGACTTCAATTGCAACTGTTAATCATCTTTCAGTCCCCATTGCCATCGCCGTGTCCCTCCAGGACCTCATCAACCAGCGCTGCAAGCAGAACATTGCCTGCTGTGCCAACTCTCCCTCCGATGCCGTGAGTCTTCCTCACTATCTGACATTGTATTCACTTCTAACATCACTTTTAGAGCAACGACCTCGTTGGCGCTGCTCTGCCTTGCATTGCCCTTGGCTCCATTCTGTAAACGTGTGGTTCACACCGTTGTCGCTGCTGGGGGCATGGTTCTGGGGTTTCGAAGTTCGAGGCGTCCTGTGATATACACCACCATTTTCCTTTCTTAGTCTTTGTTTGTGTGAGATCTGATTTGCTCTTGACCTAAAATCATAGAGATGAAAATTTCTCCCGCCTAATACATAATTTGCTATTCCAAAAACACCTTGTGCAATTTCACTTCTGTAACCGCGTAGCCATCACATGGTCCATCATTCATCTCAGCTCGATGATTTCCGGGACAAATGCATCAAGTGGATAGATACAGACTAATATGCTGCGAATGGGAACAGTTTCCGTAACGATAAAAATTTCAAGGTTCTCTTCGAATTATTTACCTCCGTTAGGGTTTCCAGGTCCCTGGATCGGAGCAAGGTACTTGGATCTGGGAAGTGGCTTGTTCCCGCTTGAATTGTACATTCATTCGTGGCACTGCTATCATTTCTCTTCAATCATATGCCATCAAATCAGGCGGTAAATTTACTGTTTCTGCAGCCAGTCATCAATGGACTTGAGGTCCGCACCCCGGACTCGGTGCACTTCCTTGCCGTCCTTCAGCATCACAAAGGTAGGCATGGCAGTGATCTCGAACTGCTGAGCCACCCCCCTCATTTTATCCACATCGACCTGGAGGAACCGGACATTCTCATACTTCTCACTGAACTCGCCGACCTTGGGAGCAACGGCCTTGCAGGGACCGCACCAGGTCGCGTAGAAGTCAACGAGGACGGGGCCGGAGGAAATGAGGGCCTTGAAGATCACCTCGCTGTTTGCGTAGGGCGATGTCAGCGAATGATGGCTTGCATAGGTGCTGGACCGCCCAGGACAGGTTGCGATGCGATACTCACTTGTCAATGTTGGACACCTTTCCGTGAGACATGATGGGCGTGGAGGCAGCGCTGCGGGACTGGTAGATGCGGAAAGCTAATGACATGTCAGCCAGGTGATCCTCAAGGTTGCTTCTGTAAGGCAGCCGATCGTGCTAATGGAACAACGCGACATGACTCCATCTGGGTTACTCGCCGGGACGCTTACCGATGAAGAGCGCAGTGATGATCAACAGAGTAGAGAGCTCCATTGTTGGTTGCTCCGTGGAAGAAATGCGGGCGCCGGTGGAGTCCGATCAGTCGTCATTCACGTGACTATGCACGAAGTATACACTTGGAGATGCACATGATCTTTAGCCATTTTAATTGGCACTGTATATTGAATATAGATCCACTAATATACTAAGACTTGAGCCAGGTAAATGCCTTGTCCATCAGTCTTGTAACAGATTCTGGACGGTCTGTTCCTGGCAGATCCCGATTAATCTCAAACCCCTTCCCAGCCAGCAGCCAGCCAATACACCGATAGCTGTCTCTATGACCCCTCATGTCAAACGTTGCAGGAGTCGACAACATTGGAAGTGCAGTCGTAATCGTATCTCGGTCGTAGATAGCCTCCAATGTCAACATTTTCCACTCCCCGTTAACCTTCTCCAGCCGCGAAATGAATCGAGCATACGAGGCGCAGTCATAGTCATGACCATCCATGCGGAACCGAGAATTGATACTTCCAGTGGACTCAGAAAGAGCTTTTTCATGCTTCTCATCGAAATGGATTACCACGGGACAGATCGTGTGCGATGAGCTTGCTCCTCGTTGGGCCATCGCCTGAGAGCCGGAGACGAAGCCATCCGCATCACCTTCGTACCTAATTCGGGAACTGCAGTCAGAACATAATACAGAGTGAGTCTTGGATCAATACACAAACCAAGTAATCTTAATTGTTGTTTTTGATGCGTCCGGGTGGTAAGAGTCGCGGAGGTTCTGCCATTGAGCCGTATCTCTGTAGTATCTTTCTCGGGTGAGCAGCGACTTGATTCGTTGCTCGTCCATTTCTCGTTCCAATGCGTTGTCCATTTTATCAGGATAGGAATTGTCCAGTGTCATGAAGATAAATTGATTCTTGATTGACTAGCAACCTCGGGCTTGAGAAGTTTTATATACTTGGCCCACATCAAGGGGGACGTGGGACCAACCTTGCGGAACCAAAAATCGTGGATAGGGCCCGCGGGGAAGGACCATGGACTGCCGACATAGCCAGGAATTTATCAAAGAGATTTATCTGGGGATGTGCTAATTGGAGGTAGAGGCGTAATTCCGGGGAACGTAAGGTTGCTGAACCTAGATAATCTGTCATGGTCTGGATATTGGAGCGAGCGAAAAGGAGGAACAGAGCGTGGGGCTAGGGTCGCTGTTCGGTCCCGCCAGCGTGGCGCTCTGCCGCCTTTCGAAGCCTTCGTTGTTCTTCAAAGCTGACATCGTAATTCGGTGAATCGCAAGATGGAGCGGTTCCTATTTGAGCTGCCGCCGCCTTAATGAGGGCGCTCAGAGTCAGACTCACTGAGTAAATTTCAGTCTGGGAATCAGGCTTAGTGAGCTGCTCATTGTCATCACGTGATGAACAGTGAGCGCTTAGTGAGTCTGATTGGATGCTCAGTGAGCTTTCACTGATTACTCAGATATTCATCAGAGGCATCTAACTTAGTTAACTATTGAGCACCCAGTCGATGCTCAGCCCATACCTAGACGAGCCCTTTGCCCTACAATTCTGTTTATCTTCTAACCTATCTTTTGATGGGCCTTGTTTTTTACTGTACCCCTGTTTTGAAGGTATTTTACCCTCTTATATCTTTCCTCTCTCCAAAAAAATGAACAGGTGCATTATAACTTAATAATAGACAGTGTAGGCTTTCTACTTGTTAAGAGATCAGCCTAGGTCACCTGATACTCCACGTAAGCCAAAGAGGGCACTATATCAGCGATCAGCGGATATAACCAAGAGCCAATATATATGTAGCGCAACATCATTGTTATTGCATAACACGTAGTAAGATTCTTGTTACGATATACCTGAGATGAGGTTATTCACATCTGGGTGCCTGAGGCTTCCGCCCGGCGGCCTTTCGGTAATAATCCCTTGGCTTTTCGCTACCTGTATGGGAATAAACCCCTACAAGGGAGATCTCCGACAGAAGGTTACACAAACCTCGTGTTCGCCTTGATTCCCTCCTATGACTAGGATGAATCCCCATCCTGTCCTGTGAGATGAAACTGTAAATAAATCGAGTTATGAACAAGAGCTCTACCGTTCCTCAAGAAACAGTCTTTGACTATCGGATGTCACGGGTTAGACCCGCTTCTTACTATGTGGCCCTGCCACATAGCCTTCCCCGCACGTTCCGTTCTGCCACCGCCCTGTCTGCTTACTTCTATTGTTGTTCCGCTTGATCCACTCCTTCTCTTCTCCAAGCTTTTTGTAAACAGCATGTTGGCCTAGTTAGATTGAATCAAGTCTTGCTTCAGCCTTTCACATACAAAAAGCTTCCTTCTCGTGATCGAGTCGTACTAGCCAGCCAGCCAGACTTTCGTTTTCCCCTAGCCAGACCCCCGATTCCCCGCCGAAATGGACCAGAACCAGCCCCTTTTTGCTTTAATTCAGCAACTCCAGCAACAACTCGTCGACCAGCAACGCCAGCTAGAGACCCTCGCGCCTACTCGCTCGCATTTCAGACTACCAGACCCGCCTAGATTCGACGGCCGACCATTTAGTCTAAAGACGTGGCTTCCAGCTGTTCAAGCAAAGCTACGGTCGGACGGCTTAGCCGGTCAACAAGCATTCGACTACGTATACGATCGCCTTGAGCCACCCCAGCAAGCCTCAGTCTTACATCTTCGCGAAACCAACCCGACACCCGAAGCAGTCTTCCAGTATTTCGAACGTCTTTGTCATAATCCTCGTGAGAAACAAGATGCAGTTCTCCGATTCGCCAATATCCGCCAGAAAGACGACGAAAGCCTAGTTGCCTACCTCGCCCGATTCGAACGTCTATCGCACGAAGCTAAGGTTCACCAGCAGGATCTACTTCGTACGATTACGCTACACCGCGGACTACGCCCCGCGTTACGCCAGATTCTTGAGCAGTCGTATGACACTCTATTCGATCTCGAATACGATGATTATATAGAACTACTCCAACGTTATGACCGCCGCCAGCAGCGCCCGGTCACCCAACGCCAGAACCAGATTAGCCAGAACCAGATTAGCCAGAACCAGACTAGCCAGAACCAAACTCGCCAGACTCAGACTCGCCAAAGCCAGCTAGACCTAATGGACCTTGACCCAGTTCGTATAAACGCCGCCCAATCATCACCAGTTCGAGTGAAATCAAACCGCGTGCGCCTATCAAAACCGCCACTCCCACTAGGCTTTAATAACCCCGCTAATATCGCCGAGCGCGCGAAGCACGGGCTTTGCTACTACTGCGGTGCATGTAGTCACTGGATATCTGCGTGTCCTTTTCGACTTGCCGCGAATAAACGGTCTAAATCCCTCAGTTTAGATTCAGCAACGGACCAGTCCCGAAACGACCCCGATTCGTCGCCGTTTTGGAATTCAGACGGTTACGACTCAGATCACCCTTCTGACCTAGGAGGGGGGTAATGTCACGGGTTAGACCCGCTTCTTACTATGTGGCCCTGCCACATAGCCTTCCCCGCACGTTCCGTTCTGCCACCGCCCTGTCTGCTTACTTCTATTGTTGTTCCGCTTGATCCACTCCTTCTCTTCTCCAAGCTTTTTGTAAACAGCATGTTGGCCTAGTTAGATTGAATCAAGTCTTGCTTCAGCCTTTCACATCGGACACTATTTGACTTGGTTCCTTTCTCCTACCTAATTGACAGGCCTCTACCCTGACTTGTAGAATATATCCTTACAATTCTGAATTGGAATTAGCGTATTTCTATATACAATTCACTAGTATATTATCTTCTATAGTTAGTAGTAATCTAGGGGATCTAGTACATAGTATTTAAGCGGGTAATTGAGCTAGGTAGCTTAGAGATTAGTTGATTTTATTACTTAAAAAACGAAAGTAAGAGAAAGGTAAGATAAAAGTGAAGATAGGTTAAATTCTAAAGGCTTTAGCAGAACGCTATAGCTATTAGTCTTATAACTTTTAGATTGGCGCTATCGGCGTAAACCTAAGTATTGCACAAAGATATATACACGCAGTTGATCGATACTTGTTAAGATACAAAATTTACTTGTAGGGTAGAAGGTGTTATGATATATCCTGGCATGAGGTTATTCCCAAGTGTTGGTGCCTCAGGCTTCCCCGGCCTGATAAGCCGGCAGGCCTTCCCCATGTGTTGGTGCATCAGGCTTCCCGGACCTGATAAGCCGTCAGGCTTTCTGTAGAGGTTCGCTGGGGCTTCGGCTTCAGTACGTGTACGAACTCCTGCAGGGAACACCCTTGACAGAGGTTACACAAGCCTCGTGTTTCACCCCGCTCCCATTTCCCTACCAAGGATACATCTCCTTCCTGTTTGAGTGATGAGACTGTATATAAATTGACCCATGTTGAAGAGGTTTTGCGATCCTCAAGAAACAGTTCTTGACCTTTCCACACTATTGACTTGGCTCCATTTCTCCTACCTGATTGACAGGCCTCTATCCTGACTTATAGAGTATATCCTTACAGAAGGCCTGTTGATCAGGTAAGGTTGAAAGCACTTAATCAAATTAAAAGAAAGACTGTTTATTAGAAAACTCTTAACGTTCTCTAATCTGTATCCTTTTCAAAAACATGCTTCCTCTGTCAATCGGAGGGGACACGAAGCCAAAATGCTGACCGATAACGATCACGAAGAGAAACCGAGGAGATCAGGATTTGGTGTAACATGACAGGGCCCTCATATGTAAGGTCTCCCCACAGCTGAGCAGCTGAAGAGGAGGTGGTTCACCGCCGAAACACTGCCGACCTGGCAATCCCTTATTACCCAAACTAGAATAGAGGCCTGAGGGATAAGGCTCCCGCATCAGATCTCCGAATAACTTCAGGTAAAGAAATATTATAACAGGTGCAAGTTATACCTATCGACGCGTCGGAAACCCTCGGACCAAGGTTTACGCCCCGGGCCAGGAGATGTGGAGGTCCGCAACGCCGATGGCAGCTGGCAAAACACGGATTTATATATTCCAGATAAGAGAATGGCCATTAAGTGATCCTTAAACCCTCATTCATAACATTTGCCCTATTATAGTACATTTTGGGCGTGCTTGTGTATGTAGCCGGATTAATGAAGACCATACCAAACCCGATATGGCTATTCCGGTCGTGTCGGAAGCACTAGGTGAAATGGCCAAGATTCTCCCTCCGAAACCTATGCACATCGCGGCATTTTCATCATTACCCCTGATTACCCAAATACGAAATGGTAACTCCATAAGCTGTCCGCAATCTCTCAGTGCGATTTTGATGGGGTGTTGCATGGTAACGTGGATTTGCGGCCTCTGGAAACGGGGACGGGTTGGCAGGCGGATGTCTCTGAAAACTGGAACTGTAATGGAAGAGACGGGGGTCAATGTGGTTTGTCTTCATCACTATGCCCTAACGGGATATCACAGGAGTATCAATTAACCGGTGTATTGCTGATGTAACTGTTCACCATTAAGCCGGGAGTTTTAGGAAGTCAAGGTACCTCAATGTACAGCCAAACGTGAAGATCATAACGCGGTTAAGAGTACATGGTAGCTAACCATAACTCGCCATACTCTGGATAATTGAAACATTTATCAGCAATTTTCGAGATACCGGGTTGAGGGACCAATACCCATGCCCAGCGGGTGCTCATGTCCAGAATCAGAGCTCGTCGAGAACCATCACATTCGCAGTGGCTTCAGATAAACCAACCAACAACAGTCGAGAAGCCTACCCAGCATATAGTCACAAAGGAAGAATGTTCCTCTTGGTAAATCACGTTCAAGATAGCGAGCATTATCAAAAAAATCGGGAGACTGTGGAGTAGAATTATCAAAGAGGAACTAGCCCACATTGAATAATCGACGACTATCATTTTCGTATGTTCTTAAGGTATAATCAGTCAAACTGCAATTTCAATATAATATATTTACCCGATGGATGGCTGGATATTTATCTGAAATGAACAAATACCCATACCGTAATGTTGCAGCAAACAAGTCATCCAGATCAAAATGCTATCCGTTTTCAGCAACTGTAGTGCCGATTAAATTTGTTAGGAATCTCGATAGGTAACCGGAATTTACGAGTAGCTGAAACAATTGAGCGGGCGGTAATTGATTTTCGTTCCGATGACAGGACTTGATGCTTTCATTGCAACTAATTGCACGTCCGTGCTCATTACCACTGGATTTTCGCCAGTGAAGGGGAAAATTACCCGATGACTTCATGTCTGATTTTGAGTTTCATAATTTGACTGATGGTACCGTATTCTCCGATATCAAGCTCATACCAGGCGGATTGATTCAGATTTCAAATCAACAATCATTATCTTTCTCCGA